GCTGCGCAGGATGGGGGCGTTGGATCGCTGCGGCTGATGATGCTGCATGGACGCCAAATCGGCCAGTGTATCCATCCCGGGGGTGGAAGGTTGTCTCGGGGGGGGCAGGTCAGTTGCCGGGGGAGTACCATTCCCTCCTCCCAAGTTGGGACCGACCTTGGGACTGATCGCGGGAGGCGACGGTTCAGGGAGGTGAGAAGGGGCATAGACGTGCTGCGCGAGCGGCGAGGAAGTCATACCCTGCTTGGTCGAGCCGGGGCGACTCTTTCGCAAGGGCTTCGGAGGGGGAGCAGAGGTCGGCGCAGAGGTCGGAGCAGAGTTAGGGACGGAGGAGGAAGCCGCGGAGGGCGTTGAACGCCCGGACTGTGAATTGGCATCCTGCGGCGAAAGGAGTGAATTGATGTCCATCATCAAGACTGTGGCCGGACTGGCGGGGAAGGACCAGGGAACGCAAATGCCAAAGCTGATCTTTGAGGAAGTCCAAGCGCCAGCGAGGAAGGTGCTGACGTAAGAAGCAGAGCCGAAGAAAAAGGCAAAGCAAAGGCAAGGGAAGGGAAAGAAGGAAAGGAAACCTGAATTAAAGAACCACCGCAAGTCGCCTCATCAACGAGTCCATTCCTGCTCCGGTACACAGCCTGTCCGGACCTGATGACCAGGCGAAGGTTGGCTGTCCAGAGTTGGGGTGTTCCTTGTCCTGGGATGTGGATGGATGGATGGCTGGATGATGGAAAGGGACAGTTCCGAAGAAGCCCAGTGGGATGCCGCGGCGCAGAGGGAAGAAACAAAGACAAGGAAAAAAATCTGGAAGGGGGAGGGTAATTGAAAGAAAAAGGGAAAAAAATTATTAAACTAGAAAATGAACAATTGACAGATATGATAGATTATTGTTCTTTTTTTTTCCAGTTCGTCTGTTTTGGCCCTTGAATTTTCTTTTTTTTTTATAATTTTCTGTTCTGGGCCGTTGGATTGTCTGCAAGTACACAGAAGGAGCTTGACGAGTTGGGCGCTTGCGAAACGCTGCTAAAGTGAGGCGCGGACGGAGGGAGAACGAGAACGAGAGCAGCAGTGGAGGGACCGACAGGAGGGGACTGACGGGCTCAAGGCTCAAGCTCTCCTGGTCCGAGCGATAGCGATAGCGAACCTGGACGCCTGGTCAGCGGCGGAGTCCCGGGCGGGAACTGATGGGGAACCGGCAAGCAGCGTGAACAAGCACCTACCGGAAAACGTGGGAACAACACGCTCGGGAGGTCCTAGGAAGGGAGGGGTGGAAGGGAAAGAAGGAGACGGTAAGAGAGGAGTGAAAGGGAAGAAGAAGAAAAGAGCGCGGAGGGAGGAGGAAAGGATGTGAGGCAGATGAGGGCAGTGGATCGACGCGGTGGAGATGGGAGTTGAGCTCGGCATGGAAAAGCTGAGCAGCAGCAACGCAGTAAAATAATAATAATAATAATAATAATAATCACCAGCAGAAGCAGCGGCGGCAGCAGGATTGACTGCACCCCATCTATATCTATCGATTGACTCTACCCTCCACTTCGGGGTTCAAAAAACGCTCACCACGATCTGAAACTGATGCAGAGCAGCTAGACTACCCAGCTAGCCCGTAGCCACCTATGTAAGTGCCTGGACCATCGTCATCGCGAAAAAGAAAGGTGCACGGGGAGGTGAGGTTCCTGCTTTTCCCCGCCAACGCCCTCGGTGTCCGCTCCTATACGAGCCCCTAATGGCTACCGCAAAAAGAGCATTGTCCACGACCGTCCAGGACAGTTAGACCGCTTGACAGGTTCCCTGTTACCAGTCCACTGCCCCTGCTCACCCCTACACCCAAAAAGTTAATGCATGCTCACACTCGGACTCGAACCGAGGATCTCATCATTACTAGTGATGCGCTTTACCACTAAGCCATGCGAGCTGATTGGCTGCAGTGTCATAGAAGGCAGGGATTATCTAAGAAATGAGCCTGAGGCGTCGGAAAAAAGCAAAAATTGCTCCCACGCGGATTTGAACCGCGGACCTCATGATTACTAGTCATGCGCTCTACCAACTGAGCCATAGGAGCTGATTGGTTGAAAGAATGGCCGTTAATTTGTCTGATACAAGTTGCTTTGCAGGTAGATGAAGAAGTCAAAAAATTGCTCTCACGCGGATTCGAACCGCGGACCTCATGATTACTAGTCATGCGCTCTACCAACTGAGCCATAAGAGCCAATTGATGGAGGAGCTTTGGATGCTAGATACTATTATCCAAAGTCAATACTATACAACCGAAAATCAGGCTGCCAGTATTGGCAACAGATACTCCATGTGTACACTGTTTGAACAATCAGAGTTCGATGCTCACCTACGTATTGCACTCTCATTTATCTGTTGTTTTTACGCCTCCGATCACTCATTAATGCTGCCCAACCACCACTGCGACATGATCGGACTCTCGGCCCGCTGACATATATAACTAGCTTTCACTACTACTTGGTACAAGTTTGTGCATTCACTTCTGGACAAATACATCGCCATCAGCAATGCTTTCGCGAAGACGATCCCCTGCCCATTATTAATCCAATCATACAAAGATACAGAGTAACTGCCTAATAGTCATACCACGCAATGACAGTCAAGAGTCAAAGCCAAGGAAGTCATTGGCCGATGACTATTGACGCAATGCCTCTTTCCCGCATCTTCATGTGAACGCAGGGGCTGAAAAGTTCTACAGCAAATGAAGGACAAATAGTCCGTATGGGGTTAGAGGAAGAGAAGCAGGATATAGTAGGCAAGGTTACATACAGGGACTGCTTCGAAGACAAAGCATTGACATACTTGCTAAGGGACCACCAAGCTCTGCCATCATCGTATGGATGTAACACTGGGGCCTAAAGACCCCACCCTTCCCATCAGGTCGTGAGGTCTTTGTCACTGACAGATGCAGATACCCCTCGTGCACCGTGAGAAGCCACCAGCCTAACGTAGCAATGTAGTTGCTCCGTCCATGATTCCTCCCTCTCCTGTTGACCTCCTCCAGCATCACATCCGCCAATTCATGACTTCTGCCCTCTTTCTCGTTTGCCTACAAGGCTTTGTTTATAATTGAACCGTCGGAGATACCGAGCGTCCAGAGCTGGTGGTGATGTTCCCTTCAGTTACTCCGTACCCCACTCTATATACCCGAAAACCTTACCTATAATGAGCCTGATACCACCTTGCCCACCTTGCGCTAGCACCCCTCTTTGAACCCAGCTTCTCACCCGATCGCTCGTCATGCACATCATCAGCTATATATCTCATCCACCAGCTGGCCTTGGACGCCTTCTGCCTATGACCTTTCGTTGACGGCCGCAACCGGAGACAATGACCCTGAGATGTTTGGCGACTTTTAGGCCGAGGATCCGTGTCAATACCCGGTCAATGAGCAGCTCACAAAGAAATCGCCTGGTGTCTGCTGTCGTTCCAATGGTATGATCGCAAACAGAATAGCACCATGCTTTCTATTACTCCATGGACAACCGTATGATACGAACAGGTCCGAAGACTTGCTAGAATCTAGGACCCGCCCTCGGATACATCCAAGAAGAAAGATGCGGCCCAGGGACAGGCCGATTCTACAGTATATACCCTTCAGGCCTTCGAGCGATAGCATTGACCCCTCATTCAATTGATTGATCCTCAATTGAGTGTCCCGGGTGAAGGACCCCACGTTCAATTGGCCAACGAGCCCTTACATCACGTCTAACCATGTGTTTTTGAACAAGAACTGCTACATCCATACAAAACTGAGTGCAGCGAAAGAAAAAAAAAAACAGTGACCCTCTCAAGTTCAAAAGGGAGATATCTAGCGTCCCTATCGAGACATACACGTTAGAGAGGGCATGTCAGGGGAGAGTTACTGGGGTGAGGTGCCTGGAGAGAGACTTCAGCTCATACACCTTCTCGGCAGGATACCAAGCCCTGTATCATACCCGATCACCATTCTTTAGACAAGCTCACTATCTATGCATACCGTTTCCCGCTTCTGCAGAATCTAGCAACTCCCGCGACCCTCTGCTCTGGTTGCATTAAGGCTGTTACCGTAAAGATTCACATCATGCCATGGACAAGATATGAGAGCAATTGGGTTTGCTACGTCCAAGTTGGAGAATACTAGATTTCGGTGAACCCTGGCTGTGTTTCCTGGGATCCCAAGGATCATCCCTGTAGGAGCACGGCCCTAGCCAAGGTTCGAGTGTCCCTAGAAATTCCAGAAATCGGGATATAGAAAGGGAGGGAAATATTAAACAGGAATCGTAACTGGTAAGTAGCCCAAACTACACGGCCGACAACATAATTTATAGGGGAAGGAACGACCCGCTACATACATTAACATTCTTCCATCTTACGGAGGATATATCTCCACCATTCAGGGTCACTTGTGCGTCTTGTTCCCGAGCAGAATAATGGACACGGGAACAGAGGCCAAAGCGAAATCATGGCTGATATACCAGCAATGTCGTGACAGCTAGGTGTTAATTAATCTACGAATTCTGGACACAGCCAGCCCTACTAAGTAGAAAAAACAGGGCTTTTGAGCTAGGCAAAAAAAAGAAAAAAGAAATGCTCCCACGCGGATTTGAACCGCGGACCTCATGATTACTAGTCATGCGCTCTACCAACTGAGCCATAGGAGCAACTTGATATGATTGGCTGTAAGCTATTTAGTATATAATCACAAGCTAATTAATGACATATATTTCAAGGAGCATAGATGCAGTCCAATAGTATAAATACCTCATACCTCGATACCACACCCCGAAGGTTCACCAAACGCACTAAGAATAGCTCTGATGACTGCAGCATGCACGATTAAGTTGCTTCGCAGCCTAGACTCCTCACTGCACCGGCAGGGAATCTGGACTGGGATCGATCGTCCGGCAGTGTAATGTCAGGCAGCCAGTACCTTCGAGAGACCATCCCATCTATATGAGTGGTCCATGATCGCGACGATGCCAAACATCCCAGCATAAATGTGAGCCCAACGGATGCCCCGCCGATTTATTCCTCGTCCTCAGCATCCATAAATGGATGCATGCACAAGTTCCCAAGCACAGTAGCCGGCCCAAATAGGCAAAGCGGGAGGCCCCGAGGCCATCCACACCATGTCAGCCTATGAGGTAATTGTGCAGCAACCACCTCTCCATGATTGGCTCAACCGAGATCCCAAGGCACATGATCGCGGCCCGGCTGACCCTCCCCGATTAGGACTCCCAGATGCCTTGGGCCCTGGGGCTAGAATCTCGACCCCGGAAAATTCAGGTGTCGACGCGAGAATCCCTCCGGCGACCCAGACAGACCCAACCCGCACCGCCAAGGCGAGTCTTCATCCCGACACTTTTTTCCCTCTGATCTCCGGATCCGTGCCATCAATCACCAGATCCATCGTCCGTCATGGCCACAATGGGTGCTGTCCCCCAATATGGGCAGCTGATCCGGTCCAGTAAGTACCCCAATCCCATCTTACTCCCATTTTCGATCCCCCCAATCCTCACCTCTCCCGCGCAGTCTCTGCAGCCCGGCCCGGCTTCTCCTACGTCCCTCGCCGCACGCTCACCTACACCGTCCCTCGTCGAGCCACCGAAGACAACCCCAACGGACCCAATGACAAGTCCTCTCCCGAGTCCAAGCCCTCCACCTTGTCCTCCATCAAGAACTTCTTCTTCGGCGGCAAGTCCACCGCCGCCAAACCCACCGCCCGCCGAACCGTCGCTCCCCACAAACGCGAGGGTTCCCTGAGCGCCGACTCCATCTTCGCCGAGGATGAAGCCAGCCCCAAGCTCTCCCCCTCCGGTCGTACCCCGGCCGGCCGCAAACCCACCGGCCCCGCCGAGGAGGGCGAGAAGGAGATCGACTACGCCGTCGACCGCCGCAACAAGGACACCATGCACACGGTGCTGGACCCGAACCCCAAGGCCCGCATGCGCTGGGAACGCAAGATGGTGGCTCGCGAGATCCGTCGTCGCGGCCGTATCACCACCACTGAGTTGATCATGCGCACGGAGCGCGAGTCCCTCTCCAAGTCGCATTGGTTCAAGACCTCCGTCAAGAAACTGGGTCCTCTGGCTCGTCAGATCGCCGGCAAGAACATCGACGATGCCATGCTGCAGATGCGTCTCAGCAAGAAGAAGGCCGCTAAGGAGGTCTTGCAGCATCTCGAGCACGCCAAGAACGTGGCGGTCGTTCGCTCCGGTATGGGATTGGGCGCTGTCGAGGGCAAGACGGCTCCGAAGCCCGTCACGATCACTCTCAAGTCCGGTGAGCGCAAGACCATCTCCGACCCGACGTCCATCTACATCGCACAGGCGTGGGTGAACCGTGGTCCGTACGGATACGACTACGACCACCGGGCCCGCGGCAATATCAACCTCATGCGTCCGCCGTACACCTCGCTGTCGGTGGTGCTGAAGGAGGAGAAGACTCGGATCCGGGAATGGCAGAACCGGGAGGCTCAGGAGTTGCGGAAGCGCAAGGCCCAGCTCTGGACGCAGTTGCCGGACCGTAAGATCACGGCCCAGCAGCAGTACTATTGCTGGTGATCTTCCAGTGGATGAGCACCGGGTGACATGTTTGACTATTTTTCTTTGGCGTTGTTTTGTGTTAATATCTAGACCTAAGAAGCCTCGATTTGATTTCAGCATGTTTTACTATTGACGCCATTTCTTTCTGAAACAGGGTCGTCGGTAACCAAGAATTCAATGTGTACAATACAATATAACTCTCTTCGTCCCCTCCCTCCCTCCATCTATCTATTCTATATCTACTATCTACCACCACCACAAGATAAAGTACCTAGTTCGGCACCGGAAACCACGGCTCAACCCTCATCTCCGGCAACTCCCCCCCCACCCTCTCCCCCCTCACCAACACCGGAATAACCCCCCCCGTCTCCAACTCAAACCTCCGATGCCCCAACACATTCAACAAACTCGTAATGGCACCCGAATGCGCCGTCAGGGACAAAAACACCATCCTATCATTCGTAAACACATCCTGCAGTAAATCCCGGAACCGTTTATCGCGCGCGGAGTCGGATTCCCGGAGTACTGGGTCGTAGAGTTCATCCGTCTCGGTGAACCCGGGCTCGATGATGTACGTCGGGTATTCGGCTTCGATGGCCGATTTGGGGGAGCGGCTGTCGCAGGTGTGTTGGCCGATGGTTTCGCGGAGGAGCTATACCCTCTTAATTAATACTATTTCTTTTCCATCATACATATTATGTATGTAATGGGGTAAGGAAGTGGGAACAGGGGGGGGTAGGGTATACCTCCTTAACCAACGGCCGAAACGGCTCCGTCCCCTTCACCCCCAACCCTGAGAAAGTAATATACGCTGTCTCCAGACACCGATTCAACGGACTCACGTAGAAGGATTCCGGGGTGGGAATGCCATCCTTGATCTGCTGGGCCCAGGTGTTGTGCGCGGTACGGGCTTGCGATTTGCCGGTTTCGGTCAGGCGCGCGTCGATCCAGCTTTCTGTGGCGGTGCCGGGGAGGAGGGAGTAGTGTCTCTGTTTATTTTATCTTATGTTAGTATATATGTGTATGGGTGGTTGGTTGGGTGTAGATTGGAGTAGGGCATGGTATGATGGGAAAGGAGCCTGGGGGGTGGGAGGGAAACGTACATCCCATTCGAGGGTCCCGTATTCCCGTTCCGCGACGTTATGGTATCCCTCGCCGTGGCGGCCGAGGAACAGGACCTTGTAGCATGTGTTTTCGTCGGCGGTGTCGTTGAGAGTGCGGATGTGGTGGGCGAAGCGTTCCCAGGGGGTTTTGGTATCGGAATCTGGGAGGGTGGTGTCTGTGGGGTAAGGGCGGGGGATGAGGCCGAAGTTGGAGGATGCCTGGAGGGAGATTATTAGTATTTAGTTAGGGGTAAGTTTGAGGAGTGGACGGACGTAGTCAAAGGTGCTGGCGTCGGTGGACGGCTCGCTTTGGTAGAAGAAGCCTGGCACAGTGGAGAATCGCCAATGCGATTTGGAGGGGGCGGAGGAAGCCATGCGGAAATCTATGAGGAGGAGGAAAGGAGGGAATTCTTTGGAATGTTGGAATGAATTGAAGATGATCGGGAGGATGGGTCTGAGGCCCGCGGAAGTCCGAACTGCAGGGCTGGTGATTGGTGGGTGCGGTTGTATAGCTGTGGGGCATCCTCAGGATCGGGGATCAATTGGCAGGACTCGTATTTACATCTACTGAATCATGGCTTACGGAGTAGAAAGGACGGTACCAGCAGAATCAATTCTAACGGTCTCTGTCTAGCAAGACAGGGTATCAAAGAAGCAAGCACCGCTAAATAACTCGACAATCAAACAAGGATATCTCAACCACCACACCAATTATGCATCATCAACACCACCCTAGTCCTTTCCCCGTAAGCCAATGCTTTTTGGATGAAATCATGACGGATTTGCCAAATCTGGAGAAAACTCCAGACCTGCCAAGCCATGAACTCAACCGAGAAGCGACGAAGATCGATAAATCCAGGAAGCCAGAAACCGGAAACACGCTTTGTAGTACCCGCGAAACAACAGTCCTCGACACAGACTGGTCATGGACATCGTTGGCTGGTACATCCAAAGAACGATGGGTAGACACGTGTCGGGAGGAAGTTGCTTGGACGCCCAGTCCGGGGGACCAGACATGCTTGCATGCATCGGATATTGTCCGGCTTCCCCGTTCTCCATGGTTGGCGCTGGGCCGGGGTCGGACAACAGGGGTGTGGACGGATGCTCTGGTCGTAGAGCTGGCAACCGCATCGTCTGATGCGTTGGGCTTGAATAGGACTGACGTCTGCACCGACGCGCGCCAGCGAGTCGAAACAGTCTGGACTGTCCGGAGACGGCCTGATGCTTGGACGTGGCGTGGGCCATGAATTGCAGCGTGCGACTTCTGGTCCGGTTGACTGGACGTCGAAGAGGGTTGCAGTCTCCCCGGCGTGGAATGGACCAGATCGGCGCTGCGACAGGACACCGGCGACCTGGGAGGGGCTGGCTGGCCCGTATTCGGACAGCCAACCGCTCTGCGGCAGCTTGCGACGGGCTCGGCCGAGCGTGGCGAGTGGTGGCCGTATCGAGGATCCATCGTGAAATTGGTGCTTGACACACGGCTGGGATGCCGAAGCTGGACGGATTGATCTTCTCTTGGTACCAACCCTCCTGTCGGTTGCGAGACAGGTGACTTCCGGGCGGATGCCGGTATCGTCCTCATGAGGAGTTGTTCCTTGCCGGAGCGATGGACATGCAGTTGTGCATTGACGATCGACTTGGCTGCCATTTCGGCAGTCGAAACCGCTTGTTGGCTAACAGCAAGAGCAGCGGCCTTCTCAAGGCAGTTGCACTATACAGGTCAGTATATGAAAATCCACTCTGTCATGACGGCGTCACTCACTCGCTTGTGTTGTTTCCGGTGCTTCTCGCACGCACCGTATTTCCGAGCCTTGATGTAGTTTTCCTTTTGGGCTTGCGACCGAGGCTTCTGCTTCTTTGGGAGGTTGGTGGTGGTGTTCATGTTCAAGTCGAGCACCAGCTCCATTCCTCCAACTGCGGGGTCAGGGCCCGAGGCAGGTGTCCGGGCCATCTCGGATGGGGAGGTCACTGGGGTTGCACAAGTACCACTCTGCGAAACGCTGCCCGCAGATTCGGACCAGCGGGGCGACGGGAATGTCGTGCTTGAGATTGACGACAGTTCCAGGTCCTGCAGCGCGGCTTTTTGTAGACGCTGCAAATGAAGGGCAATAGACGCTTCCATGCGCTTCTCTTTAATGGACAGGGCGGCGGGATCGGCCGCGGCTTGTAGCTCCACCATTTGTCTGATGCTGCTATAGAATTGATCGTCGGCATCGCCAATGTCCTGTGCCCATGGGTCGCAGAGTTGCGACCCGATCAGCCCTTGATTTGGTGGCGGGGGCGGCGGGTGGAAGGCCCCGGTAGGATCTAGCATAGGTTGCGAGGCATCGAATGCATGTCCCACATATCCTTCACAAGGCGCATCGTAGTTGACAATATCGGCGAACAGATCCTGACCGCAGACCGCGGGGGCTGGCCCCCAGTTGCAGTCATCAAAGTCCGCAAAGGTCAGATCCAGATCTTTCGGAGAGATCGAATCAATCGAAGTGGTGGGATTGCTTCCCAGTCCCTCATAGGGGATGTCGAAGTTGTCAAAGTCGAACCACTCTTCGCTGGGCGTCGAGTGACCGATAGAATGGAGTAACTGGTCGGCAGCCATGATCGAAAGAGTGTCGAGGCCTTGAGGGAGAGGAGCAGCCTGAAGATTCAGGGTGACGGAAGGAGCGATGCCTGATAAGGAAAGATGGTAGATAGATAACCTTTCCGACGGTGACTCACGTCAAGCCCGTTACTTGGCAGTCCCTGGAGATGCGACGAGGCACACAACGAAGGAAGGGGAGCTCTCAGGAGTCCTTGAAGAGGAATGAATCAGGCAGAAAGAAAGACGGAGGGCGAAGGATGAGGGACCGGCGGTGGTACAGTCTTACATACAACCTGCTGGGCGAGGCTCATCTCCCCCAACCTGGCGCTAGGCCTTTTTCGAGACCCCGACGACCTGCCGCTAATCCGGATTGGGACCCCGACTTCCAGGCCCCGCGACCGGATCATCCATCTTCCGGTGTGAATGATGTCGCACTGCCACCATTCATTTATTTTTAATTCTTATGACCTTGGAGAATCCTATAATGTACGGACTAGACACGGAGAAGCAGCGGGGGTTGCAGCATAGGCTCAACTAGCTGCATAAATGATCCGGCGATGCCCACACCGCTCACATCTTGTCCATTCTGCAGTCCAAACTAAGACTAGCTCTGAATCTCTTTCAGGTTAGGCCAGCCTAGTCAAGGTCTCTACAATGAACAGGCGTTCATCCCACTGATATCCAAATCTTGATACAACGCTTCTGAGTTCTGACATCCGGGGAACCATACCGGCCGGTGCCAGTACACCAGCTCACTCCACTCATGCGATAACACCACGTGACTAAGTGGCCTTCATGCCTGAATTATGCCTTAGGCTGCCATCCAGTAGATACCGTCAACATCTCGCACTTCTTACATAGGATGATACCTCAGCAGAGAGGAAAAAGAAGCCCGCCCCTGCGCGGACCCGAACCGCAGCCTTCTCCTAAGAATAAGAATAAGTGGAGTGCTCTACCACTGAGCTACAGGGGCCTTGAGTACGGAGTATAACCCAACTTGGGATTTCTCGCGCATAGCATCTGAGGAGAATAGAAAAGTAAATCAGGATATTGCGCAGACCGTTGAGCAAGAATGGCTACGATGTTAAGGCCGAGAAATATACTGTGCTGCTATAAACTAGCTAAAGTGTAGAGCTAAATACTAGATTTAAGCAGATCATTTGAGATCAAGTCCCGTATTCACTGTAGGATAATGGTGGTAGAATGACATTGAAGAAACATGCTAGCTGACCCTTAGCTAAATGTGCAGCGACTAACAAGGACAATAAAAACAGTGCCCTATATCTGAACATAAAACAAACTGGCTTTGATGAATCCTGCTGGGCTGTTCGAAATTGGGGTGGAGACCTGGGTGTGGGTAGTTATATTAAGAGTCTTCCGAATCCCCATAAATGCTGCAGTCGTTTGAAGAACAAAAAAGATGATGGAGCCGAAGAAAGAACAAATGGACTGAAAGGTTGAAAACAAAGAAACAAAGCCTTGTTTCATCTGCGTTGTCCCACGAACGCGTCTGTCAAATAGCTTCTTTATCCGTTTCATCGTTGTCTTATGCTCTATGTCTCCATAGTTTTGTCCGTCCTCATCTGCTTAAACGGCCCTGCAGTGCGTAATAGCACTCTGGCAGATAACAAAGAGATAGCTATATGGTTAATCCAAAATACGTAACGAACAAAGCATGTTCTAACAGGCGCTTTGTCCAATATCCTTTCCTAATCAAGCTATAGCTCATCCAACAACTGATCAAAGCAATATAATCCTGCTTAGGGCCTCAATGAGCCACCCCGAGTACTTAAGTCCCAAATGTAATCTTAGATCGAGCATGCAGTCATTGTAAAAGACAGACACATTGCGACACAGCGAAAGCATCGCCATAATTACCATGACCGATTCAAATCCCACCACCACTGAACCCTTGACCACTCCGCCCAAAAATCCATACCCTCCCCAGGCCAAAAAGACACAGAAACGGAGTCGAAGCGACACCGAGACTTCCCCTTCCAGAAAACGCCCCAACTCTAAAGACCGGCCTGCGCCTGGCCCTAAAATACGTCCTGAAACACACACTCCGCACCCTAAACTCAACCTCGAAGAATATAGACAGCGGAGAGATGAAATCCTGAGTGCCATTATCTTCGATCTGAATCATGTGGCAGCGACTCGAAAAGCCTGCAGCGAGGGGAACCCAGACAAGATCACCACCTTGTCCTATCACTCGCAGAAATTCTACGCAGCCATGGTCGTAGATAAAGCTGCTGGTCGTATCTCGGGCCGGAAGGATAAGCATAGCTCGTTGGAAAGAGAGCGAGAAGCGGACCGCCTGGCAAAGTTCACCAAGAAACTCGGCTGGAGAATGCTTGCGATCTGTGCATATGCGGAATCTTTTCGAAGGTCTTGTCGAGAAGAGAAAGATTACTTACTGTGGAAGTGCGTCTACACGAAGATTCAGGAGTTCGCATACAATATTGAGCTCCAGGCTTGTCTGCGCGCTTTGGATTGGCGCGAACTGTTGCTTCCATACTGGGAGGAGGGCCCTATGCTCGGACTCAGAGCGAGACATCTGGGGAGTAGGGAAGAGCTCGCCGAACTCGCAAAGATCCGTCCACATGATATCGTCATAGATCCTATGCAAAGGACAATTCGGAAACCGAAATACGAAAATCGTTCCCAGAAAGATATTGATGCCAGTACCTTTGACCCCAGGGACTGGCCCGCAGGACAGAAAAAAGATCCGACATTGCGAGAGCACGATGCCCAGACCATTTGGTATGGCTCATGCGATTTCTGTCATTCCCCAAGAAAATGTAGCTGCCGGCTGAAGAGGAGTCCCTCAGACTATGTCCAACTGGTGGAAACCGATACAAAAGGTGTCGGGGTGCGCGCGCTTGCGAATTTCAAGAAAGGGGATATTCTGGGCGAATTTATGGGGAAAATCATGCCCACTTCTTATCAGAAAGACAACGTCTATGCGCTTGAAGTTCAGCCCAAGACTAGGCATAGAAGAGATGGATCGATTGCTTTGATTTCTCCCAAGGAATATGGTAACTGGACTCGGTATATCAATCATTCGTGTAACGCCTCCACGGTATTTGATGCGAGGACGGTTGGAGACCGAGTGATCATGACGGTCGAGGCCAGGAGGGACATTGCTATCTTTGAGGAGATCACGGTTGACTATGGGAAAGGATATTGGACAGGGCGGACGTGTACATGTGGAGAGAAGAATTGTTATGAGAAGGAGAAGGACCGGACAAAGGAAGAACAAAAGGAAGAGAATGGGGGAGAGGAGGAGGAGATACTGTATAAAGACGAGGAAGAAGAGGGAATTGAGGACGAAGAGGAGGGCGAAGACGAAGAAGAAGAGGAGGAGGAGGAGGAGGAAGAAGAAGAGGAAGAGGACGAGGAGGACGAGGAGGAAGATAAGGAAGAAGAAGTGGAAGTGAAGAAGGGAGAAAAAATCCCGGGTAAAAGAAGATTTCAATGATGATAGAAACAGTGATGATCTTAAGAATATTATCTCGGTTATCCTCGGCCCCCTCCAGTCGGCTTCAATGCCAACCCTAAGCCAGTATCCGCTGCTTCGTGATCGGAAAAAGACTTCCAGTCAGCCCCCAGCGACAGCATTTGCCTCCGCCGCCTGAAGTTCTGAAGATGGGTCGAGATTGAGCGGCAGAAACTAGTCCCCGAATAGGCAGTCGTGGTGCATGAACCCCGCACGGCGACACGTGAGGAGTCACCAGTCCCTCGCTGCCTTCAGTCTGCAATCTGGCCCATCATCTATCTACATCTCTTCTTTCTGCAATTGAGTCATTGATAAACCAACCCCCAGTTCGCCCTCACTTTTTACCACGCTCGCGTGGTTGCCATCCGTAAGCCATCCGCGTGCAATCCCCGGCTAAGCCAATCTGGGCCCAGTCCGTGGGGAGCCAGAAGCAAGGGGCAGGCATTCATCATTTAAGAGTGACGAAATCAGACCCTCGACTAGATTAATTTGCACTTGCGCCGTGTTATGAAGATACTTTGGCCAAGGTCCAGATGCGCATTTTGTCGGTCAATTGTAGGGGGCCCCTTCAGGGACCGTTCCTGAGGAGCGGATGCCTTGCGAGGAGGCCCTTTCAGTCAGTGCCATGGACTGGAAGACGGGGCCTGCTAACAGAAAGCTATGCTCGGGGCCCTTTGGAGGTAGGCACGCACCGTCTCACAGCTGATCAACCAGGCATCATGCTAATTTGTTGGCCTGGTTTAAGCCTCCGTTGTTGGAGACCACTATCGGGGAGCACTTTGCGAAGATTGTCAACTTGCATGGCGATAGAACAGCGTATGTTGGTTTAAAGCCCTTTGGGATAGCCTACTGACTGTAGCTAGTGTTATCTGCAAACATCAGAATGATCGGGTGACCTATGCTGCCCTCGACGCCAAAAGCAATGCTCTTGCGCGCGGTCTGGAGTCCATCGGTGTACGGACGGGAGACCGGGTGGGTGTTATGCTGGGAAACTCCATGGAACACGCCATTGTATGCTGCCATCACATCACGGCATAAGGTATCATACTTACAAATCCCCCGGCAGGCAACTTATGCGCTGTTCAAGCTTGGCGCAATCCTGGTAGGTAGAGCTGGATCTCCTAGGGCTATGTTCTGATCCAGCATAGGTCCCCATCAACCCATCATTCAACGCAACTCAGGTAGTCTCCGCGCTGGCTCATCTCGAGGCCAGCCATCTCATGCTCAGCGCCGAATCCAATCTGCCGCGCAAAGATCCGAGGAGTAACATCCCGCTCCTCAAACACCTGGTCCAGGACCTCTCCAAGTCAAGCATCGAGTCAGAAGTGGTTCCCACACTAAAAAGCATCGTCTTCGTCGATAACTCATCTGGCCGCGTCAACACCTCCGACTTCAGAGGCCTTACAGCCTACACATCGCTCGTCTCGGACGCCCCGTCTGACAGAATCTCCCTGCCACCTCGCAACCTCTCTCCTGCCGATGTTGTCAACATTCAATTTACATCCGGAACGACAGCGATGCCAAAAGCGGCATGCTTAAGCCATCACTCTGTTTTGAATAACGGCTCTCAAATCGGCGACAGGATGCGCCTTACCCCCGAGGACATTGTGTGCTGTCCTCCCCCACTCTTCCATTGCTTCGGATCCGTCCTGGGATACATGGCCACCGCCACCCACGGCGCAGCCATCGTATTCCCCACGGAAGCCTTCAATGCTCGAGCCTCTCTCCGAGCCGTCCAAGAAGAAAAGTGCACCGCACTATATGGCGTGCCGACCATGTTCCTTGAAGAGCTCAACCTCCTCGACGAAGGCGAAGTCCCGAACGAGGGGTTCCAGTACCTAAGAACCGGCATCGCAGCGGGAAGTAGCGTCCCTGCGGAGATGATGAAAAGACTGCACAAGGTACTGAATCTCACGGAGCTCACAATCTGCTATGGAATGACCGAGACCAGCCCTGTCTCTGCGATGACCACGACCGATGACCCCATCGACAAGCGGATCAGTTCCGTTGGCAGACTACTCCCGCATGTCGAAGCAAAGATCGTAAGCCTGGAAGATCGCAGTCAAATTGTGCCCATCAATGCACGCGGAGAGTTAGCAGTGAGCGGGTATCTCCTGATGAAGGAGTACTGGGATGACCCGGTCAAAACAGCCGAAGTCATGATTGCCGACAAAAATGGGAAAGTATGGATGCATGTGAGTGATGATCCATCAGGAACACATCAGAGGAACTCTCAATGACCCAATCTAGACCGGCGACGAAGCCTCCATGTCCCCAGACGGCTACATCAGCATCACTGGCCGCGTCAAGGATCTTATTATCCGCGGCGGCGAGAACATTCATCCCCTGGAAGTCGAAAATTGTCTTCTGTCATACCCCGGCGTGATCAATGCCTCTGTCGTGGGCGTTCCGGATGAACGATACGGGGAGGTCGTGGCCGCATTCATCATCCACCGGGAACCCGAGGGGGAACTGGCAACAGAAGAAAAGATCCGACAATGGGTTGGTGAAAAATTGAGTAACCATCTAGGTATGTTCCGTTGACATGCTAGATCAGAAAGCCACGCAAGACCGGCAAGCTAACCGATCTAGTCCCGAAATACGTATTCTTCCTCCAACCAACAGAGTCATTCCCCAAAACTGCAAGCGGCAAGGTCCAAAAGTTTAAGCTCCGCGATGTCGCTCTCGATATTCTGAAGAGGGGTACTTCGACTTGATGCGTTACTGTCGAGAAATAGATGTCATTTAGGGAGACTGCATGGGTGTAGCACACCTTCCTCAAGTCTCAGGAATGCGTTAGAAAGAAGAACGTGGCCTATCTGAGAAAATATAAGGTGGATAGTCGGCACGACACGGACAATCTAAAACCCACCACGACACATAATCTGTGATAAGAGAGATACCCCGTAGCATCCATACAATAAGACGAACATGAACTACAAACTACAATAGAATACATATTCATGATAAGAACCGGTAACATTGACATTTCACCAGCCAGATAGATCACGGGTATACCCGACCATACCATCAGCAAACCAATCCCAAGCACCGTTTGAATTTGATATTCCAAAAGTCTTCAAAGATCCAATGCTTCAATCTCCATCTCGATCATAAACATAAACAATCACCAGATCATCCAAAAAGGGTAATATATCCCCTCCACAACAGATTGATCCTATTCCATCCCATTCCATTCTCATCCCAAACCACGACAGGTCTCAACTGTCCGTTGTGTTCCCCACATAATCCCAGTTTGACTGTAGATCGAGATGAGAGGCTATGTCTTGCTCTCTCCTATCGAATCCGTTATTTCTTATTCTTTCTCGATCTTGTTGGTGAGATGGTGGTAACGATGATGACCACCAAAACTGGTTTTATCCTGATAGATAAACCGCCCGCCACCCACTCATCCATCTGGATCTCTCCCTGCATGAGATATGTAAAACGACATATATAGAACGTAAGATGATGTGCTGGTATATCGGGATTGCAGGAGATCCAAGAGGTATTTCGTGGGATCGGTCGTCGGGGGCTTCGTCATCGTCGTCGTCGTCGTCGGCGACGACGTTGGTATTGTTATAGTTGTCCTTTGTTCTTAAGACATGGACAATAAGAGAAGAAGAAGAGGTATGTTCGATGTATTTGCAACATGCAATATATGTGCTGTTGAAGTCGGACTGATTATGTTGAGAAGGGGTTGCTGCCCTAGTTGGAGTATGTATGTCACTGGCTTGAAACGAAGCACTGTCCAAGTGGAAGATATATATATATGAATGTACGCTGAGAACACCATTGTTTCAGCATGGATCACTCAACCCCCCCAAAGAGTATGGTCTATGCTGGGCGAGCGTCCGGTTGTTGTTCACGACCGTCTATCTATTGACGGCCGACAGCGGCGCATCGACGTGCCTAGTCGAGTCCTCCGAGCCAGACACGATCCGATGGTCGTGTTGAATGATCGGGCGGGGATGAGGCCCAGTCGGATAATAAGTCAGCGAGCAGCATTCAACATCCTTGACGAACGGATCATTCAAGGCCTGATGGATGGTGATTCTGTTCCGCGGGTTGGGATTCAACATCTTGAGGAGCAGGACCATCATCTGAATGCACGGGTAGCGGGTGAGATCCGTCAACCCGCCACAATCGGGGTAATTGTTCCCATCGATGGCGCGGGTCGGGTCGACACGCATGAATGTTCGCCAGCTCTCGACGAACAGCTTGTACACCGTGTCATTCTCGGTCGCTGATTCCCAGGGAAACGGCATGCCCAGCATGGACAGCGCGACGTTGGCACAGCACCAGACGTCGACTTTGCGGGGATCGTACTCGATGCCGTGGTAGAAGACTTCGGGTGGCAGGTAGGCCAGGGTCCCGAAGAGGTCGCCGCCAGTGCACTTGACGAAGTGCTTGGGGCCCATGTTGGGGTCTCGGAAGACGTGACAGGCACCGAAATCGGCGATCTTGAGGACGCTGTCGCTGGTGATGAGCAGGTTCTCGGGTTTGATGTCGAGATGGGCGGTCCCTTGGCTGTGGAGGTTGGCGACGCCACGTAGGAGCTGCTTGAAAAGACAGAGCTGTTCCTGGGAGGGGAGGACTCGCTTGTTGATGAGGTCGCCGAGGTCACCTTGGTCACAGTACTCCATGACATAGCCTAGGTCGCCCTGCTTGGTGCAGAGGTCGACGACACTGACGACGTTGGGATGGCGAGCCCGTCGGGTGATGGTGTACTCGTGACGGATCCGATGATGCAGTACCCTTTTGGAGACGTGGGATGGCTTGAAGAACTCCTTGACGACGTAGGGGGACTTGTCTTTGCTGTGGCGTTTGTAGGCCATGCGAGCCCTTCCATAGGCACCGGAGCCAAGGGCCTTTCCTTTGCTCCTGAAGTAGCACTTTCTGCTCTTGGAGGTCTTCTTCAGTTCTTGCAGCACCATAGCCTCCTCGGAGGGTTCGCTGATGCTGGAGTTCTCGATGAGACTGACGGCCTCGAAGTCGCTGCTCTGGGGAGAGGGCATCCCCTGGGGTCGATCCTCCAGCTGGGTGATGCTGGGGCAGGGGGAGGGAGAGGTGAAGAGAGTCGACGTCGACATATCGACGGTTTAGTCGGGTATCTTAACGATACGCTTTGGGTAGGATGAGCAGATCTTCTTCTGCTCTCTGAGAGATGGGATATCAAAGATATCCTGGAAGAAAGGGGAGGGTAGCGAAGGACTGTCTTGCATAGAACGAGGGAGATGGCAAAGAAGAGAGAAAGCAACTGTTGTAGTTGATATCGTAAGGTATCAACGAGCAAGATGAAAGAGCTTGTGCTGTAGCTTGAGCTAACAACTATCTTCTAGAGCCAGTGGTGAACGAAAGAATGAAGGATGGAGGATGAAGAAATGTTGGGGGGAAAAGAAAGGAGCAGCCATAGATAAAGGGCAAACCAGGCTATGACGACTGCTGTCATCACGGCCTGTTGAGATGATTGAGGCAGGGCAAACTAGAACTATCTAGTAGACGACAGCAACCTGATTGGCTCCCTGGAGGAGTCATCGCTCGAGACTGGGGCAAAAAGTTTACATCCCTGCGTACTTTGGACGTAACTGGCTTCCGGGGAAGAACATAGGGTTTATAACCATCGAGGGTATAGATGGTCCATGATTCACAGCGTGAGACATATTGGCATTGAATGGACATTCCGAGACTCGGCATCAAGTTGACTATTGAATCTATTGAATGGCAAGGCAAGTCCGTGAGTCCAGGACTTCACTGTATGCAAGACTAGAGGTAATCACAGCTGACATTGATCTATAGATGTGAGTCAACATACTATTCATAGAATGCCTCATGATGTACGGGGTATACTCCAACCCCATTGAACTATAAAATGACTAAGACATCCGAGTAGTAGTCTTCTCCTGCCCCTACAGCGCACAATCCCAGTCGTGACGATCACCGACGTCAGCCCCAACGGCCGGCCCAGAGGCTTCTGGATGAGTCAACTGACTCAATTAAACACTGGGTTGGGGAGCGCTGGATGACCAGTGTCGAAGGCACGTGACGTAGCCGAGGCCGATGCCGACTGCCAGATGCATCCGTGTCGAGGCCATGTTGCCATCTTGTTCTAGCGTGCAAGTGAAAACAGCCTGTCCAATGAGACGATGAATTCTCGCAGTTGCAGAAACAGACCTCATTGGTTGAGTAACCTCAAGGTAATGAGGCATGGTCCCGTCCGCAAGGCCGCACTTCCAGCGTAGCAGCAATTGCCCGCAACAAATCAAGAAGCTGCAAAGCAGTGATGTAAAGGGCTGCAGGTAAGTATGCATTCTCCAGACAAATGATGGCATATGGCATAGACAACCAAGGTCCCTAAATGCTCGAGCCGTCTGGCACGCATGAGCAAACCGAAGTATCCTGGCCTGGCGGCTCAAAAGTCCTGTACTCCCGTCTCGCCTTGTAGGTGAGACTTGATATCCCCCTCGTCTGCTCCATCAACAAGCCACTCCGGCTCTTCATCGTCAAAGTATTTGTCTTGCTCGACGGTCCAATCATCGTATTCATCATTGTTGTCGACCGTGGTATAATCAAAATCGTCGTCCTCACCCCGCAAAAACCGCAAGGTCATCTCCCACCGCCACGACTTCTCGCCTTCTTCTTTATTGGGAGGAATCTCGTCTCGGTCTTCCGCGAGGATCTCTCCGTTGGGGCCTCGGGTATAGCTGAACATGGCGTGAGGATCGGGGTGGGAAAGCGCCTCGAATTTGGCCTCAGATCTACACAGGTCCGCTTGCAGCACACCCGAGAAGCCTTTGGCACGTCCTTCCGCCTCCCTTTCGGCTGGGGTCTGAAACCGACGGATTAAACGATCATACAGTAACGGGTCTGCAGGCTGGAGTGTTAGCTTGGCTTTATCACCCCCTGTCAGCGACAGGGTGACTGAAGATGAAACCCCTCAGTCTGGAGAAGAGGAAGACAGAGCGAGCGGACCGGCTAGCTCGAGATCAGCAGAGAAATACTCCGGGTGCATGTCCAGGTAGCGCTTGCGACGGTTTTTGACTCGGGTTCCCGCCGATGGGGACTGCGCTCTTGTCGCGGGGGTGAGCTCCATTTGGGGCCGGTCTGCATTGGCATTGACGCCTGTACCCGTGGGGAAACGAGGCATAATGTGCGGGGAATCGCAATGCAGTAGATGGGAGACAAAGCAGAGGGAAGACCGAAGGCCAGGGAGCTGAGGTGGGATGATGTTTCTCGCGCGGGGAACTAAACCGCTTCGGGCCGGAAGCACGCGGGCGGCAAATTATTATGATTAATACGATGATTATCTGGGTTGTTTCTCAGCTCAGACGTCGCTCCAACGAATGACAGTCCGCAGACCAGTCGACTTTTCTATCTGAGAAGAATTGGTAAGCCTAGTTGCGTTCCACTCGGTTTCAGATCTGGCTACGGGGCCCAGGGTCTATTGTCTGGGCCCGTGGTTGCTGGCTTCCGTCCGTTAAATAGGAGCCACATATTCCACGACCTATACTGACCGGGCTTCAGAACACCCTCAATTGATCGGTCTCAGAGGTCGGACACCCATGTTTTCTCTTGCTGGTCTCTTGCAGCAGCCCACCACCCGGCAGCTGCTGGCTGGCACGGCTCTGCTGTTTCTGACGGCCTTCTACTCGCCATTGACGGTGTTGATGCTGACTCCGGTGTATGGATCGGCCCCTGCGCACATTTTCCATCCCTATGGATTGGCGCTCATTGGCGCCGCTGGATGGTTTTTGAAGGACCAAATCCAGCGACTGACAGGCCGCCAGGCCCTCTATCTGGTCCCCGTCATCGCATTCTGGGTCCCTACCGTCCAAAGTTTCTTGTTCGCATCCAGCTCTGTCCTGGGCAATCCATTTGGAGCTGTCGTCACCGAGGTCATCTCCTACTACCCTCTGGTTCTGCTCTCCGTGGCCTGCGCTGGTAAGTTGGTGCAGGCGGGCTTGGATCTGGGCCGGCACGGCGAGGCCGTCGTCGAGCATGTTCCGCTCGTGGTCACCTATGTCATCTACAAGACGGGCGAGAAGTTTGCCAAGTTGTTTCTGGCCAAGTTCATTGGCACGACCTTCTTCTTTTCCCGTGCTGGTCTCCAACTGTTGCTCCCAGCCCTGTATTCTGCCATCGCCCCTTCCAAGCTCTTGCTTCTCGCTATTCCATCCCTGCTCTTCTCCATGACATCCAACGTGCACATGAACTCTGGAGCCTTGAACTCTTACCTCAACGATGAGGGCTTCGACCTCTTGGCCCGCCAGGACTCCTCCACCGGCTACATCTCCGTTTTGGACAACTTGGGAGATGGGTTCCGTGTCATGCGTTGCGACCACAGTCTGCTCGGAGGACAGTGGACCAAGATGCCGCAAAACTACAACCCGGCCGTTATGGACCCGATCTACTCGGTATTCACCATGCTTGAGGCCGTCCGTCTGATTGAGACCGACCACGGCGAGCCTCGCGTGGATGCCAACAGCAAGGCGCTTGTCATGTAAGCACCTGCAGCTATCCTCACTCACCTAAGAACCACTCTAACATACGACCAGCGGCCTCGGAGTTGGCACCACGCCCTCTGCCTTGATCCACCACGGCATTGAAACCACCATCGTGGAGATCGACCCTGTCGTGCACAAGTTCGCCACCGAGTACTTCCACTTGCCCTCGAACCACATCGCCGTCATCGAAGACGCCACCACCTTCGTGAAGCGTACTCCCCCCGCCCAATACGACTACATCGTCCACGACGTCTTCACCGGCGGTGCCGAGCCCCTCGAACTCTTCACCCTCGAGTTCCTCGAAAACCTCGGCGCCCTCCTCAAAGACGACGGCGTCATCGCCATCGTAAGCCCCCTATCCCCCCTCCCTCCCCCCCAAGGCAACCCAACTAACCCCCCCAGAACTACGCCGGCGACATCTCCCTCTACCCGGCGGCCCTCACCGTCCGCACCATCCAACACGTCTTCCCCACCTGCCGCATCTTCCGCGAAGCCTCCGACTCGGACCTGACCACCGACTTCACCAACATGGTCATCTTCTGCAAGAAGAGCGCCGCCACCCCCCTCACCTTCCGCAACCCCGTCCCCGCCGACTTCATGGGCAGCAAGTTCCGTCAGACCTACCTGGTCCCGAAGCAGGAGATCGACATCAGCCGCTTCGAGCCCATCGAGAAAGGCGGTCGTCGCTTCCTCCTCTCTAAGGAAACTCATCTGCTTCATAAGTATCAGGATCGCGCTGCCCTGGAGCATTGGAATATTATGCGTCATGTGCTGCCGGATTTGGTTTGGGAGAATTGGTGATCTCCTGGCTAGGTGGTGTATGCTGCGTACTTAAGTGATTGTGTACCTGTCTGGTAAGAGGGTATATTCGGCTTTTATTTGGATTCAAATAGCTGTATTCCTAGGTTATGTTTTAGAAACAGAACAAATACTATGTAATTTTCGTTTTATGATACGTTTATCCTCTAGATAGTACTTAGTAGTCCGGTACAGGAAAACCACACCTTTTGGGCTAATCAAACAACTTAATTAGATTTCTATATTGATCGTAAGTAACTAGATAAAAGTGATAGTAACATTTTTGACTCCAGGGCCCGCTAATAAAGACACGTTCATCAATTAAAGACACCACCCATCCAAATGACCACACATACATCCACTCATCCATCGACCAGATAATGAACTAACGCAAGATAGAAAACAGAGAAGGACACACACAAAAAGTAAGAAAAAGAAAAGAAAAGGAATAAAAGGATAATATTGAAAATCTGTGATTCATCTCATCTCCGACTCCTATAAAAAATCCAGCCTAAGCCATTCTGGTATCACAAACGAACGAGAAAGCGAAAACGAGATGTCACTGCACCAAGCCAGAGCGCTCCCACCTCTCCTACCTCCCTTCATCCAATAGGTATGTGTATGTATGTACTGCATGCAAAGGTGGAATAAAATTACAATCCAACAACAAGCTTTCTCCCCACGAGTGAATTGATGATGCTGATGGAGTTCATGCGGAGGGGCTGCCGCGGGGACTGGCCCCCGGTTTCTTGACGAGGCCGGCGAAGAAGTTCGCCAGGGCTTGGTTGTGGGCTTTTTCGTCGCCGGCGGAGGTGGTGAGGGTTTCTTTCCTTTGGGCGCGGCTGGCTTCTCGTTCCTGTGGGTTGGAGTGGTTAGATGGATTTGGTTGGGTTGGCAGGGAAGGCTTACTTTGAGCTTCCGGAGCATGTCGTCGGCGTCGACTTGGATTCCGCCCATGTTGAACTGCACCGGGCCAATATGCTCGTTGACGCGGCCGTTGTCGTCGAGTGGTGACATCTCGAGCTGTGGGACCTTCTTCGCGGCGCGGTCTTTCTCGTCGTCTGCCTTCAGTTGCTCGAGGACCTCGAGTTGCTTGGTCAGGAAACTTTGCATGTCGGAGGTGTCCACTTCGACCTTGTTTCCGTTCCGCTGGCTGCCGGGATGTGCCATCGATGTGTCCCGCTTGGGGTCCGTGATGGTCTGCTCGAAGATCGCCACGGCGCTGGTGCCATCGTCCATTGTATTCGTGGGGTCTTCGGGCTTACTCTCGTCCACTTCATTGGTGAGTGGCTCGGGAGGATCCTGGATCTCGATCGACCATGCTGTTGATACACCCTCCATGTCAAAACCTTCGCGAATAATCCGGATTTTGCCCCAAGAATCCCAATTTGACGGAACCAGAATCTTGTCCCGGTCGATCACATTATGTTTGAGCGACTGTCTTTTTAGTAGGGAGTGTATGCCAAGTGAGGAGTGTATTAGGCTCTGCAGGGAGTTTGCAAGGAAGGGGGTGGTGTAAATCAATGACGCGCCATCTGTTATCGATTAGAAGGGAGCTCAACCGGAGTGACTACTGCCTTACGCTTTAGTAGTAATGTTCTCATAAACTGGAGGATGAAGTCAAATTGCTCTTCGTGCCATCCATGGTCCTTTTCCAGCTTCTCGATCTTATCTGCCTGTGAATGCGAACAATCTCATCAGTATCACAGCTGCTTGAAAGTCTGCAACGGACCAACGTACCCCTTGGCAGACGACACACATGGGGATCCCGAGCCCCTCGTCCCATTCGCCGGGTCCCAGCGGTATCGTCACAGGCCCGCCCGAGCTGGTAAATCCTTGTGCGCCTCCCGAACTCGGATCCATGCCTCGTTTCCGATCCCGCCACTCCGTGAGATTCTCTTCCATAACGATCTTCGTCTCGTCGTCAAGCGATATGAGCACATGTCGGAGAAGGCGGACCCATTCCCGGAGTCGCCGAATCCATGTCCACGGGTCTGACCAGTCCAGCAGGATCACGACGAGGGTTTCCGGAATCGACTGAGGGGTCAGGAGCGGTTTGAGAAGGGGGGCGAACGATAGAGACGGTTCAGAGAGTAAGTATGCGGAGACGCGCGCCAGAGTATCTATTCGCCGAGCACCATTCTTTCAGCATCCATCCAACACAACAAGCTATTCGCATTCATCCAGGAGATCAATTACCTTCGTGGTCCGCATCGAGCACATCCTGATATGTATATCCCAGAGCGAACTGGTTGGCGACCGGCGGTACCCTCCCCTTTCGCTTCTCATTTGACAAGCTAGGGTCCGACGAATCCGCGGCGAGTGTGTCTAAAAATTCTCTTTGACTCTCAGGCGTGCCACCTGGGAACAGTCCAGCTATTAGCGACCCAGAACGTAAAAAGTCGAGAACACCGAGGGCGGCGGAAACTAGGTCTTCACACCTAGGATAAGCAGGTTCTTCTCAGGCAGACGCTTTCCATTCGCGACACTATCCAGCATAGACGACCAGATGTTCTTCTTGGGGCCATCCTTGCTCGACGGCCGGCTATTGTTTCCGGTGCCGAACCTGGACCCGGGTATTTGGCTGGACGCCGACATTGTGTGTTCGAATTCGACTAGGCTCAGTTGGCGCAGACCATGCCAAGTAACGTTCAAGCGGAGGTGAGATTATCCCGACGGCTTTGACGCGTGAGCCGCGGAGTTTGGAGGGATGGTGGATATCGGGACCAGCCAGCGGATTGGGGTCAGGGGAATCTGGCGTAGGGGTCGATCTGGAGCGATCAAGGCGGGACCGCGACCGAATTTCCCACCCGAATGAGCGGGACCGTAGATAAGCCTGCCGTTGCGTGTGAATCACACCGACGGTGGGGTGTCAGTTTCAGAGGAACGGCGGTTCTGTCGAGAAAGAACGCAAGTCGGACTCCCGTAAACAACAATCCAACAGTCGGCGTCCTTGCGGGTGGGACCCTCCCGCGGAGCCCAGCCCGTGATGTGCTGAACCTGCCAGTTTTCTGCGGCTTCCATCCTACCTCTCTCTCCTCTTTCCGCCCATCGCCACAGCTATCCTTGGTCCGAACTTTGCTAGCTGGGGTGTACTGTCTCGCTCGCGCGACCCCTGAATTAATATGAATAATATCCGTCAAGTCCAAGCGCTCAACAAGCGCGAATTGGAAAATGCCGTGTATGTTCGGCACCTCAGCCCAGACCACTGCTTTTACTAACCTCTGCGGATGGCATTAGACCTCCCGAAGCTTCCTGGCATGCAGACTACAGAGACACCGCTTACATCTACATCGGTGGACTACCATTCGATCTCTCCGAGGGTGATATTGTAACTATCTTTTCGCAGTACGGCGAGCCAGTCCACGTAAATCTGATGCGCGACAAAGAGACTGGCAAGAGCCGAGGCTTTGCCTTCTTGAAATACGAGGATCAGCGCAGTACGGATCTCGCGGTTGACAATCTGGGTGGAGCGACAGTCCTAGGAAGGGTGCTGCGCGTGGATCACACGAGATACAAGCGCCGCGACGACGAGGAGGAAACGGACAATGTCGCAAAGCTGATGGGTGACACGACCGGCAAGGACCATGATGACACGGATGATGAGCGACGAAAGCGGAGGAAGAGAAGGACCAGTGAAGACGAGCCCCGAAGGCGACCTCTGCTCAAGGAGGAGATCGAGCTAGAGGAGCTGATCAAGAACCACGATGAGGAGGACCCGATGAAGGAGTTCCTGATCGAGGAGAAGAAAGAGGAGATAGCGCGAGCCTTGAAAAAGGTACACAGCAGCGAGAAGTCATCACGGAGACGAGACAGCCGCGAGAGATCAAGCCGCCATCACCGTTCTCACCGTCGACGACACGACGACGACCGCGATTCGGAGAGAAGACGCCGAGACCACCGGTCGCCTAGGAGGGAAGAGCGATCGTACAGAACCAGGTCTCCGTCTAGAAGGGAGAGGTCCGACAGAGATAGGACCCCGGTCGCATCGCGATCCCCCGAATCACGACGACACCGCGATAGACATGATCGGCAACGTTAATTGTCGCAAAACAGCTATTCAACTATTAAATATGCTATGACGGTTGAATCCTAAACTAATCTTGGCAGAGAGCCATCAAAAAAGATCTCCAAGACCTTTGTGGTGAAAGGTCTGTTTAATGCCTTAACCTGGAAATGCAAGCCGTGAAATCCTGCGCCATCCTGTTCCTGCTCATACGGTCTTGGGTCCATGCCTGGATCTGTGCTGTGGCATGCGTAAGGTCATCAGCATACGGCTGTTTGCCCGTGCCGGAACGACTGTTGTCCTGGTACAAACCGCATAGGTAGTGCTGTGAATATCAACTCTTGATTCCGCGGGACCAACGGAATTCTCAGCTCCCTCCCAAATATCTCTTCCAGCCTTCTCTCAAACAGTACCGCTTCCCATCGTCTCCGTCGCGAAGAACGAATTTTTCCCAACGAGCATCCCTGCCGGAACCGATAACAAGGATGGTTCTGTCATCGGGCCAACCGATCACACCCTTTGACGGTCCCCCAAACGAGGTACCCAGGGGCGGAACATACAGTGAACCAGGTGGCGCTTCATCGCCGATCTCAAAGTGGGCGCTTGCAAATGAATACACATCCGAGAAGACTCTTGGCAACAATGGGATCTTTCCAAGGATCCCCCATTTCTGGTTGGCTGATTCTTCGGTCGGGGAAGCTGTAGAATGAGACCGGTGCATAGGGATCCGAGGATGTGGGAGGTCAAATACGTGCAGGGTCGATTTATCAGATGTCACAGCTAAGAGAAGATTCGAGGGCGAAATGGCAAGCGAGAATATCACTGCGTGATCGACACCTCGTCGTAGCTCAGCCATCTTGGTGCAATTAGCTGTAGAAAAGACCCGTATCAAGGTCCCCTAGATTGTGTTTTGTCAGTAGTCCGCACTGCGTTCATAGCCATAGGACTAGGACCCTACCGCTTCGCTCGCTGTTGCCAACACCTGGCCATCCGGACTTAAAGTCATCGCGCGTAACGGCGTACTGTGTGCAGGGATGATACTGACATTCCCCGTTTCGAGCTCCACGAGTTGGACCTGGCCAGGCGACCGACCCGGAAAAGCGAGCAACTTCTGCCCCAAACAAGCCAGCCCCAGTGGGTTATCCGTCGTCTCGAAAACCGAGAGCTTCTGTGGCGGGTTGGAGAAGGCGAAGATGTGGATGCTATTTAGGAGGGCGACAACGATCCGTGATTTGGACAATCGAACGCCCAGGACCGACGTGCGGAATTCTAGCGTGATCACTGGTTTCTGCTTTGCGTCGTCCCAGATAACCAACTGCGAGGGATAAGTATAAGCGGCTTCTCACAAGCCAGGTAGGTATAGTAGCTCGCGCACCTTGTTCTGGGGAAACTTCGGCTGTCTACCTCCGCCCACGATAGCTAGGTAGTTCGACTGGTTGAGCATGGTGACTACACCGATGCCAGCATTGAAATCTGGAGGGAGGTGAGGGTCTTAGCGATCTGGAGCTTCAGGAGGCCCGGAGTGAAGTAGTCATATACCTCTGGATACTTTCAGCTCGCATGGTTGGGTGTTGAAAACTGTCCATCAAGATCATTCTGTTCTCAGCTTGTTATCCTGATAGAGAATCTAGATGCAGGAGGCGCATGGTCCAGACTTACCACAGAAGCCGGTGTCCAAGCCCACGGCGAAGCAGGAATTATCATTGTTGAAGGTAGCGGAGAGTGAGAACGGCCCCACCGACTCATCGATCACTTGTCGCGTATTCATCCTGGAAGCCAGGAACAGAAGCCATGAGAGCCCTTGATGTTGAAAGTACACAGTACAGGGTAGGCAGGAAACTAGAAGATCGACGGCGGTCGCTGACCTCACCCGGGCATCAGTAGATAAGGTCCGGGGTCCGCTTTTGGCTGGGGATGCCGGAAGAGCTGCGGATTCCGGAGCCAATAAACGGCTGGCACGGAATGGTGACTTGGGCACCGGAGACTCCATGCACATCATCCATTTTCATTCGACGGACAGGGTTCCTTGGTGAGGTCCAAGGGAAATGAAATACCTCCTCTGACAACGACGTGATTCGAACCCGCGCGGTCAATTTACCCTCGGGGATGATGATAGCATATCATTTCATGCCTGAGGCAGAAGTTTTCAGGCGATTATTGCGTATTGTATCCAAGTCATGCTTACCGCTACGGCGGCCCGCAGCGACCCACGGCGGCGGTGGAAACGCCTTCTGCTGCCCCCGACCCCTGAGAAGAACCGGGGGAGGGCACAGAAGCTAGCCAAACAGTGCAGCAACCGCCTATGCTTTAAACCCCTTGGGTTGTCGCTCTGGACTCAGGCGAACAGGTTAGTGGAGAGTATGTGACTCGACTCAAAGTAACTAATCACATGGTGAGGCCAAGCCCACTGAACGGTGTGGAGACCTGGAGGGTGTGGCCTTCGTTGAAAGACAATAATTGATGATCACGGCGTCCCCAGATTGGACAGGTACCATTGTGGTGATGGAGGTACCCAATTACCCAAATACCGGGCCTGGGCGTAGATGGAGTACCTCTGAGTATCGAATGGCCACTTAGTACTCCATTCTCCGTACAGTAACCGTGCCTGGCGCCCATCCATGGGTGGTCGTAAGTGGTACGACCAGTAAGTATCAGGTACGATGCTCAGTTTACGGGTGGTACCAATATTACCAGCGACCGAACAATCTGGAGAAGGAGCGACGGCGGTGATTGGGCGATGGGGCACTGCAGGGTGAAAGGGGGCAGCCGTGACCGTAAGAGGCGAACGGGAGTGAAATCCAATGCGTTTCCCCCCCCCTAACTCCCCTAACTGCCAGATCAGTAGCAAGTGCCAGCCAAACGGCTCTCGGTCACTCCAGCTTGCCTGAGTCCGTCCCGTCGAACCTCAGGGGAGCAACGCTGCCATCCATCTCATCCCATCCCATCCCATCCATCCAACCTTCATTCCACCCTCTCTCTCCTCCATTCCTTTCCTTTGGCTCAACAACTCCTTCATCCTGGTCCCTGCCACTCGCTTTCTCCCTCCCATTTTCTTCAATTTCGTCTTCTCTCTTCTTTAGTTTCTTCCATTCCTCCCCTTTTTAATCCACCATGTCTTTCAACGCGGTATGTTGCTTCCTTCCCCTTTCTGGCCTTGTTGCTCTGAAGCCTATCCACGACCACCCCTCTTTCCCCCCCAACCCACCCCTCCAATGGTGTCCGGGACCACCTCATACTTTTCTTATCTGTCTTCAGGCTCTTGGCCAGAGGGTGTCCATGGTTAATTTCCTGCTCTAATCCTTAGATGAAGCTCCGTCGCAAGAAAAATGTCAAGAAGGGTATCCAGTTCTGTCTGATGGTCTGTGGTGCCAGCGGAACCGGTATGTGCTGGATTGTGCAATTCGCTTTCATTGCAGGATTGACCGGGTTTCTCTTTCGACAGGACGTACCACCTTCGTCAACACTCTTTGTGGAAAGAAGGTCCTAGAGGGCAAGGACTCCGACGACCCTGCCAACGCTCACATTGAGGAGGGTGTCCGCATCAAGCCCGTTACAGTTGGTAAGTTACCGACAAAGGGACCGGGAGGATACACGGCGCTAATAATATCTCGAAAGAGCTCGAATTGGACGACGAAGGCACTCGCATCTCTCTCACCATCGTTGATACCCCCGGGTTCGGAGACCAGATTGACAACGAAGCAAGGCACGTGGACCCGGCCGTCTTCTCAGCGCCCCATGGCAAAAACTGACCGTCCCACAGCTTCGGCGAGATTGTCGGATACCTTGAGCGCCAATACGATGACATCCTTGCGGAGGAATCACGAATCAAGCGTAACCCCCGCTTCAGGGACAACCGTGTTCACGTGCTCCTGTACTTCATCACACCGACCGGCCATGGACTGCGTGAGCTGGACATTGAATTGATGAAGCGCCTTTCTCCCCGTGTCAACGTTATTCCCGTCATCGGCAAGGCCGACTCCCTCACCCCCGCCGAATTGGCCGAATCCAAGAAGCTGATCATGGAGGATATTGAGCACTACCGCATTCCGGTTTACAACTTCCCTTACGATATCGAGGAGGACGATGAGGATACCGTTGAGGAGAATGCTGAGCTGCGTGGTCTGATGCCATTTGCCATTGTTGGCTCCGAAGACTTCGTCGAGATCGACGGCAAGAAAGTACGAGCCCGGCAATATCCTTGGGGTGTCGTGGATGTCGAAAACCCCCGTCACTCGGATTTCTTGGCTATCCGCAGCGCTCTTCTCCACAGCCATCTGGCAGATCTCAAGGAGATTACCCACGATTTCCTTTACGAAAACTACCGTACCGAGAAGCTCAGCAAGAGCGTCGACGGTGCTACTCCGTACGTATCCCGGACTGCTATCGTGATATTGAGACCGACGCTAACCCATAGCCACAGTACACAAGACTCCTCGATGAACCCAGAAGACCTAGCATCTCAGTCCGTTAGACTGAAGGAGGAGCAGCTTCGCCGCGAGGAAGAGAAACTCCGCGAGATCGAGCTGAAGGTGCAGCGCGAGATCGCTGAGAAACGCCAGGAACTGCTGGCTCGTGAGAGTCAGCTGAGGGAGATCGAGGCTCGCATGGCGCGTGAGGCTAGCCAAAGCCAGGTTGATAGCACCAACGGCGATGCTTGAACCCCCCGCTGACCCTGTCCCCTGGGGATGAACGAATCTTGCATGTTGACCCCAGACACCGGTTGTGCCTATGTAATGAGATTCGTGGCACGGCAGTTGTGACTGTCGACGGGGGTAATATTAGTCGACCGTTTATTCACGTTAATAGCTTTTTATCTGAACGGGGAGGGGAAATGCAACGTTCCGTTTATCTTGACGACTGGCAGCGTTCCCCTTTGTGAACCAGAGGGATGCGGACAAGAGGTGATGGAATCCTGCTGCTGCACTGTTCTCTCCCTCTCCCAATTTTGGCTTCTCATGTCTTCTTTAATCTGGTCGAAGGATCTCCGACTGTTTCCCGTGCCCGTGTTGCGATGTTTGGGGTCAGAGATAGCATCTTTTTAATTGCTGACAGTTGTCGCTGGACCTGCATAAACTCCTTCTCATTGCCATCCCTTTTATTTCCATTTCTGCTTTTGTCGATGAAACCTGTCCCAATCTCAGCAGCGCAGCAAGATTCCCTCTTTTGTCGTTTCATATTCCTTGTGCTCGTGGTTTATGTCTTAATCTTATCATCATATGTCTTAGTCGAATAGTAGTATATGAAGGTCTTGTTCTGATAAGATGCAATCGTACTGCTCAGGGAGTTGTCGCCATATCAATCACGCTTCTATATCTGGGGTCAATATGGCTCGTAGGCTCTCCATCTTCTCGAAGCTAGTAAGTCATCATCCAATGATCACATCCAGCGCTAGTCAACCTCGGATATGCCACCTGCCGATTGGTGGTCTTGGCTTCCAGTGAATATATATTAATCTAGCCGAAATATGTTTCTAGCGAACCTCATCGCCAACCCGAAATGACCTACTCCAGCGACTTTGCCTTTCTTAGGACATCATTGATAACGCCTGTTCTATATCTCAAGTAAATTCTGATAGCCTTCTATAACGACTTTGATTCTAGTCTCAGGCTACTAACTATATCATCCCCAGAATAAGCAAATACTACTCAGCAGGATCGATTCCGTCTTGGCATCCAAGATAAGTAGATAGATAGATAACCCAAAGTATATCTATGGTACTGTAAACAATAACTACAAGAAGCAAGAATCTCTAAATTGAGGCATGGTAAAAGAAATATAATGTTTATTTACTGTCTTGTCTGGGTATACTAGGTATATACTAGGTAGCTTGGACTGAGCGGTGTTTAACCCACTCACCCAATCTGGTTAGTAATTGTTGGGCGACTCATTTAGTGACGTACTTGATATCCGTGCATAATGTGTGTGATTGGAATGGGCTTTGGGGTTTAGATGTGTAGAAGGTAAGGTATTGTGCGTGGTTGCTGGAGCAGGTAGGTTGGGGGTTGTTGTGAGCTTGTACCTTTCTTTCTTTCATTTTGATGATTAGAGAGACAGATGAAAAAGAGGATCTATTCTACGTGATAGCAGAAAGAAATAAGAATCTCCGGATCCAAGGAAAGCGAAAGCACTCATCTTTCGCTGACTGCAGGGCATCCCCCTATTTGATGAAAAGCGAGAAGAGTCTATCGCTGATCTCTAGAGGCCCGGACCGTGTTGTTCGGCCAGGGTGTGGTCGATAGTCCTGGGAGCCCAGAACAATGGCACCCTCTTTTGGTAGAACAAACTCATCACCGGGACGACTTTTCGTGAGTTTGAGGACCCGGTTACAGGTCCCTCCAGACCCAGCGTCGCAGGGTCCAAATGGATCCGTTTCTCTGAATTTATCAACGAACAGCTGATTCCCCAGCTTCGGTCTGTGTTGGTTGCCGCCGTGTATATCCGTCAAGTCGCGGATGCATGAGGTACTAGCCAAGAGAAAGTTCTCGCGCCGTGGCAGAGGAATCCACGCTCCACAGACACTCCCAGGCTCGGGCTGAATCGCGTCTGCCATTCCCTGGCAAAACAGCACAATCGTGTCCTGATTTTCGTGCACGATGTCACGCCAGCAACTTGCTTTCCCCAGCGGGAGGCGGACTTGTTTCTCCCAAGACGATCTGCAGGCGGCGATATCATATAGCTCCCAGCCACGAATGGAATGGCTCTCTAGCATGCGAATGGAAGAGTTATAGGCGCGCTGAAGTTCTCTTCGCTGTTCCAGGAAGCGAAATATCTCCTTGAGTTTGGTCAGGAACATATATGGCTTTTCGTCGGCCTGCGCCTCCCGGAGGACCAGGTTTCGATTTTCAACAATTGCATTGTACGCGGCTTGTCCGCCATCATGGGATACCTCTGCAAAAGGCATCACGGAAAGGAGGGTGTCCCTATCTGCCTGTCGGGCTGCCCACACGTGGGCGATTTCCAGTACAGCACAGAGTTCGGGGACCAGAAAGCCGGTTTGGTTCGGGACATCGTAGAGAAGCAACGGATTTCTTTGAGAGTTCAACAATCGATCCTCCAGCAAGATCTCTTCGTTCTCTACCGATGCAATCAGCCCCCTAGGAAAGATTACTCGGGATCCAATTCCTGCCCCGAATGAGCCTAGACCTGAGAGGCTTATTGTGGGCGCGATCTCACGTTCGAGACGGACGGTAGTCCGGGCATTTCGTGCTTCAGACGAACAAATTTGGTCAAACTGGGAGTGCTTTGTCCCCATATGCACACGAGCCCGTGTGCAGTATCCAACAAAAGCACGGTAGGTTTTGAGAGTGTCCACATCCAATTCAATCATGTTTTCCTTAAGACCATCTGGGATTCTATCCACCTCGATGTACCTCTCGGGTGTTTCAGAGACGATAAAGTGCCACTGGAGGCAATTGGGGCTCGATATCAAGGTTGGGATCAGCATGGTCGAATGCCCTTTCAAGATTATGCCATCCGGAAGTTCAAGAGGGTAATGAATCCGACCTAAGGTGAGAAGTACATCAAAAGAAAGCTCAAGCCCAATTCCCCCTGTTCGGGGAGGAACGGGATAACCATGGGCCAGATTGCTATTCTGGTATAGCGGTAACCAACACGAGCCTCTTTCATGGTCGGCGATGGTGCGAGGTTCCCTTTCAATGGAATAGTAAGTGCGAGAACCAACTGAATCGGGTTTCCGCATTACACCTCGATATGCTTTGAGCGGGCCACGCTGGGATACTTGGAAGGTACAGACGAGCCAGGAGAGAAGCTGAAAGAAGATGGAGAGGTTCCTAGGAGTCCCTTGAACATCGATGTACCGGCCACAGTCATCGGCTTCAAAGGTATACCTCACTCCCAAATGCTCGAATTGAGGGAGAGGCAAGTCTACCAATAGTTAGTTTATATCGCGAAGGGAAGAAAACGATGCTTCCAAAGTCGCTAGCAGGCTCCTTTAGCGTGTTGCTATGTCTCAGAGTTCAAGACCACAACCCCAAAGCCTCAAAAGACAACAAAGAGACCACACAGTCTCACCGTTATTCATGACATGGTTTTTAACTGCCTGAAGCACGGCCAGCCCGTCCTCACCCCAGAAGAGCTGGATGTATTGCTCGCAGGTGGTGGCATAAGCGTTGTCAACGGTGCCACTTAATGTAAGAAGAGCACCCAAATTCCAGCAGCCGTTGAGCTCGACCTTGACGAACCTTCGAAGGTCCCACTCTAGAAGTAGACGACAGTCTATCGGAGTACTGTGTATGAAGACATCACTCATAGATTCTCTGATATCGTGGAACGCCGCGCAGGATTCGGGCGCGTAGGCAGGGAAATTTCCCGAATCTCCGCTGATGGTCGTATCGACAGTGGGGGAGGCTCCCTTATGGGCCGGAGTCTTTCATAGAGGGAGAAATTATTTGTTAGCTTTCCCAAACACTCTTCGAGGCCGAAAGGTATACATGCTGATTTATCAGCAGGCTTACAGCCAGAGCAGGCTCTATGGCGACACAATATACACCACGGTTGATTCTCCCACAGCTTGGGCCCGTCCCCGCATTGGCAGCAATAATATAAGTATGGCATGAGGGGTTTGCGATGCAGGCCGAGTCACCGCCTGAACAGTTATGTGCAATGGGCCAAGACACGAGTGGACAAAGCAAGCACGCAAGCAACAGGAAGGAGACTGGTCGCAGTAAGAAAACAGAAGGCTTTCTAGGCGGATCTGCCTGGTCTTTTCTACACTGGCAGGGCCACGGCGCTAGGAGCCGCGGGAGGCTGATTGGGTACTGATGCACGAGGCTGTGTGGATTGAAGGCAGGCATGGGTCGGATTCCATTCTAACTACAGATCGGAGCGCCAGCGCCAGCTGTCCCGCCTTGTTTGCGAGATAGTACTCCCCTAGCAAAGAGATAATTATATGAGTCGGTGACAGAAAGCCCAGGAAGAGAGGATAAGATGGTCGCATGACAAAGCAACAGGCACAGCAACGAAGGGAAGTGGACAATAGGGGGGTCGAATAAGCATGTGGTATTTGCGCTTCATTGTACACAGAGATAATGATCAAGCTGACCTGATACAGACAGATCGAATCAACAACATGGGAGGTATTATAAAAAGGAGATCCTCGGAACAGCTCAAGGAAGAAGAGGCCGCAAAGGAGAGCGAAACAGAGCTTGGACAGGACGCAGTGGATATATGCCCTTCGTGACCAAGGGCCATTCTAAGTGCAGTCAAAAGCAATCAAGGAGCATGCGCTATCTCTCGTATCTTCTTTCCCATCTCAGTGGGCCTACTGTTGCGGCTTGTTCCAGAAATCCAAACTGGCTACCACGTCCTCGCCCGATTCATCTTCATACGCATAGAGAATCTACTCCTCGGTTAGTCATGTACCGGGACCCCTCGGGACCAAAAACCACTTACCTCTCGGGTAGAAGAATGTAGCATGCGGATGTTCTTTCCGGTCATGATGTGAACCAGTTCACTTGTTTCGATGTGCCGGATCTCAATGAAATTCGGCTCAAATGCAAGGATGTAAGGGTAGGATAGGGCAAAGGCATTAGGATTACCCTCCCATGAAATTCTCCAGTCGGGACGGGCGCGCCAGCCATTGCGGTTGACGAAGAAAGAAAAGTCACTGTAGTTCAACAGGAACTCTCCGTTCATGCGTTCGATATGAATCGGTTTCACGTTCTCTTTGCGTGCAACAAAATCAAGAGAGGTGTCGGCCTGATCCAGAAGCGACTGCGTCTCGGTGGTCTCGAGACTGACAACCTCGAAACCACGTGCACAGCCGACACAAAGAGTCGAACGAAGGAAGTGGATGGATGAAGATTCGGCAGGAATATAGAATTCCTGTTGCGGCTGTTAGAATGCTGATTTCGAGAACGGATAGAAGACCTATACGAACCTTGAAGAGCTTCAGACTATCCTGACCACTCTGGAACATCTTGCTAACAGCGGACTTCTTCTTGCCTTTCGCCAGGTTATCCATGGGCTCGTAGACCTTGATAGTCGTCGATAAAGCTGATGTCTTGACAGAGCACACTAAATGACGACCAAGTCCGATCCCTGCCTTGAAGAAGTTTGCATGCCCTTGGATCTTTTTGGGTCGCTTGGCTACCGTATTCTGGTTTTCACTAATCTCGAGAGCATCCATGGGATATGACGATAACGTCTTATTCGAGAGGACCAAGAGTAGTTGATACTCCTCCAAAGTGTCCATCTGAGTAACCTGGCTAACGTCGAGGACTCGCCTAGGCTTAGCCGACTTATCCTTGGGCCAACGTTCAGAAAGGTATATGCCGCTGTCTGTACCATACACGAGCTTCCTGCCACCGTCTACGGGAAACGTCATTAGCAGATCGACAACAGATTCTCACAGCGGAGCGATAACATACCAACTGGCACCAGGCAGTTCACTCGGTTGACGGAGGTGAAGAACTTCTCGCAAAGGACAGTTTTGTTGTAGAAATTGCTGTTTCGCTCCCTGAGCTTTCTTTGCTGCTCTTCCACCATCTCAATGAATTTCCTCCGTTGTGTAGGAGAAGTGGCGTACAAGGTTTGTTCGTATCCGCCCTTGCCGAGATGTCTGAAGGTGATGGGAAGGCCATCTTTGGTTGTAGGAGGGTTGGCAGTAGCCTTGTTGGGAAGCAGACTAGAAGACGGCCTCTTAGCCACGCCGACCCTAGGAATCACTTCATCCATTTGAGCAATGACCAGAAGTTCTAGAGGAATGGGCTTCCTGTAAACTCGGCACTCCTCCCGCTTGTTCACGACCTTGATTCTCACCAGGAGAACCGCATGATCGAAGAGGTAGGCAGTGACCTCGGAGCTGTCCGTAGGCGTCTTCTTGAACGCCATTTTTGTCAGCATTTGACGGTTTTCTTCAGTTAGCTTCAAATCGACATATTCGCCAGGAGAAAACTTCAAGGCCGAATTGAGCTGCACGAGGTTGAAATGATTTTCAGCCCGTCCACTCTCGGCATTGACGCGGGACAGGAAGTCTTTGATGAGCTTGATGGCATTAGGGATATCTTGCTTGTCGGGATTGTCGTCTGCCGTGTTCTTCGCAACCTGCTCTAAAAGCAAGGGGTATCTTGCTAGACGAGTGGTAGGCTTGGTCAGGTATCCGTTCAACTCCAGCTTTCGTGACTCTTTAAGGCGTTCCGTCTCCTCAACAAATTTCGCAAAAGCCGGATTCGATGCCTTTTCCTTCTCAAATTCGTACTTTCCGTATAGCTGATTGGCACCATATTTGATGAAAGGATCGAAGCGTGGCACATGCTGCAGGAAAATGTCACCGACTGTCTTTACGACATGATTTTCTTTCTGCCGTGCGTTAAGAGCTTCGCACAATCCGCCGTTGACCTTCAAGACTTCCAAACAATTTCCGAACACGGTGCGAATGAACTTCTCTCGCCGATGTTCTGGGATGGGTGAGAGAGTAGCATTGGCTGCAGAACGCAGCGGCCTCATCCAGAAATCCCTCAGGTACTCAAGATCCTTGACGAAGTCGCGCTCTGTGTACATGATTTCAAAAATGATCTCTTGGCGCTTTTTCTCGCGATCGTCGATACTATCAGAAATCTCCTTAGGAACCATGTTAATCCACAGCTTTTGATTGTCGTTATCATCGTCATCTCCGTGCAGACTGCCCTTGGAAGCGGACGAACGGAGTCCCGGCTGCGGCTTCAGGTTCAGTCTAGCCTGTTGTTCCAGCCTTCTGGGGCAAGCAATTGAGTAGCATAAGCTGTCACGGGTGCAGGTCGGCGAGTAGCATTCAGTCAATAGTGTGAAAACTCCATTTACATCGGAACTGGGCCCTTCCTCCGCCATAGTTTCTTTGAATTGATAGATCTCACCGGGAGCATCTCGGAGACGATGATCGTATGTCACATCATGGAAGAACTTCTGCGCATCCAAAGCGCGTCCCAGCAGAAGAGCCAAGTTGCGATCCAGAGTCTTGATGATGTAGGCAATCAAATCCACCGCCTCTGCACCGGTGAAGGCATTTTGATATGACAGTTCGTTCTTCTGCCGTTCACCGAGCGCAATTCTCTCACGAAAGACATCTGCCACTCGCGACAACAAGGCTGGGTAAACTAGCGGCACCTTACTCCGACGAGAATTGCTCGGGACAAGAGTTGTCTGGTTGCTTGGTTTCTGGGTAATTTGACTTTGCATGCTCATAGTACGGTCCGGTACGACAGTGGATGCCATAGACATGGTACGGGAATTCATAGAACCATCGCTGGGTGGCCGAGGCTTTCCGCCGACATCGTAGGCGCTCGTCGCATCCGCCGGATATGGGATTTCTGGGGGCTCTCTAGGGCCGGAAGGCTGCCGCCTACCCGGTATCACCCGCCCAGTCGGTGTCGTGTGGGCATGCTCGCGATCAGTGGCATACGTGGTCAATGACATGGAGCGCTCGTTCTGATGTCTCTCTGGAACCGGTCGTCCTTGGGGTGTCATGGGGGCTGCTGCGTTATAGTGTTTCTGGCGAGAATAATTTGCAGAAGTATGATTGAAGCCACTGGATGGTGACTGATAGATCGGTGGCCCTCCCAACCTTGCCATTGACCTTGATCTGTATGCGTCCGAGTTCAGGGCAGGCTGGGGCGCCGGTCGAGCATAACCCTTTGCATCCGGATATTGTGGCCCGGGGTTCGGTCTCGAATCCAACCTCTGCGGTTGAGGGTAAGCAGAGCGTCCAGGATAGGGTCGCGGGGGGTTCTGAGAAGGGTGTTGGGAAGTCATCGTAGCTGCGCCTCCGCCATACGATAAGTAGTGACCGTTCGGAGTTCCCGGTGTGTATCCATTCTGCATCTGGCGCGCGGGTGGTGGCGGACCCCTCTGCATTTGCGGATGCGGCACGTGTGATGACATTGTATGGGCCCGATCCTGGGAGAACTGGGGAGTCTGGGAGGTCATAGTCTGTGAGCGTCCAGGTGCCCCGCCAAAAATCTCAGAAAATGCTGCATCACGCTGGAAAGCGGAGGGCTGCCCGTAAGGCCGGTAGTTCCGGCCTTGCTGACCCCCTAAATCGGCCATGGTGTATGATGCCCCCTCTTTGCTCCTCGCTCGGGGTTATCTCGATGGAGGGTGGCAAGAACGCGGGCCACACGACGAGAGAAAATGCTTAGGTGGGGGGTGGTGGAAGTAGGAAGGGTATCGAGTCCGGTCGTAGAGAGCGTGCAGAGCGTCGCGAGATGATCGTTCGAATCGTGGAGTAAGGAGAAGGAGAGCGCGGGTGGAAAAAAAGAAAAGAGGTACTCCACGGGGCGATAATTTATAAGCAGATAAAAAGAGAAATAAGACAAGAATAAAATCCAATAGGAGAAGAAAAGCCTCTACATGCAAAAGCCCCCTCGGTGTATCATGCCTTTAGGTGTCCAGGTGTTGGTGCGGTTTGAAAGCCTGGAGAAGGCGTCGAGACCGCGTGGTGTGTTAACGATCCAAGTGCGCTAGGAGCCTTGAGCGCAACGGCAAGCCAGGGCCCCTGCAAGTTCATAACCTCAGCATGCTCCCTCGGGCGGGACCGATCGATCGAGACTGGGCGTGCCTGAGGTTCCAAGGGAAAAGGCCAGGCAAGACGGGGGGGAGGAGGGGGGAGGGGGAAGGGGGGAGGGGGTATCGAGGGGGCAGGTGGAGGAGGAGTAGGAGGAGGGAGGAGGAGTGGGGAGAAGGTAGGCAGGTATTATTATTGTATGGGAAGATGGTGAAGAATGGACCAGCAGCCGTGTAGGAGGAGAGGAAGGAAGAGCACGGGGGTTTGTTGGGTCGAACAGGCACATGTCAGTCCTAACCCGGATAGGCCATCCCATACCTGGGTCCTTGTACGGTGGCCCGGGCGAACAACTTCGGTCAACCTCTCTCTCCGCCGCCGACCTGCGAAGCTAGCTGGCTGTTCCGATTGACGTCCGGAGACGACCGTTTGAGTCTTGACCTGGCCACGGATTCGTCTCACCTGCTACGGCACTTTCTTATCCCTTCATCTTTTCTTCTTCTTCTTCCCTTCTCGTTCACCCTCCTCTCCCTTTCTTTCCTCTCCGCGTCCTTCCTCGGCGGAAGCAGTCATCATGGCGGACAGCGAATACACCCCCAAATACGCTCCGTTCTTTTCCTTCGTAAGTTCCTTGTTCAATCCTCTTTCTCTTGTTGACTTTCCTGTACGAATATGTTGCTAATTATCCTCAAAGGCAGGCATTGCGGCAGCTGTGAGTATCCATTACCCGCCACCCATTCCATCCACCACACGCTAACCACCTGTCCAAAGATGATCTTCGGATGTATGTCGAATCGCAAAACGCGTGATATTGATTGATTGGTGAGGAACACATTGGCTCACTTCATTCTAGCAATGGGAGCCGCATATGGAACAGCGAAGTCAGGAATCGGTATCGCCGGTGTTGGAACCTTCAGGCCGGACCTGATCATGAAGGTATAATGGACTCTATTATTTCGGCAACCTGTCGCAACAATCCCCGTTATTCTACTTGCTAACTGGTGCAGTCCTTGATTCCCGTCGTCATGTCGGGTATCATCGCTGTTTATGGCCTCGTCATCTCGGTCCTTATTGCCGGTGATATGGATCCTCCCCCAAACAAGTACATGAGTCTCTACACGTACGTCCCCTCCAATAGTCGTCCTGGCGCCGGATACGACAAAAGCTGATTATAATGTCTGGGAAGCGGTTTCATGCACCTTGCTGCAGGATTGTCGGTTGGTCTCGCAGGCGTGGCGGCCGGATATACTATTGGTATCGTGGGAGATGCGGTAAGCGGTCATTCCATGGTCTGTCCTGTTGCCTGTAGTTGCTAATAAGGATTTCAGGGTGTCCGTGCGTACATGCAGCAATCTCGGGTTTATGTCGGAATGATTCTTATCTTGATTTTTGGCGAAGTTCTTGGTCTCTATGGGTATGTTTTCGACCGATTACCGCAATGGTAACGCCGTGCTGACTGGGATAGGTTGATTGTTGGCTTGATTCTCAACTCCAAAAGCTCTGGCTGAGCAGGTTGTGCACATTGCGCTCCGTGTTCCCGGCCGTTGGCCGCTTTCGTCCATCGTGGACTCCTTTGGCTCCTATAGAAGTTTTATATCTATTGAACTGAGCGCAGCCAGGTTGTGGGGAAGGAACGGCAGTTCTGCTTATTGCTCCGGGATCAATAAGTCATTGGGGGCTGACTCTGGTATTGATGCCTTTCATCCGGGGGTGTCTGGTGTCTTGTACTAGTACATTACTTGAGTTTCGAATAGCATATACTGTTTTCTTTCTTGTCGCGTCTCTCGGCCTGACATTTAGACCTTCTCTAAGGAGTAGATAGATTGCTATCACCTGCCTGGGGGCTGAGCTAAGGACAGGCTGCGGCGTGGTTGCCCCGCCGGCCGGTAACGTCAGAGTCTCCCGTAGCGCCGCCGGCTGGATGAGCCAGACCGGCCTCAACAAAGCTCTTCATCCCGCAAAATCCTCTTGCGATCCCCCGCGCCGTTGCCGCTCTACTGATCAGGCTCTATGTGCGATACTAACTCATCTGAATTTCTCTGCCAGCTATAAGGGACTCGGTACACGCCCAATTGCTACCCCAGCGCCCCCCTGTTTTTCTCCCCACACCTTCCCCTCCCCGCGGTCCTCCGCGACATGATCCTTTGCCATTTCCCCGGCCACGAGGACGTTCAAGCCCGCTAACGACATGCAAAGCTTCTCAGTCCCTACGAGTCGATTGAACATGGGGTCGGATGATCTGCACGAGAGGGAAAAGGACATGGTGTCTTCAGTCCGACCGCCTCACCAGCGACGGCTGAGCCCATTCGTCATCGCAGGCCGCCCAGAGGAGAAGCAGCTTGGGATATCGACTCGCCGGCTGAATGTCAAAGACTTCACACTGTTGAAGACACTGGGTACAGGTAAGCTTCGCTTCGTCGCTTGCGCAGCCTAGCCAGTGTCTGACGGTGGCGATCCTCGTGCCTAGGCACCTTCGCTCGAGTGTGGTTAGTGAGATTGAACGAAGAAAGGCAGCGACGGAACAGGGTGTACGCGCTGAAGATGCTACGAAAAGCCGATGGTATGTTGGGACTCTGATAAATGACCATGTGGCTGCTTCTGGCTAACCCTCATTCTTTTCTTGTAACGCAACAGTCATCAAGTTGAAGCAAGTCGAACATGTCCGCAATGAGCGGAAGACACTTGCGGATGTTTCCGGTCATCCTTTCATCACGACTTTGATCGCATCTTTCTCCGATGACCAAAACTTATATATGCTGGTATGAATTCCGAGACTCTCTGTGTTCCCGCCACACGCAACCGTTCCGCCGACCGATTATTCGAACTGCATGGCATATCTGGTACCTGGCAAACTAACATCGCCATAGTTGGATTATTGCCCTGGTGGCGAGATCTTCAGCTATTTACGGCGTGCACGACGCTTCAACGAGAACACCTCCAAGTTCTACGCGGCCGAGATCGCATTGACCATCGAGTTTCTCCATGATGTGGAGGGCGTTGTTTACCGGGACCTCAAGCCGGAGAATATCCTGCTGGATGCAGAGGGGCACATCAAACTTGTCGATTTCGGGTTTGCGAAACAGGTTGGCGACCATGAAACATATACGTTATGTGGCACTCCCGAATATCTTGCCCCGGAGGTCATCCATAACAGTGGTCATGGCCTCGCCGTCGACTGGTGGGCGCTGGGAATTCTTATCTACGAGTTCCTCGTGGGGCAACCGCCGTTCTGGGACCAGAACCCGATGCGTATATACGAACAGATTGTCGAAGGTCATATACGATTCCCTCAGAGCATGTCGCCTGCCGCCCAGAACATCATATCGCTACTCTGCAAGACCAACCCGACCGAGCGGTTGGGCTATATATCTGGAGGCTCCGCTCGAGTCAAGACGCACCCCTTTTTCGAAGACATCAACTGGGACGATCTGTTCTACCGCCGCATCAAGGGGCCTATCATCCCTAGAGTCGATCATCCTGCGGATACCGGAAACTTCGAAGAATATCCGGACCCGGATGTGAAAAACCAGAGCCCCTACACTGATGACTTGAGGAACAAGTACGAGGCTCTTTTTGCCGATTTCTGATCGATTTGTCGAATCGATTGCTCTCGCCTCTCAACCTTCGTTGTCGTCCCCGCGACGACCTGCTATATGCGTTCCGATGCGCACCCGGCCCATGACTGCAACCTAGAGCGAGCCATCCTCTTCTTACTACGACGGACGCTGTTCTGCTCCTGAAGTCATGAGTGATATGAAATGTCTTTTGCCGGGCCACGGCATAATCCCACGAAGTCCTTGCTGTTTAGACAAGCACCTGTCTTGGTTTCCAGAAGGGCCTCTGACACCCGCACTCTTTCACATACTCGCGTGCTCCAACACATCTAGGTGTGCTGCTCCAAGTCCGATACTGCTTTTGATCGCGGCTACAGGGCTGGATCTCCCGACGGGACACGCTACTGTTGCGAGGCAAACTGGAGTCCCCAGTGACTCCATCCCTCATCTTGACCCAGTTACTGAGTATTGTTTGCTTTCTGCGCCGGTGTCTTTCTCTACGAGTTTACGTGCTTTTCTTTTCCTTTCCTTTTCTTTTTTGATCTGTTATATCTATATTTTTTTGAGCGTTCTGAATTACCGACGTCGGGCTTTTTCTTACACCTACAGTTCCGTGGATACATCGAAAAAATAATGTCCGCCTTCTAACTCAGCAGTCACCAAGAAAGTCTCTCCGGGAGATCATATCTTATCCCGTCAAGTCCGATTGATCCTCGGATAGTCGAGCTTTCAGCCATGATAATGAAATGACGTGACGGACCATGTGGTAACGAGTGATTGGTTTTTTGCACATGCTTTTCTCGCTTGGGTAATTGGGTGCTTTGGATTCTGGTATGGAGGTATAGTCGATATAATGGCGATCTAATGGGGTATATATAACGTTTGAATCTGGATGCTGGATGCTGCTTATGGGTTAGAGATACATATGTTATTGACTTTACATCTAACCTTTACTTCCATCTTATACATCTAGGGACCTACCTCCCTCCCCTCCTCGTTCCATTAACCAACCCTCCATCCCCTTTCCCCATTTCCCCAGCAACTGTGACCCCCTCCCTAACCGCCCTCGCAACCAACCCCCGAAAACCCCCCTCCTCAAGCACCATCAACCCTCCCATCGTACACCCCCCAGGCGAAGTCCCCCTATCCTTCAAAAGAGCCGGATGCTCCCCACCAAGCAACAAATCCCCCGTGCCCCTCAACACCTGCGCCACCACCATCCTCGCCTCCTCCCTCCCAAATCCCATCGCCACCGCGCCATCCACCAACGCCTCGGCAAAAACGCCCACAAACGCCGGCGTCGATCCCCCGAGCACCGTAAACGTATCCATCTGCTCCGGCTTCACGCGCACCGTACGTCCAATCTGCTTAAATATCGCCTCCGTCAGATCCAGATGCTCCTGAATGACCCCCTGTGCTGGAATCTCAATCGCAGTTATAGACTGAGAGATCTGGGCTGCGATATTAGGGAGCGCGCGGATTATGTGTACGCGGGATTGAACGGTCTCGGGGAGGAGGGCAGTCAGGGCGGAGACGGTCCAGCCGGCGGCGATACTGATTAGGAGCTTCGGGAGCGGGGAGGTATTATTGGAGGTATAGGAGAGCGTGGCGTGGATGTCGGGATCGGTGAGGAGGGAGGGGATGTCGGCTGGATCACAGGCCAGGAGGACGGTGGTTGCGTTGCCGATTGCGGAGGGGTTGGAGGATGAGGAGGCGATGGTTACTTTGGACGCGAACTGGGCTTTTAGGGCTTCGAGAGAGGCCGGGCTGCGGACGGTCGCGATGAAGGTGTCTGGGAGTGAGGGATTGGGGCTGTCGGTGGTGGTGGGGGTGGGCTGGGCGTGGAGGAGGCCGTTGAGGATTGCGGTGCCCATTTTTCCTGGAGAATAGGTATTAGCTTCGTGGGGTCGATGGAGAGGGGAGGCCGGGATGGAACGTACCGCACCCGATAATGGCGAGGGTTTGGTCTGACGTCGACATGATTTTCTGGTTAATTGGTGAATTGTTGGGGAGGGATTGTAGTCGATGGTGGTATTGATGGAAGTTGAAGAGAGAGGAATTGAAAAAGAAAGCAAGAAGGTAGGTGAAGAGCATGGAGGGCAAGAGGCATCCCGGGAGCCTGAACCGGAAAGCACCCCTCATTACCCCTCACGGGAGTCGATATCGGGAGGCACTTCCGATGTCTCCAATGGACGTATGGATGTACTACTAAGTATATCTGGATCGGTGGGTCGCCCTGCAGCCGGCGGCTATGCTAACTGCCCTTCCCCGTATGCCCTAGTTAAAAACCTACTCACTGGCCGATACCAACGAACAACCCTTATCGGCTGCAGGGATCGACTTCTCGTTCACACTTTGATATATCACCTGGTAATGGTGTGTCGGCTACACATGCCATGGAAGGTAAGGAAATCCAGAACTGCAGCATACGAAGCGGAGATCTTGACAAGAACCATGCATTGTATAGATAACAACTACCAGAACACCGCCCTAACTCGCCTCTTCACCTCCGCCTTGAGCGCCAAATGCTCCGTCATCGTCCTCGACACTGCATCCCGATTCTCCGCCGCCCTCCGCACCAGATAGCCCAGACACTCTCCCATACTGCCCCATGTCAAGCACTTGTACACTCCCGGCGCAACATTGTGCTGATCCTTCAACTGCAACAGCCCGAAACTCACCCCGTCCGCCATCCCCATCAGCTGTCCGAACTCCACTCGGCCGGTGGGAAGCCCCGCCTGCAACCGAGCCTGGTGTAATTCATGCGCAGCCACCGCACTCTCGATATTATGCGTGGCCAGAAACAAGTCAGTAGTCGGGAATCTGCGTCCGTTCTCGCCGAATCCCTGATAACGCTGCTGCAGGACGCCCCGCACGATGGAGTTGTACGCATTGTCCGTATCTTGCTTCGTATCATGGATGAGATGTCTTGGATCAGATCGCATGTATGCCCCCCGCACGAGTTTCAAGCCAAAGGTAAATCCTTCCTGGTCTGCTATCTGCATGTGCGCGGCTATCGTGCTCGGGGTACTCTTAAGATAAGCCTGGTATGTGTTGTACACGACAGCCTTCCCGTTTTGGTTGTACTTGCGCATCATGTCCAAAGTTAGGTTGTGGATCCCGCCGAGGAAGGAATGCTGTTCTGCGTCCATGAGGAGACGAGCGTTTTTCTCCACGACACGTTGGCAGATCTCGTCGAGGGCTTCGAACATTTGTGCGGGGACGGGCTGGCCGGAGGAAAAGGCCTCGGTTACTTTTGGTCCAGCTCCAGTGAGCCTGATAGCAGGGATTAGTAGCCCACTTTGGCAAAGATAGGAAAGCCGAGTTCGGGGGTGGCTTACTTCGGGGCTAGAAAGTCTCCTTCGCCAAGCATATCCACGGTTTTCAGTACACCCTCCCGCCAGGCTTGAATGTATTCACATGATTGTGTATCGGTCTCGTTTTGCGAGACCTTGTTGTTGGCGAATTTGGTTTGGTTGGTACTGGAGTCCTGCACAGTCTCTCGAGCGTAGGTCAAGATGACTCCGCGAAGTCCGGTGCTTTTAATCTGGCCAATGGTGTCTCGGACTTGGCTCTCACCTTCTCCTGCACAAAAGTGGTCGTAGAATGTCTTTTTGAGAAACCAATGGATAACAGGGTTTCTATCCACATCCAGTAAGGTACCCCGTGGTTTGGTAAGGAAAGATAGGATAGATAAGCAAGGCACCAGCAGGGCCCGGTGGGAGGAGATGGTGGTCACAAGGAGAGACCGCAGGAGGGTCTTGGTGGGGAGAACCGAATGGGCAGGTGGTGCCGTGGCTGCCTTTGCGGTAGCCCGAGCTGTGGTTATGGACGAGGAGATACTGGGGGCTTTCTCCAATGTCGTTCCAGTAGAGGAATTTCGAAGGGAGCCATCAAAAACAACAAATGATCTGGGAATGACGCCAGATCTTGCCCTTTGGGCAACCGGTGTCCTGCACAGCAGGTTGGACATGGCTTATGGAGATGAGAGGGAGGAATGGATTGAGAGATGGAGGAATTGTGGCATTCGATGCGCATCTTTATACCTTGAGCTGCAGGGTGCGGGGAGGATTATCTCCTCTCAATGATAGGGATAAGCATATCGTGGAGCCGATAAGATGACAAGTTGGAATAGATGGCCATCACTCATTGGTGCCCTCCCCAGCATTGCTCCTATCAGTCGTTCTGCTACCGGTGTATCACGCTGAAATACGGCTATCCTGCTATTCCAATGGATCCAATTGGCGTGCATCGTGGCTTGTCCCGGGAGGGAATGGATTGTACTTCTGTCAGTGCCAGAGTTGAACGCTTGGTTGGTGAGGGGTAATAGCCTTGGATCCGGACACCTCAGCCGATCTATTCATCTAGAGGTAGGATGTTCACTGGGATCTTTGCTTCCCCCCGGCTATCCTATTCAAGTGTCTCGGCCACGTTCTACCTGTATTGTGTGGCGTAAACTGCATCTAAGGTTATCCAAACGTAAGGTCGGTATTGTTCATGACAGTGTTTCATTCAGAATCCCAATCGGCACAGTGCTTTTAGAAGATGGATGAACTCTGTCTGGACATGAGATACTTGAGAAGTCATTCAATGGTCAATCAGCATCTCGGAAGACCCATGTGGCTCAATGAATCTGGGGACGGCTATACTAGGAACCCCATTGCCGCTCACGGCAGAGTTGACTAGCATAAGAGGGCGATATACATTACGTCTGGCCCAACGCCCCGTGAAAGTAGCAGATCACATAACCCGGTGTTCTGGAGAAATATAACGTACAATTCGATGATGAGTGTTTTACCTTTCTGAATGTTGTGATCTTGAACAATACTACGCATTTTTGCAACCTGTCAAGGGGCCATTGTAACTAACTGCAGCTTCGAGTGTTAGGAACAATTCTTCAGGAGAAAATAACAAGATACATTCCTGATCAAGAACCATTGCTTCAACACCCATCCCCTCTGTGAGCTCCTCTTCCGCACCGTCACTTGCTAAATGTAATTAGTCTTAGCGATGGTCAAAGTCGTACCGTCTCCTTGAGTGATGGTATCAGTTCTTGGCCCCTGTTTTATGAAGTGTCGGGTGCAGTTATCCAGTTGGATGATTGGTACTTGTCTTATGAACCGTGTGAGACGAACTGGCTTCTGTCACTTACTAGATCATATTCACTACCCACTATGTGGGTTCGCTGATGTTAAGACCATTGGCGATTCTACTCTGCATTTCATGGATCGTCTATCAATGACGATATACGCTAAAATACGGACAAATCTGATCTCATCAGAATTATTGCTTCACATCAGCATAACAAGTTGGCCAGCCCCAGTAAAAGGATCAGTCGTTCAAACAAAGGATAACCATGAGGTCTTCCACTGCCGTTACTCAGCGTCTCTATCGATGTGGACATCTAAGCCGAGTTCCACCATGAAGATCACAAACACTTTACTAACTCCTTACTATCAGCTGCACAGAGTCACATGCTCAAGCATGAGTTCCCAAAATAGACGGTCTGCGCCGTATCTACCCAGTTCACCAATATGAGCTTGGTATGGACCAAGTTTCTTTCTTGCTTTATCAAGATGCTCAGGCTCTACCGTTATTAACAATGAAGTATGACCTTCAACGTTTCTCGGATGAAGGAGAGCCGCTTCCATATCGAGAGCCATGATAGAACGGCTCGCGAGCTTTTTACAGCGAAGGAAAGGCTTCTGCTGTTCTCGTTGCAAAATTCAAGTCGATTACTTCGTACTGCAAGATTGTTGAGAACTCTTCTATCCAATACCATCTTTGCCAGGGGCAAGATGCCGTCTATCTAAAAGCTGCCGTCAAGAAAGGGATCTTTCAGGTGGTTTTCGAACCTTTTGTTACTTTTAGTCAACATTTCTAGGTTCCTCATCACGAAATTGATCATAGAAATGGAATCCCGCTGAAGTCGAGTTCAGCTGACAGGATCTTGAGAAGTCCTATCGTCAGACAATTAAGTTTTAGTTCCTTGAGCTATACATATCCTTTACTCCAACAATATAGTTAGTCGTCTGTGGGATCCTTTAGCTTTGCACGATGCTTGTTTAGAATACTTCCGCCTGGACTTTTGCTCCAGATGATGAACAATAGCCGCCGGTAATCATGGGCTGATAACAATGGTATTTGAGGGTTAACTTCCACCCATCACCCCATAGACAATTCCTTTTTCTAAAAACATACAAGAATATCATAACTGATAATAAAAATCTCAGCCCTTTCTCTTTGAGTGTCGCCGTTGCACGAATCTAGGAGAAACGACGAAACTTCACTATAAAGGCTTATCCTATATCAGGCGGCTGCTCGAGATTGAAAAAAAGCTACGGAGTAGAGAATAAGGAATCTTCAAGATAGAATGTTGAGACATGCTATTTCTACCTTCTACGCCCGGGGCTAAGAAGGGATATATCCCTTTTGGCCTACGTAGATCTTGACATAGAATAATAATGTTCTAACGTGAGATAGAATGAATAGGGGGGCAACTAGAAGGCGGTGAGGAGCATCCTTTTGCTGAACGAAGATGGTGGATGGAACTTGTCTGATCAGCTCATCATCTGACGACTTCCTCTGGGAACCACCGGGCCTGATACTTCATCAGAATTGGCCACAGATCTCGAAGGCTATGGACATGGAGCTTCCATGTTGCCTCCTACTTCATCATCCTTGTGCCGTTCCTTCACTTCTCGCTCGAACCATCTACATGCGAGAGGAGCCGTCCGACTGACGCCAAGAAGTGCCAGGCGCCCTGCTTGACTCGACAGAGTAAGTATCGACAGTCTGTACGCGCTGCTTCGGCCAAAGATTTCTCCATGGATGTCGCGTGGCTGTGATGAGCCACGTCATGCGACGAAATGGCAGTCCGGGAGCCGCAGACATCGGCCTTGAAGCACAGGATTCAGTTTAGTGCCAACCGAGATATCCGAACCGATAACGAATGGGATCCACCATGGCCCCGTCTGCCACACGAATCATCAATTTCTGGCGATGTCGACGACTGCCTTTGCATCGGAGGTTCGGATCTGGCCTATCGATGCGACATGTCGATCGAAGGTACGACATCTCAAGTCACATCGCGGAGTGCTGTGAAGTTTTCATCGTGACTGATCCACCTTCGATGTTGACTGTTCCTAAATAAGTCTAATCAGCGTATAGTGTTCGGTTCCTGCCCGTGGATCGCTGTCCCACAGTTCCGGCAACCCCTGGGTGGGAGTCGTGGCCATGAGAACAGGCCATGACGAGTCGACGCGTACGCAAGCTACAGAGTACATTCGCTGCAAAGCTTTTCATTAACCCGCTATTGGACATGTGTTCCCCTCTAAACACCCGGTATCCCTCGGAGCATTAGCCGCCCTCTACAAATACATTTTAGACGAGCCAGGCTCAAATTTTCCTTCTGGAAATGTCGTGAGAGGTACCCCAGACCGGTCACATCTCGTGTCGCGGTAATCATGGTTCTCCCCCGTATCTGGGGGTGCATTGCCGCGCTCGCTTGGGCAGCCAGCGGAGATTATGTGTCCACCAACTACGAAAAGTACAACGAGGGAGCGCTCGGCCACCGTCCTCATCTAGAGTTTCACTCCAGCAGCGAATATTCCCCTCTCCTGCAGGTCAATGTATGGGATCAGAACGCCATCTCCGACACGGGATCCCATATCTTTCTCCGACATGACGGGAACGACTCTTCGCCGCTGTCGTCGCCGCTCATTTTGGATTCGAACGACTTGAGCGCTGTCTACATGAATCGATCCTTCAAGAACGTCTTCGGCACCCGAGTCCAGGAGAACTTTGGCAAGAAGTATCTTACGTTTTGGGCTGGTGACAAAGGCGATGGTATTGGGGACGGCTATGGACTCGCCTACGACGACACTTATCGCCTGGTTTACAAGATATCTGCACAGAATATCCAAGTACACAGTGACCTCCATGAGTTTGCCTTTACGGGTAATGGAACCGCTCTGGTTACGGGTGTTGACAAGCTTCAACGGCGTGCATCAGACTTCCCTCAGTGGCTGGTACCCTCCCGGTTCGAGGTCTTAGACGCCATATTTCAGGAAATTGACCTCGAAACGAACGAGGTACTCTTCAACTGGCGAGCCCTGGATCACATCAACCCCATGAACTCATATGAGCCGAGAGGCAGAGGTTGGGATGCCTATCACTTGAACAGTATTGAGAAGGTATGAGGAATGCGACGCCTGGCGGCAACCTACCACAATGCGCTAACACGCCCTTGCGTCTAGACCCAGGCAGGCAACTATCTTATCTCGATCCGTCACCTGTTTACTATATTCCTCATCGACGGGAAGACGGGCGACATTATCTGGAGACTGGGTGGCAAACTCAACGACTTTGTCGAATTACCTCCCGCAAAAGGCGCCGAGTCCGCCGAACCCGTGCTGACCATGAGCTGGCAACACCACGCCCGCTTCGTTCCGGGAACCAATGAGACTCAGATAACTCTGTTCGATAACCACTCCAAGCTTACCACGCACGGCATATGTGAGTCTGACTGCTCTCGTGGTCTGCACATCGCCATCAATGACACCACCTCGCCCCCAACCGTCCAGCTATTGCGCGAGTACCGTCACCCATCGCAGCTCCAGGCTCAGAGCCAAGGCAGTATGCAGCCCCTCTCACCCTCCACTGACGATCTCGGCAATGTGTTCATTGGCTGGGGGCGGTGTCCGACGTTCACGGAGCATAGCTCGTCGGGCCGGACAGTCATGGACGTGCAGTTCTCTCCGTGGCACAGCGACGACATCCCTGACGCGCTCGACAACTACCGCGCGTACAAGATGGACTGGTCGGCCACGCCCTGGTGGGATCCTGCCATCGCCCCGAGGAAGAACCGGGAGGGCGAGCTGGTTGTCTACGTCAGCTGGAATGGAGCGACAGAGGTAGCGAGCTGGGTTGTTCGGGGAGCGGCCAGTAGTCTGCCGAGGACGAAAAGCGAAGTGCTGTCGATGTCACGGCGGACTGGCTTTGAGACCAAATTGACGATTGGGCAGACTGATCGGCGATACTTGTGGGCCGAAGCTGTGGATGTCAAGGGTCGCGTACTTGGGTCAACTGAGGTTGTGGACTTGAAGACTACGAATCTATCGGTCGCCTATGACACATACGACGAGACTGATTGCTCGTTTCCTCCCCCTAACACAGAGAAGTCTGTTACATTCTCAACAACGGCCCTGGCCTTGATGGGTACCGGGGTAGGCGTGTTCGTCTTGGCGATGATCGCGACGGGAGTCTTCCTGTGGCGCCGGCGCAGGGGCTACAATCACCTGAAAGCAGAAGACTTTGACCTAGACTTGGAGGAAGATTTCGATGATGTGCATCACGACGGTGAGGAAGTCGATGACAAGGATGTTGATGTTGATCCACAATTAGGCATGGACGAAGACCGCCGTGCTCTTATTCCGAAACCAGAACCGGCGAAGTAGATATCATATAGACAAATATTTTCCTACCAATGAATACACATGAATTTTTCTACTCTATGAACTCTGATCGCAAAAGATAGAGACCATCACATCCTTGATCCCGAGCAACTAAGCGCGTCCGTGCACTCAAGCCTTCCCCATCTACTACCCATCTACTACGAAACACTCTCATACCGATCTAACCATCCCCTTCAAATAATCAAATATTTTCATTCACATATCCCAAACCAAAATCTGTAAATGTGGGGTCCACATGAAGTCCAATTAAGTATATTAAGCCGCGCACGATAAGATAAGATATAGTCGCAAGCACGCAATCGTCAGGGTTTATGGGCTCATTGTGATCGTCACTAGGGTGTTTGAGATTTGCATATAGAATGGTAGTGCTGCTTTGGTTTCTGGGGTAGCTGGGTTTGTTTGAATAATAGGAAAGTGCTGGAATAGGCTGGTGAGGGATGTATGTAATTGAGGTGGATTCAATGGGGGCTTCGGTGACCTCAATACCGATGGGACTAGTTGCCTGGCTGGTGGGTGAGGATTGCTTGGTGGTTCTGTATTGGGAAGGTAGTTGTGAGTGCCATGTGCGTACCCCTAGGATGACGATGTGACTGGTGTTGTTGTTGGACATGTTGGTTCTTCGGCTTATAGGATGGTTCATCAAACGGAGGGAAGTACACATAACCAGTCTCTTCGCCTGCGGTCCAGCAATGTGGCCATGGCTGCTGTCCCGCTGGCTGAATTAGGGTTGGCGTCCGCACCGGCATCGGCATGTACGTCGTCTGAGCATGATTTCTCTATCCCACTGCAGTTGATCTCGACTGGGTTAACCGTGCATGATGCGGTCTCAGCGGATCTTACTGCAAATAACATCCAGTCGCATGATGGAGCAAATGGATGAGCAGCGTACCATAGCGTCATGATCACTGGGTGAACATTAGTTAGTTTTTCTATATCTCGGACCCAAAATTTATATCATCGATGGCTTCTCGCTATCACATAGAGAAGACTGTCACGTGGGATCATTGGATCGAGTCCTGAGGGCAACCGACAGTTATCCCTGCTAAGCGCCCGATCTGCAGGCAAATCGCGGGGCTCACTTCTTCTGGAGGAACCGCCTCCCATCATCTCCGGATTAACTTGAACCCCTACTACTGGCAATGTCTGAAGACATCAAGATTGAGGAGATGGATGATGAGAAATGCAGCATCTGCTGGATGATTGCCACTCATAGCCCCCAACATTACGATGAATGGCACCACAACCTGCATAGCAACTGCGACAGTTGCCCCATCTCTCAAACCACTAACAACCCATCGCTTTGTTCGATCTGCAACCATATGAGAATCCCGCATTTAGTTCGCTGTCATCGTCATTATGGCCTTGGGAGTCGCCTGAAAATTTATCGCGCATTCTTTTCTGAATTTCTGGCCAGAGCTTCAGAGTGCGGCTTCTGCCAACTTATCGTCGACGGGGCTCTGACAATCAAAGAAACATGGTGCCTGGATAATGATCACTTGAAGAAGAAAGAAATATGGCTCGCAATGTATCCTGGGAAAATGACAATATCCATCGGGAATAATTTTGTCCACTGTCTTCCCTTGACTTTATGGAAACCATCAACTCAGTCCGACCCCCCGGAGCAAATCGGCTCGGCGGTGCCCCCCTTCAAGTGGAAATATGGCACTATCCCCATCCTGGATAAATTCATCAAGTGGGATGAGGTCTCTGCATGGCTCAACGCGAGTGTCGGTGCAAACCAAAATCCTTCTCGCTTGCACATGCCAGAAAAGCTCAAGGTGATTGATGTTCATCATGACCGAGTAGTTGACGCCCCTCCCGACTGCCAATATCTTACCTTGAGCTATGTCTTTGGGCATGTGACGAGACTCGAGATCCCCTCTTCGGGATGCTTTGATCGGCACCAACTTCCGGCAACCATTCGAGACGCACTCATCGCGTGCCAGAATGTGGGATTTCAGTTCTTATGGGTTGATCAAATATGCATTGATCAGAAGAACGAAGTAGAGCTACAGACGCAGATCAACCAAATGAGCCACATATATCGTGCTGCCACCTGCACCTTGGTTGCATTGGCTGGGGAAGATTCCCTGTACGGCCTACCGGGGGTAAGCAGAGGGCGGACATGGAAGCAAAATACGGTCAAACTCGATGAACGCCTCGTGGTCCAACTCACTCCACCCATGGATGTGTGCCTGGAGAATAGCAAATGGGCCACCCGAGGCTGGACATTTCAGGAAGATCTTTTTTCTTCCAGGTTGATTTTTTTCAGCGAGGTCGGTCTCTTCTATAATGATAGACTTGTTGAATCTTCTTCCAACGTTCTCTCCGAAGATGGTTGTCATTCCACCTGTTGGGCCCACTTGCCATCCTTGCTTTTGTACTGGGATGTCTTGGCATTCTATACGAGGCGAAAGCTATCATATCCATCAGACGCTGTGCGTGCTTTCACTGCAATACTTCATGAAGTGCATGGGCGCAATGGTACTTACTATGGTCTTCCACTACAATACTTCGACCAAGGTGTTCTCTGGATCCCCCAAAATCCCACCCTCCCGTCAACCGAGAGACATACCCAGTTCCCATCCTGGTCATGGGCATCCCACGATGGTGACATAACCCATATCAATGCAGGTACACCGCTGGCCGTGTGGGCAAAGCCCGAGGTGACTGGATCTACTGTGAACATGAGGATTTGTCGACCGGTATCGGGCGCTGAATGGGAACCTCGCTGGGGCGATTGCCGGGGACGGTTGGCCAACATATATGCAGCTTGGACGGCAGGTTGCATTCCCAGTTTACTCCCGGAGACATTCTCCCGTCTGTTGTCGACACAATCGCCCTTCTCGACGAGGCTCTGGGGGGATATGCCATTCATAACAACACTAGAGGGACCTTCACTGAAGGACCTATGGCCTACATATCACGCGTTCTGGGAAGAGGCACTTGGTGCGCAGATACACGATGATCTTTTCCCAACCGATCATTTGAAGCATCTCCCGTCCCTCGATGGCCTCATTGCTACCCACAGTCAAGTTGCATACTTTGATGTGCGTCCCCCAACTGAAAAGCTCATCATGAAAGACGGCAGCCGGACTTTCCGTGTCCAGTCCCCTACTGGAGCCCTGTCAGGGGCTATACGAATTCCGGAATACCTTCAGAGCCCCTCGGTACCTTGCAGAGGTGAATTTCTGTTGTTGTCGATAACAGAGGAGGCATACACAGATGTAGTCAACTTGTTGTCCGTCGAAGATGACCACCGCATCGAACATGTCGTTCATGATCGGACCCTGAGACAATGTGACCGATATGGAGAGAAAGGGCATGATCGAGAGACTATGGTGAATGTGATGCTTATTTCACGAAGTGGAAATCATGATATCGCGCGCCGTGTCGGGGTCGGACAAATCTTTCTCAAGAGCTGGGCGGAAGCAGAGCGGCAGTTCAAAAGTATTTTCCTGCAATAAATATATAGTTTTTTTTTCATACCCTATTAGTGAAAAGAATATCCAAATGCCCTTACTAGAACTAGACCATCCACCCACCCACTTGTATTCTATTCATTTAAGGAACCATAGGACCGTAGCCTGTCTGCTTAAAGCGGCCGAGGTTTTCTCGCTGTAATTGTCTGGATCGTCCATGTGTCTAGCACTAGTCGTAGTCTCCACCCACCTCCTGGATAGATTATATACTAGGTGCTTACCTAGGATAGCATTAGGGGTGGTGTCCAAGATAAAGTAGCCCGCAACGGGAAACCCGTAGTCTCTATACTTTAACAAATTCCCCAGTTCTCCTATTCGTATATAGTAAATAAAGCCTTGCCTGGTGATCTTCAACCACTACCCCACCTGCAGGCGGAAAGATACTTGTAGCGAAAGAGAAAAAAAGAAAAAGGAAAGCCCAACGCGGGGCTCGAACCCGCAGCCTTGAGATTAAGAGTCTCACGCTCTACCGATTGAGCTAGTCGGGCTAGTTCATATCTAGCAGCACTTTAGAATAGTACATAAGCCTAAAACTAAACAGAGGATCATGAGGTGAAGCTGTCGGTCCGTGCTGCCGATCAGCAGCGGCGCCATCCTTGAAAGGGATGGGCCCATGTCCCTTATCAGTCAATGCCGGGAGGGGCTCCCGTTGTATGTCTCGGTGCCACTAACCCCCGCAATTTGCCCTGCTCAGTGATAAGGCCTCCCCTTCGATGGCTTCCTCCGGAAGCTCTCGCATCCGCCATTACACCAACACTTCCACCCCTACCAATCGAATAGCCACACATTGGCTTTGACTAGCACTTTACCACAAACTAAAATGAACGTCCGGAGTCGCACTGGCTGTTCAGCCTGCAAAAGTAAGTTCTTCCATCCGATTGACGGCTGCATAGCCGCTCCCTCTCCTCGTGCTGATAAGGTATCCCAGAGCGCAAGCGTCGCTGCGGAGGTAAGATCTACAATCTACTGCCCTCATCCTATTCCTCTCCTAGCGCGGAAGTGCCTCCGATCTGACCAATGATGGGTTTAGAGGAGAAACCAGCCTGCAGGAATTGTGTGGTCCGCGGATTCGAATGCCCTTATCTATTGGAGAACTCGCAATCGGTCACCGTGCGGCTCAAGATCTCGCTTTGTAGGATCTCTCTTTGCCGTTTTGGCCAGTATACTAATCAGCCTAGCGAATGGTGCCCGATTACCGGTGGTAAAACAGAGTCGGAGGCATTTTCTCACCATTTCTTCCGGGGATGTCTCCCAGCTGTCCTCTGAGCATAGCCAAGAAGCTACGCCCGAAAAGGTCCATGACACACGCACTAAAGCTGTATCTGACTGCACGGTAAATCCAATTCGACTGGAAGCCTCGATCTTCGCAGCGCCTATAGTTGATTGCAGTGGACTCGAGGAACAACTCTTCCAATACTGTGAGTGAAATGGACTTAATGAAGTATCCCAAGCTGACCTAGCTTCAGATCTGCAAGTCATCTGCCGAGTGAGAGTATTCCGTGATGATCCAAGGAATAAATTCCGTTCTCTGGTCGTCCCGTTCTGCCGTGGACGAAGACCATTGTTATATGCCGTTCTGTCCGTGAGCGCCAACGACCGTCGCACCGAGACAGTGGCGACCCATATAAACTACGAACAGCTCGCGCTATCGTACAAATCCCTCGCATTAAAGTCCCTTCGGAAATCTCTCTCCGATGTGAGTAACGCCAACGAGGCCCTCATGACCTGCCTCATCCTCTGTACGTTGGAAATTGCTTCAGGATGCCAACCGGATTGGGTGCGTCACGTCCAAGGCGCCTTCGCCATCATCAACAGCTGCTACAGGATGATCGATCCTGAGATCCTATTCTTCGCACGGAGCTACTTCCAATCCCGAGCAATCTTCTTCCGCACCACAGGTTCTCACGACCACGTATCCGACCCCGACCCCGACCCTCTTGCACACCTCCAACCAAACATCACCCACTGCATGGACCTCTTCACGCGAAGCCTCAACCTTGACACCAAATACATCGACGAACAAACCAAAATCCAACCCCACATCGGCTGTTCCCTCACCCTCCTCGACATCGTCGCCCGCGCAACCGACCTCGTCAGCCAAAAACAACAACTCCGCCGAACCGGCACCAACTCCTTCTTCTCCGAAGGCGAAATGCTCCAACGCGTCATGTCCCTCCGCAGCGAACTGGACGCCCTCCCCAAAGAACACTCCCCGGACAGCGAGTACCTCACCACCTGCGGTCAATGTTTCCGCATGGCTGCGGACCTCTACCTTCAATTGGCCTGCGATATTCCCTTATCCCAACCTACCCTCCAGACTCTGCTGGGTAAACTCCTTGACCACATCGGTCAAGTCATCCGAGAGGACCAGGAAAGACAGCTATTTCCCATGTGGCCCCTGTTTCTGGCGGGTTGTTCGTCCACGACGGATGAGGATCGAGTGCGGGTGTTGAATTATTTTACGTATCTGTCGTATTCGTGGCCGGTTAGCAATGTTGCCATTGTCCGAAAGGCGACGGAGACGGTGTGGAAGTTTCGGGATCTGAATCCTCATGATTCTGGGAGTGGATTCGATTGGCAGATGATTATCAATCGGATGAATTGGAAATTGGCGTTGTCGTAGCTATCTGCCAGACAATGAATGAACAATGAACTTCATGAAACATAACACCCTAACTAAACAATAAAACCATTTACAACTTCGGCCCCGCCACCAACCTCACCTCCTCAAACTCCCTCGTCTCCCCCAACCGCCAACTCACATCCCCCTCCCACTTCCCCCTTTTCTGCACGCCCCCCTTCCACCTCCACCTCTCAACCCCCTGCCTCCCCTCCCTCAACAACCGAAACACCCAATCCCCCACAACGGGCAACATCTTAAACAAATGCCCCGAATCCCCCGACAAGAGCACCACCGACCCCTCCGACCGGGGCACAAAATCCACAATAAACTCCGAATCACTCGTATCCGCAAACCAACACAACTTCTTCTCGACGAACGGCCGATCCGCTAACTCCGGCAACGTCTCCCGCAATAACCGTCTCATCCGCTTCTCGTCCTCCGCCGGCAACACGTTCTCGCTTTCCTGTAACGTCGCAGGCGGGTAGGAGATTCCGGATGCAGGGTCCGTGTTGATGTACCCGCCGCCCATGGGGCAGATCTTGAGGAGATTGGTTTTCGGATCCGGTTCGAAGAAGAAGCCTAGATCTCGCGCGTAGGTTACCGGGATGCCGCGCAGCTTGGAGGTCTCGTCGTCGGTGAGTTTCACGTGGCCCAGGGACCAGGATTTCGCGACCACTTGGTTCCCGGCTTCGGGGATGAGGGTCGCCGCCGCGGCGCCGATGGCGACGATGGCGAGCCGGCATGGGTGGAGGTGGCCGTTGCTGGTGCGGACGCCGGTGACTTGGTTCTTGGTGGAGTTGGTGTAGACCAGCTCGGTGACTTTGCCGATTTGGTCGCCTAGGAAGAATTTCACGCCTCGGGCGGCGCAGGCTTCGTAGACGGCGCGGAGGGCGTTGGCCGAGTGGGCGTAGCCGGCCAGTTGGTTGAAGTAGCCGTTCCAGCCCGGGAGGGGGCCGGTGAGTTGCCAGGCGATGTTGCGGATGTCGGTGGGGGACGTGATGGTGGTGAGTTTGCCTTTGTAGGTTGGGTGGGTGCGGATCGAGGCGAGGAAGCGGTTCATGGTTTGGGAGGCTTTCTCGGGGGCGGTGCCGGACACGAGGTGTAGGAAGCCGGTTTGGTGGTAGTGAGGGGCGTAGAGGGGGGTTTTCCAGCCTTCGATGGCTTGCTTTGTGATGGAAATATGTTAGTCGGGTGGGTGGGAGGAGAGGGGGGAGGGGGAATGGGAGGGGAGGGGGGCATACAAGGGTTAGTTCGGTGTACCATGGGTCTTCGTATTCTGCGCGCACGATCTTGTTGATATCGTGGCCAGCGGAATAGCGGGCAGGGACTTGGGTGTCTTTCTCAAAGACAGAGATATTGGTGAAGCCATTGCTGGAGAGGTGGAGAGCCGAGGCGAGGCCAAAGACGCCTGCGCCGATGATGGCGATAGGGTCGGATTTGGCGGTTGAGATCATGTTGTGCTCAATGCAATAGAGATAATGGGTGATAACAAAAGTATAGAATCCTGGATCAATTCATTGGTGGTCGTCATATATATAGTAGTCTATTCGGGAGTGAATCATACCACATCCACTCTGTTGTGATCCGGTACCTTAATCTCGGACCAGCACACCGCGGCGCATATTTTGACCGTATATTCCCAGATAGCCAGCTTATCGGTGTGGCTCCAGCCACGCTGCATTCAGCATTGTGGGTTAGTCCACGCGATACATACCGGATACACTATCTTACTGATCGTGATCGAGAGTTGGATTCATGCGGGGCTTGGAGAAGTTGGGACGATCCGAGGCGCTGTGGGGGAGTTAGCGTGGTTGAGGATCGTCGGTTAGTTTATGCGACGGGCGATATGCACGCTGTACTGTATGTAACGGATGGCTTATCGACCCCTCAGCATATTGTGTCTTGGCAGGCCTTGCATGAGGAGAATGATAGGAGGTGCGGGGAAGCAAGATAGCAGCTTATCAAGGGATTGGTGCGAATAGTTGTTGTGGATATGTGGTTTGTTGGTGATGTCTAGCATTGATACGCGATAGCATTGAAGCTATGTCTGATTTCAAAGTATCGTGGACCTAGATAGGATGCTGGCACAATGGTTTTTCTAAGACTTGCTGACACGGTGAGTGTTTCGACTCGACGAAGGCGAACAGTGGTAAAGTGTAAGCAAAATAGAAAGAACATGCGATATTCTGATCAATGATATGCAGCATAGATTATACGAACTACAAAAATACTGCAGTAGCTGATACAAGAATCAATCAATTGACTGCTATTCTATATGTACACCAACACCATCCCATTTTGGACCATGGCAAGCTCATAATCATTACAACCACTACTCATTGCTGGGGTACCGGAAGCCATTCAAGGGGAAGAACTCCTCCTTGATCGTCCGGGGGCTGGTAAATCGCAGAACAACATTGGCGCTGCCAGCCTTGTCGTTGGTTCCACTCGAGCGACCGCCGCCAAAGGACTGTTGTCCGATCAAGGCCGCAGTGGTCTTGCAGTCTGTGACATCCGTTAGTAAAAGTCAAGGTAAGAGAGGCAAACTACTTACTGATATAGAAGTTGCCAGCCGCGTACCGTAAGGTATCTTCGGCTTCACGGATGGCAGTCCGATCGGCTGCAAACACCGCTCCAGTCAAGGCAAACCCGCCACCACTCTGGTCGACCTTCTTGAGGATCGAGGACCACTCGGCGTCAGGATACACGTAGACTGTCAGCACGGGTCCAAAGATCTCCTTGTCAAACAGCTCATGGTCGATGCTCTTGGCCCGGTACACAGTAGGGTGGACGTAATAGCCGGTCGAGCCATCGTACGTACCACCAGCAATCAGCTCCAATGAGGGATCCTTGTTACTGGCATCAATGATGGACTTGATCTTCTCAAAGGACGCTTTGTGAATGACCGGGCCCATAAAGGCCCCCATCTCCTCGGGGGAGCCAATCGTGATGTCGTTGATCTCGGACTTCAACTTCGCCAAGAACTCTTGTGCCCGAGATTCCGGCAGGTACAGTCGAGACGTGGCTGAGCACTTCTGTCCTTGGTACTCGAATGCACCTCGAAGAGTGTGGTAAACGGCACTGTCAATATCGGCAGTGGGGTGAACCAGATGGAAGTTCTTGCCACTGGTTTCACCAACCAGGCGAGGGTAGTCCCGGTAGACCTTCTTGCCAATGTTCTCGCCGACCTGAGCGTACAAAGAACGGAAGACGTCCGAGGAACCGGTAAAGTTGAGACCCGCAAACTCCCTGTGTCCGAGCACTGTCTGGGTAATCTGCTCTGCGTCGCCGGTAACGAACTGGATCACATTGGGAGGTAGACCGGCCTCGAGGAGAATCTTGTAGACGAGCGAGCTTGCGTAGACGTTCGAAGGCGAAGGCTTCCAGATCACGACGTTGCCCATGAGGGCTGGACCGCTGACCAGGTTTCCACCAATTGCAGTAAAGTTGAACGGCGACACGGCATAAATAAATCCCTCCATGGGTCTATAGTCGACACGCCTAAGGGATTATCAGCAACTGAGCGTACTGGGCTCTCAAAGGTTTGCTTACGTCCACATCCCATCAGTACCCCGATCAGGCTGCTTAGCCAAAATTTCCGCAGCATAATTGCAGTTCAGGCGAAAGAAATCAGCCAGCTCTGCAGCGGCATCAATCTCACCCTGCCACACATTCTTTCCTTGTCCCAACATTGTAGCAGCGATGAGCTCGTATCGGTATTTGCCTGCGACAAGCTCTGCAGCTTTAAGGAAGATAGCAGCCCGGTCAACGAAGGGGGTGTTCTGCCATGATTCCTTGGCGGCCAATGCTGATTCAATTGCTTCATTGATTTGCGCAGGGGTATTGAGAGGGTAGTGGGTGAAGGTCGTGGCATGTTCCGCGGGCAAAGGTTGCTGCAGGGTATTGGAAACTGATAGGGCTTTACCGCTGATAAAGGATTGGCTCTCCAGCGGAAGTTGTGCCTTCATCTGCTTCAACACCTTCTCGACCTGCGCTCTTTCGGGGGAACCTCTGGCGTAGTCCAACTAATAACGTTCAGTACTTTGCCGGCTACAGGATGATAGCCAGACTCACATTGGGTTCATTTCTGGCAGCTGGTAGACGGAAAGGCGCAGTTGCAACGCCCCGGGACTTAATGACTGGAACTCTTCCGACACGGCGTCCTAAGGAGCGCACGCTTGGTGATGACTGAGACATGGAGAGCTTGAAGGCCATATTGATTATGAGGGAGGTAATGTGAAGAGAAATTGGACGTGAATCTGAGAGACGAGCATGGTGAACATCATGCTTCTTATGCGTCAACTTCGCTCTTGTATCCGAACATGACGGGTTGGGAGGCCGAAGTTCGGCGCAGGCGCAGCTTGCAGTGAGGGGAGTGAGGAGAGACGGCGGGGCACTGGCCCGCTAATGGTGTCGGGTAGACTAGCCGTCCGCTGGAGATCTCCCTAATGCGGGCCCTCGTTCCTTCGGCTTCGCACCCCGACCATCCCGATAAGCAGGACGTTTATCTCGTCATCACAACTATCCGATAAGCTTCTATCGCGGGGCTGATTGACTATCAAGAGACTGCAAGTGACCCTCTTGGAGCGAAGCATGTGCAGCAAAGCACCGTCGGGCTCTGGGGCCTGTGATTGACCTTTACCCACGGTCTCTATGCCGACGAAATCGAAAGATTTGAGTCACGCTTGCCTATATCATATTCAAAAGTGAGGGGCACGAAAGATCTCTCTAAGGACCTATCACAGAAATTGGGCAGGTGAAGGTGATTGTTCAATTGACGAATACATATTCAGCCGCGGTATCTATACAACAAGACGGTTTGTCTGAAAGCACCTCCAGTGTCATAGAGCCCAAGATGTCACCAGATCGCGTCGACGCAGAGCCATTACACACTGGTGCTTGGAATAACGACTACTCGAGACAGCTGGCCGGAGATTTCATTGCCGGATCGCTATCTGCGACTCTCATAGCTCCTATCATCACTGTCATTGATCGGTCAGTCTACTGAGATGAAGATCACAAAGGACCCACGTACTGATGACAATTCTAGGAGCGTTGTTGAAAGACTTTCCTCAAATCGATCGCTCCTGAGTACACTCCGCACACACGCATTCTGTTCCATTCTCAAACCGAAAAGATTCTACCTCTCCAGGCCATTCTTCATTGCTTGGTCTCTCTACGCAGCAACTTATGTCACTGCGAATGCCACCGATACGAGCCTCAGCCATCTTCCCAAACTATCGGAGAAGTCAACCATTACAAACATCGCAGCAACATTCAGCTTCCTCCCAACATATGTTATCAATGTATCCTTGGGGATCCTGAAGGATATAAGGTTTTCCCAGATCTATGGCGATCCAAACGCCGCCCACAAACGACCACCCTCAATTCCTCGGACAGCATACATGGCTTTTCTCCTCCGCGATAGCATCACGATTTCCAGCTCGTTTACCCTGGCCCCTCAGATGGCCTCGTACATACCGGATTGGATCACAGCCGACCTCCATACCAAGAGGACTATCACTCAACTCGTATTGCCCGCTCTGGTACAATTTGTGAATACCCCTCTTCACTTGATGGCGTTGGATTTGATTGCCCGCCCGCAAGTGGCCACTATTGCCGAGAGATCGGCCCTCATACGAAGCGGATGGATCCAATCATCGTCGGTCAGAGCAGCGAGAATCTTGCCGGCTTTCGGGATTGGCTGTGTTGTGAATGCAGAGCTGAGAGAGTTCTTTCATGAACGGTGGATGGTTAGATAGAGCGAATACAAAGATTGTCTGCATCTGGGGATAACAACAGACGAGGATTCTCCTCTGATCGCTTGATGATTGGGACTTCCTCTGGTGACGGACAGGAGCAGCGACAGTGGATGGATCGTCCTCAGCCGACTAACCTGCTGCAAGAGGCGGCTGCGCTAGCCACTTGTTCTTGAATGCAGTAGCTCACAGTATGAAACTGTACGGTAAAGTATGGTATTTGTGGGGGGGGGGTCTCCAACTTGTATCTTGCCAGTCATGCAGCTGGCTATCTCCTGCGCATGCGCTAACCGTTCTTCTAAGGTTTTGCTAGGGTGGTTATGGTTTAACTTTCTCTCTCAAGCCCCGGCAGCTCCACCTCTTCACCACCTAGCTCTATCAGTGGAGCTGTTTGGCCCCGTAAGCTGGCCCTGGCTGAGATAAGTACTGGATATCTACTGCAGTATTCTGATTAGACGCCGATTGGGGCCAATCTATCGTATCTCACTGACATATTTCCCCAGACACTAGACTATGCTTATCCCCGCACTGTATCTTCCCGTTCGCCCATCGATCCAATCAGACCATGGCGCCGTCCTATCTATCCACGAGCTTCCGCTGCGGAACAAAGTCTCACGAGGAGTCATTATCGGTAATCTGTCTTTTGGTACCAATAGGTCAAGTGCAGAGATAGGAATACGTCATGCCAATAGGAGGTAGACGGATAACCGAGAAACGGTAAGTATTGGTCGGCTATGTCCATAAAGAATGCATTATCGCTAATGCCTCAGGCATCCGCAAGTCGACTGCCTCCTTGGTCGACCGGATTACGAAGGGCTAGTCGACTGGCTCAAATAGACCAGATATTCTCAATCTGACCTGTCGGGCTTGTTCACCTTCCTCCTTGAGTGAATCCACCTACTCAAGTCTCGATACTCTCATACCATAGTCAATATACTTGTTCGGTCATTCGATCCTATTCAGAAGATGTCTTCCACAATCGAGCCTAGAGATCTCACAGAGATTCATGACACCAATACCTATGGATACGTGCCAGAGGATGAGGAAAAAAAGAGACATCTAGATCATAGCCCCGAAGAAGAGGATCCCTTTGGAAACGAGGAGTTTGCGGAGGTGAAATATCGTACGCTGGGTTGGTGGTAGGTTCCATCCCCTATCCTCGAGTACACCGGCCCTATATCTGACCTCTCTGTCTACCACACAGGCAGTGTGGAATACGTGAGCTTTACCTTGGTCCAACCAGCTATCATAGGCTGGACTCTAATCCTCGATATCAACAGTCATGGTCGCCGAGAATGTCTCCATAGGAATCCTATCCCTTCCATCCGCTTTTGCAACGCTAGGTTTTGTCCCGTAAGTTGCTCGTTGACTGGAGGGATTGAAGGCTAAGAGCCCTAGATCGATCATCTTGCTCTGTGGAATATCTGGTATCTCATGGTACACTGCCTACGTGATTTGTCAGTTCAAACTACGATACCCGCATATTCATAGCATGGGCGACGCCGGTGAGGTTATTATGGGTCGATTCGGACGTGAACTGCTTGGTATTGGCCAACTACTTTTCTTGATATTTGTCATGGCTAGCCATGTATTGACCTTTACGGTCCTGATGAACACTATCACCGACCATGGCACCTGTACAATTGTCTTTGGTGTCATCGCGTTGGTGGTCAGTTGCATTGGAGCCCTACCACGCACGATGGGCAACGTATACTGGATGTCTTTTGCATGTAAGGGACATCAGCTCATACCTGACAGATCAAAGTGGCATCGACCTAACTAATCTATCTTCAGCTTTTCTCAGCATCGTGGCAGCCACGGTAGCCACAATGATCGCGGTGGGTGTGGAGTATAAGGGCTCAATTCCCCTTGCTGTGACAACCCATCTCAGCTTTAACAAAGAATTCTTGGCCGTCAGCAACCTCTTCTTTGCATATGGTAAGTCTCTCGATCAATAATCCCTCGATAAAACTTTACTGACGATACGGTAATTGATAGTGGGACATGCCTCCTTCTTCGGGTTCATTTCCGAGATGGACAAACCGCGAGACTTCACTAAGTCTATCTCGGTGCTCCAAGTAATCGACACATCACTATACATAGCCAGTGCGGTAGTGATCTATCGCTTTGTTGGTCAGGACGTCCAGTCGCCCGCCCTGGGCTCTGCAGGTCACCTCATGAAGAAAGTAGCCTACGGCCTAGCCATCCCCACTGTATGTCATCCAGTCTCCGGTGGAGCCCCACTGACTCAAGGGTTTAGGTTCTCATCGCCGGAATCGTCAACGGCCATGTTGCCAGCAAGTATGTTTACGTCCGCTTATTCCGTGGCTCGGAACGCATGCACGAGCGGAGCTTGCTTTCCATCGGGTCGTGGGTCGCTATTGGTGTTGTTTCGTGGATCGTTGCATGGGTGATTGCCGAGTCGATTCCTGTCTTCAACAATCTACTGAGCCTAATCGTATGTGGTTTCTCTTCCATCGCACATTATCTATACTAATCCAAACTGTAGACTGCGCTGTTCGGCTGCTGGTTTGCTTGTGAGTCTCAGCCCACCACATTACTTCATAAGAAAAACACTAACCAAACTCAGACGGATTCCCCGCGATATTCTGGTTTGTCCTGAACAAGGGCTCATGGTTCGCATCAACCAAAAAGATCCTTCTAAGCCTAGCCAATCTGTTCATCCTGGCTATGGCCATCGCAATCGTATGTCTCCACGACATTCCTCGATGATACATACTAACAGTATCACAGTGCGGCATGGGACTATATGTGTCCGGTGACGCAATCAGCCAAGACAGCAACAGCGCTGTTTGGACCTGTGCTAATAACGCTGACTGAGCGTTATGCTGAAGTCTATCCTATTGATTCCCGGTGGCAACGTACCACTCTGTGACGACGAGAAATGTTCCTTTTAGCTAGATTGTGTCATGATGTTTACGATAGCATGTTCGTGCAATATGATTCCGTTTGTAACTCGAATCTATATCCTATCCTAGTAAGCAATACCAGCAACTAGCACTTGAATCTGAATATCGTATGTATCCAAACCCATAAGCAACACCTCGTACGAGTCAAAACTGAATATATCCCACCAATCGGCTCAACCAGAATCAGCTAATACCCCAGAACAAATACTACTAAAACCTCCTCTTTGCCAATTGGCAAAGTTAACAGAGAACAGCCAACTCATCGATAAGAGTCAATGAGACGTGCTCATTACCAATTACATTTCCTTCTCTCTCCCCACCAGCATACATATATCAAGCTTAAGCCCAAGCCCAGGCCCAACCCAACCTAGCCAGTCTCTCTTGTAGAATGAAATACATCCTGATCCACCTGAATATACGAATTCGCCCATATCATTCCGTTTCCCAACTTTCAGAGATAGATTCACTCTCGGGGGAAACAAAAGCCTTGTTATGTATGACAGGGTGGGATGAGCAGTCGCTTTAGGGATCTATTGCCTCGGGTTGGGGTGGATAAAATACAATATGATATATTTAGAGATGATGGGGATACACTAGGTTGTATTTATGTATGTGTGTTTTGTTCTTGGGTGAAGTATTTATGGGAGGGTTCGTATGATGGGGTAGGAGTTTCTTAGTTAAGTGTTCGATTTGGGTTTGGGGAGGGGGTGTTGATAAGTTGAGAAGTTGGAAAGGAAGCAGGAAGGGGGGCGTGGGGGTTACTCTATTACTTGCTGATGGTAAAAGGTAGACAAGGGGAGGGCATGCTTGAGACAGACTGTTCTTCATTTCCAGCCTGTGGGTATTAGATTCTCGTCACTTTTGATCCAAACACTAAAATATAGGCTATCTATATGAACACAGAGAAGAAGACACGAAACGTTCCGCGGGATATGCGGCGGTATCATTTGTAAAAAAAAAAAAAAAAATGTAAAGCAAGAGTTCGCATTGCTTGTCATCAAAAGACGAGCAAAGTTGAGCCGTGATTCGTAAGCCGATGTGCGACATGTCACTGTTGCTGGTAACGTGATCAGGGTGGCTCGGATGAGCAAAAGATGTCGGGATTAAGGCCGAAGTGGCTGACTTGAATGGCCGCCGGGGCATAGAGGACGGGAGGTATATGGATGCTGGGTTGCCACGCACGGAGTCATGGGAAAGTGTCCTTGATTGTGGGTATATTCGTCCGAGGCAAGCTGGAAGAGCCTCATGATATACCACCGAATGAAGCACTTTGTCGTGTATATGTGGTAGTGATTCAATGTGCGTGAGACTCAGTTGTCGCATCAAGTCATTGAACGTTGCGGAATTGCGGTGTAGAGGTAATTTGTAGGAGTTTATAGAGATGGGTCGTCCTTCCAGGTGCCTAGTAAATGTCAGCCTCTATACCAGCTTTGAAGAATCGGATGTAATACCTCCAAAGTGATGTTTGACAAACGCCATGGGGTCATCGATATCCCCAGCGCCCATTTGGTGCACGCCGGGACTGAAGCTAGTGATGGGCAAAACCACCACATCTCCCACCTTCTTATACCCTTGCTGGTTCGTGAAATCTTCATAGGTCACATTCAAGGTGGAGCCGGGTTCAATGTTGAAGTAGTCTGGGTTGTTGAAGTACCGGAAAACGGCATCCGTCCAAGCGCCCGGGCCAGTGTACTCCATGACGGTCTTATCCATCTTGCCAACCTTGAGGATCCCTGCCTTCTTCATCCGCAGAGTCTCCTCGGTGATGTATGCCACGATATCGCGCATGATCGGGTGTCCCGGTTTGGATTGGAGGGTCCACTGACAGAACTGAATGCGGCGCGCATACCAGTCATGCCAGTCGGGACGGTCAGGATCCGCCTCGATGCCAACCACCGCCCCAACAGTAGCCAAGTCAAGCTCCGACGGTAGCCAGTCGGACGCGGGCTTCAGGGCCGTCGTATCGATATCGCTGTAAATTCCACCACGCGCTAGGAGAATCAAGTAGCGAAAGAAGTCGGCCTTCAAGACGGGCAAGGGCATGGAATCATAAGCCTCATACACATCAGGGACGGCACCGAACAGATATTTGATCAGGTGGCGCTGTGTATCATCCGGAATAACCTCGTGAACAAATCCGGGATGCAGCTCGGACCAGCTCGACTCTGGGTCACGGAGACTTTCGCTAAAGAACATCGACGACGGCGCATACTTCCAAGTTTGCCAGATGTATGCAGGAAACTTGGCTTCCAGGTCGTAAGGGAAATGGTAGCGCAAGCGATCGCGCAAGGGGGCGGTCGGTGGGGGTATCAGCGGTACCTGTTGTACGGTGTCCTTGTTTCCACCATTTTGGTCACCCTTTGCTGGATCGTCATCGTAGGTGTGTCCTGCGGAGACGGAATCCGGAGACGGAAGAGAAGAGGCGGAGTGCGAGGATCGGAGGTAGACGATGAAGGTGATCAACAGGATAGCCGCAAATAGCGACTTCCGAAAGGTGAGCATCGCTATGAAATATGGAGGAGATCGTAAATCCGTTGAATTGTCGCACAAGAGCAATGAGCTGGCATGCAGCTGAACGAATGTAGGATCGCTACCGGTTCTCCGCAACCTCCGCCGACGATCAAAGCAGATCAAAGCCAGGCAACGACGTCACCAGATCCCGGTATAATTTTGTGTCCAAGTGCGTGTCTTCGATAATGGTATCAGAAATCAGGCATATCTGTTTCCTGCGAGGATGCGACGGAGAGAATTGTGGGTGGTTCGTAAGAGCGGCAAAGTTCGGGGGTTGCGCGGTCGCTATAGCCGGTGCTCCGTAAACAAATTGACGACAATTGACCGGTCAGGGGGATGGCGGAGCTGCTTTGCAGCGAGGGGTTGCTTTCTGGCAGAGCAGCCGAGCAGGAACAAAGCACCGGAGGAGAAAAGGCCAGATGGTGCTGAGGGAAAACGAGGCCGAAGAAAGAAAGATTGAGCTCAGCCTAGCAGTGGGCCGAGTGACGACGGCGAGTTGGTGGCGTCAGACGGCGGGCGCATCGGCTGATAAGCATTTGCCCGTTCAATTTCAACCCTTTCATATTGGAAGTTGGAACCGTCAGGGGCTGCACTCCGGCATTTTAAGTTCATCACTTCCGACCCAGGCAACGCGTCGCGAATTCTAGCAGGGCCACGGAAGATGGCCGTGGAGTCCACCAGTTCCTCTCAACACCCAGCATTGGCTTTGCGACGTTGGCATCCACCATCCACCCCCGTTTCCCCTCCGGAACGGGACAGGATCGGCCGTCGGCTTGATTGATGGAGGAGGTTGTGGCACTTGTGCAGTTCCCCTTGGCACCACGGCTTGTCTCACCTTCTCATCTGACACGGTTGATCCATGATGGCTTAGTTCCGATAAACTTCGCATGCGAGGTGGTATTGCCCCCCCCCCCCCCCCCCCCCGCCATCATCTGCCGTGTCGCCGTTTTCGGCCTTGATCGCAACCATTTCAGGGACACCCAGGTCCACTATGTGGTCTAGATCCCACGAGTCCCTGCTCAGATAAGGTTACTTCTACGGAGTACTTCCTGGAAATCTGTTTCTCCTTCTACATCGCGACTGGCACCTCAGGCCTTCGGAAGAGGAAACGGTTTACGTAGTGCGAAAGTGGGCACTGCGTCAGCACGATGAAGCCGCGTCATACGCTGAGCCGGCCTCTGCAGGCCGACTTGGCTTCGGCGCTTAGTCGACGACGCGGACAGGGGCCAACTCGGCCTGAGAGTGACACTTGCATGACTCGGCCTAGCCAATTGTTTCAGGTCGATTCTGGACGTAGATAATCATATGGCACACTACAACAACTTTCAAAAGCTATCTTAATGATGTTTGTGCGGATTACTCCGGGGTCTTCAGCGGTGTCAGGAAGAGCTGCCCACTCGTTATTGAGGGCCTCGGGTCTGTGCGTTCCTCAGGCGCGTTGATGTTTCCTAGAACCTCGCTGATAGCAGCAACTCGCATTGTGCTGTTCCAACCATTGCCCTTTCAGATATGGTCTACCCTTTCACCATGATCCCTGTCTCTTCACCAAGGCCATGTAGTAAATTACCTAGATGCAGGCGCGGATTATGCCCGTGAAGTTATGCCCGTGAAGTTATGCCCGTGAAGTTATGCCCGTGAAGTTATGCCTGTGAAGATGTGCTTGTGAAGATGTGCTTGTGAAGATGTGCTTGTGAAGATGTGCTTGTGAAGATGTGCTTGTGAAGATGTGCTTGTGAAGATGGGTCGGAAGACACCGCAGCCTGTGATATGCCCATCTCCACGAACTCCATGACATCCGCGAAAAGGTAAAGACTGCTAGATGGAATAGTAATAAAGGTCACACGAGGGCTGAACTCGGCCTTGGAACGTCCACGGTCTCCACTTCTTGGGTGTATCTCCAAGTCAGTAATTTGGAGGTGCTCGCGATTTTCGTCACAGAAGTGAAATCTGCGACAATACTCTCTTCGATATTCAAAGAGACCTTCGATGCCATTCCCGGATATGGCGCCAAGCTCCACCCAGAGACAATTCGTCATTAAAGCCAACACAGTCTCCGATTCTCAGCATGCCCCAGCGTACCTCGTTCCCCGTCTGCAAGAGAATAATAGCGAAAGCTCGTGATGGAACAAGTGCGTTATAGCTGGGTTTTGAGATGTCCAAGTCTGTCACATATTCTCCCATTATTTACTAAAACGAGAGCACCAACCGACCTGATTTCGAGGTCTCTTGTCTTTGTTCTTCAATGGAAAGCATGTGTCGTGCGTTGGCGTAAAGCCATTTATCGGGATTCTCCATTCCGTCGAATTTGATTTGCTTGTCACCTTATTCCACACAGCGTGGTCAAGAGGATTTTGTCCTTTGAAACCTTTACGTGCAACTCAAGATCCATGGGAACTAAGAGATAGAGTTCCATTGATCGCTGCGGGAGCCTCATGCACGGATCGACAAGGTGGATCTCACCAGAGTTTCATTGTAGCCCACAGGTCTGAACGAGTCATCAGGTATATTTGCGCACAGATAGATGGGCATAATCCGTTCTTGCGACAACAAACCCGAATACTCACCCTTTACCGGGCTTGGTGCTGGGGGATATGTCTTGGAAAATAAATCAGGTTTCCGCGTTGTCTACGGCCGCAGAAGACACCGACGATGGTGATTATGACGACGGTAATGATACATCCTTCGATAATTCTAACGTCCTAGGCTCTGAAGGTTCAATTTCAACTGCTCACTCTCGGCTTAGAAGACGTGCAGACGCTGGAGTTTACCAGACGCCAGCCATCGAGCTAAGCGAAGTTGCAGACATTACTTGGTTTTTATAGTCAGCCTGTCCATCACTTTTCTCGCGCGGCATCAAGAGCAATATGGCTGTAGCCGATTGCCACTTATTGTTCCATGAGCTTTCTAGCAATTGAATTCAGAGGAGATAGCTTTTCAGAAGGAGACTGCCAGTAGAACGAGATATGTTGGAGATCTAGGTCTAAGTGGGTACGCAACGGATGATGCTTTGAGCTGATTAGAGGTAGAAGTGTTGGCAAGACCACCTCTAGAAGCAATCTTTGCCAGGCCGTGGCTTTTTCGTAAATAGTTTTATTGTACTCCGTACATCGTATCTTTGCTACATATACTGAGTGTACCGGCTGCATCGAATCGAAGGTGCTAAGGTTCATTATCCTTGGTACATAATTCCAGGGAGGTGGGGGAACGGAAATAGACAAAGAGAGATACTACGGAAAAGGACAGAAGAGCTCTTCTATTATCCGAACATCAGCAGGTAGGTTCTTCTGACTCGCCCAAAATACGAGGTGTACTTTCCTTCCCATTCACCAGCTGTGGTGGAAACAACATCCAGGCAGGTAGTACGGAGTAGTACCGACCATCTGCTGTCACACATAACACAGGGAGCTCCCGAGCGCTGAATGGCTGCGGAAAGCTGTCAGCCCCATTAATTTCCAGATACGGTTAGACATCATCCAACCGATCGGTTCCTGGATGCTACCTGAGTCCTTACCACTCTTTGATTGAATGAAACCTTGCACCCTGTTTTCTGCCCGAGCTACATGGAAGCGAGCTGTGGTTGTATCTGAATGTGAGGCGATCCAAGGTACTGACTTTGTGAGCAACCAATAAACCTGTTGCAGATCAATGCCAATGATCCGATCACCGAGATGGCTACGGCGTGTCCATGACTATCTACTGTTCACCAGTGGAATCCCTTCGTTGCAGCCATAAAAGGGAATCCTCTGGCTTTCCATACCGCCATTGCAAACAATACTATCATGACCCCGGACGTGAGACTGGCTGGCCGATGAGAAGCGCTGACAGCAGTACGGTCGATGGTGGCTGATCGCCCCGACCATTGACGCCTTAGGAATGGCCAGATTGGCGTCTAGCTCGGTCGGTTTCACAATGGCTTGCGTGCTTACTATCCAGGTTGTCACCACAGGCTTCTGCCCCTCTTGGTGCGTCCGTTATCATGGGCCTAGACCTCAGTCATCCTAATGACTTCTCCTATTGGCTCAGATAGCTTACCCTCGACTCTGACATCCGACACAGACGGATGACACCCTGCTAGGACACTTTCCCTGGTTCGCGTGGCAGATGTCACATCGCGGAAGAGGTGCAGGTAGATGTCATGAATCGCATACGCTCAATCCTGAGCCGCGACAAGAGCTTACCCACAACATGGATCCAGTCTGGCCCCAATGAAGGCACCGATGAGGGTATATCACCAGCGAAGCTGCCTAGTCCAGAGGAACAAGGCACCAGAGCCTCTATGATCTGGACGCGGAAGAGGGTAGTATTGCTGGTGATCATGATTTTTCTGGGTGTAGCCATTATTGTCGTGGTGATAGCTGTTCCGGTAGTCCTTCTGGACGATGGAAGCTCGTCTGATGACCCCAGCTACCACAATCAATCCAATCGCCCAATCCGCGTGGTGGATGATTTTCCCGATCCTGGCTTGGTCCATGTGAATGGCACGTGGTATGCATATGGTACCAATGCCAACGTTCCCCATGTCCCGGTAGCTACATCGCCGAATTTCACCACTTGGACCCGACGGCAGGGATACGACGCATTGCCGATACTGAGCAGCTGGGAAACGAACGTCGATCACTACGCTCCGGACGTAATTCAACGGGTGAGTCGGGCCGCATCCGAACCAACTACCACTAACAACGCCGTAGGAAGACGGCCGATTTGTCCTTTACTACTCGGGCGAACTAAAAGACTGGCTACGCCACCACTGCGTCGGCGTCGCAGTTTCCAATGGAACAAATCCCTTGGGACCTTATGTGCCACGCAACCAAACTCTCGCCTGCCCCCGAGACCAAGGCGGCGCGATTGACCCGGCTCCTTTTAAAGATGTCGACGGAACTCTCTACGTGGTTTACAAGGCCGATGGCAACAGCATCGGACACGGAGGAGACTGCAACAACGGCAACAAACCCATTGTTGCGACGCCAATCCTGCTCCAGCAGCTGCAGAAAGACGGGGTTACTCCGGTTGGCGACCCGGTTGAGATCCTGACCAACGAAAAGGTTGATGGGCCTTTGGTGGAAGCCCCAGATATCATCCGAACCGACCAGGGCGTGTACTATCTGTTCTTTTCATCCCACTGCTACACATCGCCCAAGTACGACGTGAAGTACGCATGGTCGACATCTCTCCGTGGACCATACATCAGAGCTGAACGGCCGTTGTTCAGATCTGGAGACTTTGGGCTCGAGTCTCCTGGGGGAGCGACTGCATCTGTAGATGGGACGAGGATGGTCTTTCACGCCAATTGTGGTGATAATGACCGGTGCATGTATGCGGCCGCGATCAACATTAGCACCAATCATACGATCACACCGGCTGCTTTGGGAACATAGTGTTCTACTATTGCATATAGATCTCTCTCTATGAAATAAACTACTGTTCTCAGCATATCTCTTTGTGCCACCTCATCCATTGGGAGTCTGCCATACACGTCTGGCAAAAACTACTAAAACATACCGATTTTACCAGTCATCATAACTTGCACGAAGTATAACTCTCCCTTGTTGAGAGTGCCCTACACTATAGAACAGCGATACCCTCAATCCACCGGACTGTATCTTCATGATTACCGAATTATATACGAAGTATAGATGGCTTGCTTTGATGAATGCTCATGCATACCGGTCTTCAGGCTTCGAAAACAATATTGTATTATAGACTAGCATAATTCCACCCTCGCTATATCTATGGCCATATCACAACCACTCAAATAGCCCAATCCCATAAGACAGCCCTCAGATTAGCTCTCAGGTTCTCACCGGTTTCCAGGCAATGGATGGTGCATAGTGCACGTGTAGGCCGGATACCATACAAATTTGGCTTTTGATTCGGGTTCGTCATTGGGCTGTCTTGTCCTTTTCCCTTCCCTTCCATCCCCTCTTTGTCTCCCTTGCATAAGACTTGTGGGCAAGTGAGTTCTATATATAAAGACAACACAACACAACATCATCTACATCACGATGAAGTCATGTATCATGCAAGCAAGTTGTCGTTAATCTCGCATCAGGTATTTTGATATCGAGCAATGTTAGCACTATCTCCCAGTTTGGGTATTCGTCAACATGGGAGAAAGGGGAAGAGAGGGGAGTGGAAATGAGTGGAGGGAGGTATGCCATCAGATTGAAAACTACCATTATATCACTCTTCATTGACATGCTCGACATCGTTACCTTTGGTGAGGCGAACAGGTGGAGCAGTGAGATAGGTCTCGGAGTGTGCTAGATTGGAAATGTCATCATTGGCGGAGTTGGAATAAGGGATGTGTTTGGGATGAAGGGTGGTATGATAGAGGGAGATGGTTAGTGCAGACGATAGCATATTCCTCGTCAGAAAAGGATAGATGAATGAGCAAATCAAGGCTATCCACAACATGAGAAGATAGAACACTTGATAGTGATAGTGATAGGAGGATCCCTCATAATCTCTTAGATCTCTGTTCAATCTCAATCACCCACACCTGGTCAATGTCTTCTTCCATTCGATCACTCAAAGGATAAAGTCCACTGCCTGAGATATTATTCATCCAGTGTGTCTTGAGAAAGCTCTTGTGTGATGTTATCGTCATTGAGATTAGGAGATTTGATCTCGCATTAGAGATGATTACGGATCGATGCAGCGCGGCGGCGCGTGGTTTTGTAGCAGACGCGGGGCGCACGTGACCCTGGCCGCCGTCCCACTGCGACTGGAAATACGTAACGCTCGTTTTCAGGTTCTCGCTCGCTGCTTTGCTTGGTTATGGTATGTTCTTCTCTCGGTGAATTTTTGTCATTGGCGACCTTTATCAGCTGTCTTGATTGATGTGAAATTCACTTCTAACTGTGATAGATCCCCGCGACTGTTTAATCGAAGTCGCCACTGCAATTTCAATCCGCATAGAGAAGAGGAGGGGAAAATGGCGTCTTGGATTCAGCGCCACGGTAGCTCGCACCAGACTCAACTAGCTGCTACCGCGGTGATCTCCGGGGCTGCGGTCGCGGGTGCAATCTTCGGTTACCAGGCATTCAAGAGAAAGGAAGCGGTACAGCGACTCAAGGCGTCCATTCCGGACATTGACGGTCAACATCATGCGGAGAAGGTATCTTTTTTTCTCGGAGGCGTGGTGATGTCAGCTAATGAGATAAGCTCACAGAATACGGCGTCGCGGCCGCAGCACAGCTGAGCAAGGAGGATGAGCGCAGCGCGGCTCTTGCTCGGAGGGCGCAGGAAGGAGACTACGATGATGGTATTTTCATACAACTGCGCGATTATTGTTAGATGTCTGGCTAACGAACTGTAGAGCTCATCCTCGAACAACTCGCTCGAAACCGTGTCTTCCTATCCGATGAGGGCCTCGCGAAGCTCCGGTCGTCATACATAATCGTGGTCGGATGTGGAGGAGTCGGGTCGCATGCGGTGGCATCTCTTGCTCGCTCGGGCGTGTCCAAGATCCGTCTGATCGACTTCGATCAGGTTACACTGTCTTCGTTGAACCGACACGCGCTCGCAACCCTCGCCGACGTCGGAACGCCAAAGGTGCATTGCATCCGCAAGAGATTGGAGCAGATCACACCGTGGGTCAAGTTCGACTGCCGGAACGAGCTCTTCGGAGGATCGGTGGCCGATGAGCTCCTTGCGCCGTGGACGTGGGATGACAACGACAAAGGGCGCAAACCCGACTATGTGCTGGACTGCATCGACAACATTACGTCCAAGGTGGAACTCCTCCACTACTGCCACTCGCATTCGATCCCCGTGATCTCGGCGATGGGGGCAGGATGCAAGTCAGACCCTACGCGCGTTACGGTCGGGGACATCTCACTCAGCACAGATGACCCCCTGTCGCGGAGCACTCGTCGGCGCCTGAAGCTGTTGGGAGTGAACACCGGCATCCCTGTCGTGTTCTCCACCGAGAAGCCCGGGCCTGGTAAGGCGACTCTCCTGCCCTTGGCAGACGCCGAGTTCAGCAAAGGCCAAGTCGGGGAGTTAAGTGTCTTGCCTGACTTCCGGGCGCGAATCCTCCCTGTGCTGGGCACGATGCCGGCGGTGTTTGGCTACACCGTGGCGAATCACGTCATCTGCGATATTGCCGCTTATCCGATGGACTACAGCGTAGGCGGAAAGGGCCGCGACAAGTTGTACGATGGAGTCTTGGCGGCATTGCAGGGCACGCTAGAGCGCTTGGCCAGAGCGGAGTACGGCCCCAGCCTGGTTGGGCTTCGCCTTCCCATCAGCAAAGATGATGTGGGATATCTGGTCGATGAGATCTGGCGGGGCAAGAGTGCGGTCAGTGGCCTGCCCAGTCGGGTCAGTCTCGTGCCTTGGGCGCGACCGGAGCGAGGCTTTGGCCCCGATCCGGAATGGATGAAGGATGGCCAAACATTCGTTCCGCTGCAGTTGAAGGATTTGGTTTGCATGACCAAGGACGAGGCCACCCGCCATGAAAAGGAAGTGCTTCTGGGCGGCAAGAAGGCGGAGGAGCTTTACGACGCGAAGACGATTGAACTGGTGCAAAAGCGCCAACAGGAGATGGAATTCCACGAGCAATATCGGTAACGACCCGGCGATGCTAACGCGATGATGTATGCCAATCCATGTACAATATAGAAGGGCTGTCCACTAAACTGGGGATAAAAAAAATAGTTGGGTATATATAGAACACGACCCTGACGAGTACGCGCCCACTCGTAATAGCAGCCGCTAACCTGTCCGGGCTTAGTGGCGCATGGGCCTGAGGGACGGGATCCCAGACTAACCCAGTCTGGCTAGCGGCAGGGATGGTGGCACGGGGGAATGAAACCTGTTTCGAGTAAGGCGTCACAAGACGGGAAACCTTCCCCGTCGACATTCCACAGCCTGGGGCTCCTCTCTTTCTCTTTCGTGCTCTGATGGGCCGGACGCTGGCTGTTCTTCCACCTCAAAGCCGTGTCGACGATCCCTTCCGATCGTCGCGATTTTCCTTTTTTCTGTTTTCTGTTGTTTATCCATCCCCCCATACCACCTCCAGCATCCCCTCCCTTCACTTCACAGCACACTCGCTCAACCACCCATCATGGCCACTTATCACGACACCGAAAGCCTTGAATACTCCTCCGACTCCGACGACAGCCGCTTCTCTCCCCACCCCCCGTCCCAACGCATCAAGCGCTACACCCGGCCCTTGATCGATTACGTGCGCAATGACTGGCAATTCAGCAACAAATACACCCATCCCCCGGACGAACCGTCCGACCCCGCCAGATGCATGCAGCTGGTCATGTCCATCGTCACCGCTCCGCGCTTCCGCCGCTATGTCGTCGTGTACCTGATGCTCGTGATCACGTGTACGGTGGGGTGGGTGTATTTCCTCTCTCCGCGGCTGGAGGAACATGCGGAGTTGTTGCGGGCCTTGGACCCGGAGGTGAAGGAGGAGGTTGGGGGGTGGTTCGGGACGAACGCGTTACCGAATTTTGATAATATCGTGCAATTGGGGACATTGGATGAGGGACTGATCCCCACGGGGGAGAAGCGCTTGATTGTCGTGGGTGATGTGCAGGGGTGTAAAGCGGAGTGTATGTTCTTTCTTCCCCTTGTTGTCGTGCCGTAGGGATGGATCTAACATGTCATGGTAGTGGACCGCCTTCTCGAAGAGCTCCTCTTCAATCCCACCAACGACCACCTCGTTTTCACCGGAAACATGATCAGTCGCGGCCCCGAGAGCATCGACGTCGTCGAACTTGCCCGGAACTACTCCGCATCTTGTGTTCGCGGAAACGACGAAGACCGCGTTTTGGTCCTCCGCCATGACATGGTCGAAGCACAGACGTTGAACGATCACTCCACCGATGAGTACCTCGACGGCCAGTCCACGGATCAAGCGAAGCGGGAGCGCGATCTCGCGCGCGCATTGACAGACGAACAGGCTGACTGGCTGGACGCATGCCCGGTGATTTTGGATCTCGGCCAGGTGCCCAATCTCGGCCAAGTTGCAGTGGTACACGGCGGATTGGTCCCGGGTGTGGAGCTAGAGAAGCAGGATCCGTACAGCGTGATGAACATGCTGAGCATCGATTTGGAGACGCATCTGCCTAGTTCAGAGCGTGATGGGATCAGATGGACCAAGGTTCGCCCCTCCCCTAAACCCACAGAATATTTGGGATAAAACTAACCACTATTCCAGCTCTTCAACAAACACCAATCCACCACCTACACCACCTACTCGGGTCTAAAGAACGCCGATCTTGAGGAAGCAAAATCCCACACCACGACCGTCATCTACGGCCACGACTCGGAAAAGTCCCTCGACATCACTACCTACACCAAAGGTATCGATACCGGATGTGTGCGGGGCGGTGAACTGACCGCCCTGGTTCTGAGTGAGAACGGAGAGAATCTTATTCAAGTGAGGTGTAATAACTACCTTGAGTGATCTCCACCTCTATTTTTCGTGTTTGGGTATTGTCAGATATATTCTTGACTTGACTTGCGATACCTTTTTTGGATATATCGCTACGCTACTTGCATCCCTGTCTGTCTTTGTCTCTCTGCTGGCTTGGAGAGATAATTTTGACTCGATGGGCTGATCTGTATTATTGGTTGTTACATTTGCACGATCTAGGATTATCATATATTGCATTTTGGGCTTGGAGTTGGCTTTGGAGTTGGGTGGGTTTGATTCAATTGGCCTGGACCGGACTGGATGGGATGCTCAAAATATGATCATGTGTCTTGTCTAAGAGGTATTTCTGCCTGAGGTATACCATACTATAAATTGCTATACTGGTTTACCGAGGTTGGAAGTAGCCTATGTCTGGTACTGTTGGTGTCATGTACGATAGAGAAGAACATATTAGGGATTCATCCAACGCTAAAATGATATAGTATGCTATAGCCAATAAATCCAAGGCGTATATTTCGGATATGTACTATCCAAAATTGTCCCCCCTTCTCTTCTACTCGGAATGTGACGCAGCCGACGGCATCTCCCACTCCCCACCCACCTCCCAAGTCGCCGGGGCGGTGAAATCCTCATACCAGATGCCCCCGAGCGCATTGACCTTAATATATCCAAAGCGGAAATACTCCGGTTCATCCGCCATATGACGAGTCCAATTAAACGAGCCCAACGCCCCATCATCCGATTTGAACGTGCGGAATCGTTCGACGTCATTAACGAGCACGCTGATTCCATCGGCGTCGCGGTCTGGCTCCGGGAAATTGAAGATGATATTTTGAGAGGAGAGGATACTTGGCGCAGAGAGGATGGGGAGAACGCTTCCGAGCTGAGCGCCGTCAAGCAAAGCGGCAGAGGTCTGGAGAATGCTATCGAAGCCCCAGCGGGCGATACCGTTGATGAAGAGGCCGACGAGGAGGCCTTGGTAGAGGAGGCTGGGGCGGGTTTGGAGGGTAGTCCCGGGGAGGAAGAGGAGGCTGAGGACGTAGTGGTGGATGCGGAGGTTCATGTGCGGGACGATCATGAGGGCGAGGACGGCGCCGCAGAGGATTGCGTAGAGGATGAGCATGTGGGGCATGCGGCCTTCACGGCGGAAGGCGATGGCTTGGGTGAGGATGATGGCGACGAGGAGGGCGATGATGATGATGAGGGCGGGGATGGCGCCGGGTTGTTGTTGGATGTCGTGGGCGGTGAGGCGCGAGATGGGGATCTTGTCGAATGTGTCGGTGTTGAGGGCGCCGACCCAGCAGCTACCGAGCCAGAGGATGGTCTTGTCCCAGTGGGCGTCGAGGTTGGTGAGGGTTTTCCGGACGCAGAAGTAGTAGATTGCGAAGCCGACGAAGGCGCAGGGGAGGAAGCGGCCCAGTGCGGTGGAGACGACTTCGTAGTAGTCGGGGGAGTAGGGCGGGTCGGAGGAGAGTGCTACTTGGAAGTAGACGATGAAGTAGATGGAAGCGTAGAAGGCTGCGGGGGAGGTTATGAATAGAGAGAGCAATGTGGTGACGACGAGGGAGAAAGTGAAGAGTGGCCAGCGCAGGTCCTGGCAGCTTGCATCGGAAGACTCTCCGTCAAAGGTGAAGGAGAGCGGAAAATAAGAAGAATATCCAATGCTGGTGATTCCGTTACGCTCCACGGATGAGAAGTTGGTCCTTTCTCCGGTCCGAGACAAGACACCGCAGCCGCCTTTCTGATTGTCAATCAGGCCAGCATGTAACGCTGCAGGACAGATGGCGGAGTCACCACGGTAGATACCATGATCACTGTCCCCGTCTGAGCTACCTCCGACAACGAGAGAACGATAATTGTACTCTTCTGGACCTACAAAGTAGGGTTCCAGCAGGATCGCATCCGCGCAGCCCGCAGGACAGCGAAAGGCAAACGCCCCCTTGTCAAAGGGGCGACAGGCATCACCATTGAGGCCACAATCAGTCGAGTTCGGCCTGCATACGATAATGAGATAAAGAATGGCAATGAAACAGAAAAAAGGGGTGGGCCACATACCAGAGTCTCCCAAGACATGAAAGCTTGACAGGCGTCCCATAACCCGAGACGTCCTGACCAGCTACGGAGGCATGCAGGATGGAGAGGAAAATGACCCCCCAGATGCATATGCAGGTCAGAAGTACCCCGACTTTGGCGCGGGCGCTCGGAAAATAACGCTCCACGAGGCGGCCCGGCGCAGTTTGCCAACGGCGCAACCACGGGGTGATCTGGTACCGGTGTGGATGGGATGGACCTTGGATCCAGGCGCGGATCCCCGAAACTGTGCATGAGAATGGCACCGACGCGGGTCGGCGATGGAGATGATGGGTTGAGGTTGGCAGCAAAGGTTCGCTCGTCTCGCCCTGGTCGGGCCGGGCGGAGTCGGAACTGGCCCGCTCAACCGTCACGAACTGACTGCTGCTTGAGTCGTTCTCATGATCAAAGACTGCCAGGGGATAGTCTTGGGAGGTTTTCTCAAAGGAGGATGAGGGAGATCGTGAATGTTCCGATGGCATCGTGGCTCCGTGGATACAGTCAAAAAGAACCGCGGAAGAAGAATCCAAGAAGGCCGGATGTTCCGAGTCGCCAGTTAGTCATCACGGCTCAGGCGTAGTTAGATGCGTAGATTACCTATGGCATATGATACATTCCCAGGATATTTCCAGAAACGACTGGCCAGTACTATCCATCCTAGAATACATGATAACCCGCTTGTTTACACCATTATCGAACTCCCATGGATACATTGAAGTGATCAAACTATTGCGCTCCAGCCCCAAGGCAGCTTTACAGCACGTCCGTCAGTCAGCATAACGGTCAACGCCAGGGAGTCATTCGATGAAAGCCATACATTATCAGAGAAATCACAGCAGTAGATGTGACTTGACGCGCAAGCATCCAGTAGGGATAGGAACTGGCAGAGTTCATTGTCTGTGCAGCATGATGCGGACAGCTTCTGATCGCCACATTTGGTGTCTTTTCCCCAACATCATCGAGGTGCTGGCCGTCACGCCGAGCACGAAGTATGCGAGGGTGAGGAACTTCATATTGGATGAAAGAAAGCTTAGAAGGGACTCAGAGTTAGTCTTTGTTGTGGACAGGTCAAGGCTGTTGGGAGTGGAATATAGCAATGCTTACCAGGACGATATCTTCAATTGAAACAGAGAATATAGATGGAAGATGGCTAGGCTCTTGGGGAGACTGGCTCTGCGTCTTTTAAACTTTCTAGCTGCAATAGGCTATATAACATCTCTTTGGGCTTAGATAAGTCCAGGTCCTTGATCTAGTGTGTTTTGATGTCTGCTCAGGAGGTTGATATCCAGAAGGTAGGAATGTACAGTGGAGTAGCCATTCTCGGTCCTACATAGCGTTCAATCATTATCAGTTCAAAACACAGGAAGTGGTGATGGTTTCACCATGTTATAAAATTTTTCATGATAGGGATCTTCACGAAATGGTTGTCGTACAGATCGTGGTGGGGCTATCAGTGACAAGACAGGATATAGCAAAACTGCTGAACAAGAAACCCATTTCCGTGAGAAGGCCAGCAGCAGGACTCAGGCTGAGGGTCAGTCACCACAATGAGGTTCACCTTCCTTCTTCCTCTCTTCATCATCAGCGCCACAGCCACCCAATCGACCGTCCTCGGCGGAGACACAACGTGTGGTGATCAAGACCTAGAAGCATCATGCTGCGACCCCGACAGCAAGCTCTGCCAGTTCCTGAGCGCGCTCGATCCCTGTGCCTCGAACCATGTCTACTGTTGTGACTTTTCCAACAACGTAAGTACCCAGTGTCTTGGCCGGAAAATAATCAGATTTACTTTATGTAGAGCGGAATCTTCATCCCAGTTGCAAGCTGTTTTGCAGCGAATCTCCAGATCTGATTGTCCTGAATAGTCTGCTCTGGTATATTGTTTTCATTGGCATGGTTTGATTCTTAGATCGAGCGATTCCTCGATTGGCTTATTATCGTGGCTGAGATTAGCTTTTCTCGTATGCTGGCCGCAGTCAGGCGTCCGACTGACCAGGGAGCATGGAGTAAGCTCAGCTCAGCCTCGCTGTCTTGTGGGTGGGGTTTGCTGCTGCCGTTCAGGACATGGCTTCCTTGCTGCCGAGTGACGAGCCGACCGCGTCCTCCCCGGAGGCATTTGTTACCTCTCAACAATGTATTACTCATATTAAGCTTCTGGCAGCGTTTGGCGAACTACGAGATACTAAAAGCACCAAGAATGGTCGCTTTGGGATCTATGATGCAGTCGAAAATTGCGGGGGCCAAAACAAACTTCAATCCTTGATTCAGGAGAAGCGCTGGGCTGTGTACATCACATGCGCTGTGAAACGATATGCAGCTTGGTGGTTTAACTGTCTCCCAGATCAGGAGTCTATTCCAACAACAGCGGACATTCGGAAGGATGCATATGCGAACATTGTTAAACCCGAGAAAAGGCTGGACTGGGAGGAGAAACTTCTACCGCCCCTTGGTACGTAATTTCAGGGCAAAGTAAATAAACTCTGTACGCTAATCTGTGAGGACGCGCCAGACGTGCTCATGGTATGGCATGCGCATATGCTGAATCCACGAAAGTATCTCGAGGACTGCATCCGGTATGGCAAAATGTATGTCTGGGGGGCTAGCTTTCCGTGGGAGCTCGTTGATCGCCACATTGACGGCGGCACATTCGAATATGTATCAAACGAGGATACACGCAAGTCTTTTGAGGCCCAGCTGGGCTTCAGCTGGGATAATTCGCTTGACCCATCCACCACTACCGTTGAATGCCCCAAGTGCAGTAGCATGGTCTTCGTCGACTGGATCAACGGCCATGTCGGGTCATGTATCGACCATCCGTTTAGTGATTTTACCGGACTCGCAGACAGAGGCTTTGGTGCTACCTGCCATGAGTGTCATTTTGTAATTGATCATGATCGGCTCAAGGTGGCCAAGTGGCGTCGGGATGTACGGTCACTGCTGGAGCACGATAAGCCTATGCGAGGATGCTTCTACAACACCCGTGGTGTCCCCTTTCCAGTGCCGGAGAGCTGGAAGAAGACATCATATCTATACCCAAGCCAGCTCATTCATGTTGTTGGTGTTGACATGCTGGAGTTCACTGACCCCACGGCCGATAATTGCCACAACATCTCCGATCTGCGCGAATATCTCGAGGAAAGGATCAAAGAGCGCAAGACCCTGCAGATGGCTCATGATACATATATCTTCACGAGCCGGCCCATGCGAGCTGAGAAGCTGTGCATTCGCCGGATGATGGCCCGGTACTGGGATAACTCAGGTCCATTTGCCCTTGATTTGACAGGCGCCGTCATCAGACAGGGGAAGTTCGTCCAACAAATGGACCGTATCAACTGGATCAGGTCGCCGACTCTTCACGCTACCATCAACAGGCTAATTGCCAAGTATCAAATCTTCTTCCAGATCATGGTCGATCACCCCAAACATATGGCTGTACCCACACTCGATGTGGATCTGGCGTGGCACACACATCAGCTATCCCCGGCACGATACTATAATTATAGTGTCCGATCAACTAGTCGCCCAGTGCGACTTATTGACCACAATGACAAAGTTGATGAGCTAAAGCTGAGCAACGGATTTGAATGGACTTGTAAGGTATACCGTGAAGTTACCAACGGGGGCGTCTACAGCGAATGCATCTGTTGGTATTGTGAGGCGATCCGCTATCCGGATATATACGAGCGTTTCCGCGCCTCTGCAGCCATCTTCAATGCTCGCAGAGCCATCAATGAGCTTCACAATCGGCCGAACGTTGCTTCTGAGCCTGACCGTGGCCCTCATATCTCTGTTCATAATGCTGTACGCCTTCAGCAATTATCCAAGTCGGAGTCAACCGAAAGAGAAGTCCGGGCCCTGCGACTTTTAGAAGCCCACAAGAAGGCTGTCAGACGAGCTGAAAGGCGTGCCCATTCCCCTAGGCCCGGGGGAAGTCCGACAGCGCTTGAATCTGCTATCGCGGCTGTCAGTTCATTTATCTTGCCGAATCCCACCGCAGATTCAGTTTCACAGGACGAGATAAGTATCTCGTCCGAGGAGGAACCACGGCCTGAGAAGAACGAGAACATCGGAGACGCTATTGAGAATTTCTTCGACGCGGTTGAGGGTCTCGTAGATGGACTAACTGATCTATTCCCCGATCAGCCACACTCGACAGACGGATCCCATCATGGAATGGGAGCTTGTATTTCGGGAACATGTAATGCTTCTGTCGCGGCTGGGAACTGTGGAGCATGTGGAAGTGGAGCTTCGTGTGGTGCTTGTGGGGGCTGTGGCGGCGGCGGAGGATGCGGTGGTGGTTCTGGAGGATGTGGTGGTGGTAGCAGTGGTGGAGGGTCCTGCGGTGGTAAGTTACTCTTTTTTGTAATGGAATGATCTGACATTGTGTAGGAGGGTCCTAATCTCAGGGAGCATATCCTCCGACTTCAAATCTCGACGTTGTCGACTGAAGGATGGATCAGAGGCCGTTGAATTAGGGGTGATTGATGGGCCACTTGTAGGAATACTGGAAACCGCCCTGGCGGAGGTTCTGCGGAGCGAGTCTAATGTGAGGATAAGCATTGTGTCTCTTGATGGGAATATCGAACAGGAAGAAGAGGAGGTCGTAGAGTAAGGACGAGATCAACGAGAAAAATGCCGGCCCGATCACCTGATCTGCCACTGTCAATTGGAGGCCTAGAAAGGCAGAATGATGTGAAGAATGAACACGATAGTTAGAAGATATGATATTGCAGATTAAATGGCAAGAAGATGACGTCTCATCCAAATACCTGGAATTCAACGTCAATTGCTGCGTCAATATAAATGTGATAAATGAGTAAATTACCCAGGTCTTCACTTTCACAGGTACAAAACCAGAGCCTGGAAAGATATGACGTGGGGGTAGTAACGAACAGACGCTTCACTAGATCTAAAGAACATCCAACTCAAACTATCGGTGGGTATAAGCAAAGAAACTCATGATATCATCTCCATCTTCATAGCCGTGTATCCCCAGAATTAGAACCATAATCTCCAGCAGAATTAGTAGCGTTGGCGGTAATATTAGAAGCCTTAAGAACGTTTCGCATAAATGAGCGTTAGATCGGGGAGTTGCGGTTTGCACCGCGAAGCTCCGCAGTCGGAAGTGTGGATAGCACTCTAGCTTGGTGCTGTGGACCGTGTGGCGTCTGAGACTTGTTTACACGGCAGAGCGACCAAAGCGACGACGGCCACTAAATCGAGGTTAGTTTCATGACACATTCCGACAACAGTTCTGGAAACTTACTAGGTAGGAGGAGTAGTCTCCTTGCGAACCCGGAAGGTAAACCAGATACCCTGTATCACAACTGTCAGTATGCAAGTAGAGTCAGCGCATCCCCAGAGTCAAACATACCACCAGCGCCGAAGCAAGCCAGACAATAGCAGAAATGAAGCTGAACGCCTCAGCTGCCTTCCACCGACTGCAGGTATCGTTATGGTAGAGACCACCCCAGTGCCAGATACTGCCACAGTTCAATTTGTGGATGGCGTCGACAAGGATACCGAAAGCCGCGAACCATGCGAAGGAGATGATGACGTCAACTGCGGAAAGTCAGCGATGTGATAGGAACCACGTGTGCGGGCGCGACAACATACACGGCCAGGAGAAGAACCCGGAGGAAAATGGTATGAGCCAGATCAGCCCGAGAAGTATGGATAACCCGGCGACGACTTCGGTGTAGATCCAGCGGGCTTGCGGCCATGCGTCACCGCTGTACTGAGCCAGGTAGTGGCCGATGATACCGGCAACGACCTACTCATGCGGAATTAGCATTGCACAATCTTTACGAAAGTAAAAGATCTATATGATAGATCATGTCAAATACATACCGCAGCGCAAACAATTTCCGCTACGCGGAAGACAATCGACACTAAGCGTGAGATAACAGGCATGTTGACGGAAGTGGAGTCAATGCAAATGCAGGGCCGTCAATAGTAGTACTATGTAGATGTGTCGGGGAATATAGGGATATTCCGATGAAATTGTCAAACTGTGAGATAACCAGCAAGAAGCAACAAGAAGAGGGAGGCGAGGTGGCAGTGGGATTTAAATAAGAAGAATGACGACCAAGCTTCTGATCAGAGCCGATGATCCGCGACGAATTTTCATGGGAGGGGAGGGAATCTTCCAGTTCCCTTGCTGGGCGAAGTTCGTCTGCTGTGATCACCGGGTCTGCCAGTGACATGACATCGTTTGCCGGCCCACGATTGGCCCGCCGGGAATCTTGCGTCCTGCCCAACGTCTAGGCGGAACATTCTCCTCAACCGTGCTGGGTAACTGATCGACCCGCTGGAGGAGTGGATGGGTGGATGCCATTGCGATGCAAATTTTCTTTCGGTGACGATTATTGATCGGGTGAGGGTGTCTATGGCTGTGTTGCGCTTAGGGGCAGTTCTAGGTATCCTTTGTCCTCACCCTCCAGTCGGTCATCACTACTAAACTCTACGTATAGGCAACCATGATTCTACAGACTATGTATAGAGCCCGCGCCCTCCGCCTCACCTCACTCAGCCACATTTCCAGGTAAACACGCATAATCTTCAGCACGGAAAGCCAGGATAACCCTACCTACCAGGCCATCCGACTAAGGCTGGAGCTACGGAGTACCACGGTGCTCATTCTCCACTACACCCAGCACTAGGCTATTGCCCCCTCGGCTTCAATCCACCGCACACCCACCCGCTAACTTCAATAGCGCACCACCTTAACCCCCTCCGGTTTAGGGGATCGTTGCAGTCCCTTTTTTCCTAGTGGATGACCTGTGATTAATATCCCGCCCTGCAGATGGAGCCATCAAGCCATTCGACCGACCCAAGAATTAATTAAGCCATGGGAGCGAAAAGGGGGAAACGCCCAAAATTCAACACACAAACAAAACCTAGCACCCAGGTTACCGTGGCTGTGACGTCAACGGAGCTGCGTGGCAGCCTGGAACACGGATAGACCGGGGGCTTGTACTTAAGTGGCACTGCAGTCAACGTTGTACAGGGGACTTGGCCCGGCACGAACAACGTGAAGATGGATTGATTGTAGATATGTGAGGGGGGTACTTTCTGTATAGGTACTGGACTAACTTACACCTACGTCATTTTTTGCATTCCGATCATCTATAGGCGACGGGTGGTGACAGCAGCCGGGATTTCAAGGCCTGGCCGTGTTCGGGCCCTTCCTGCCATTCGTGGATGTTGGCTGATGTACTCAGTGTACTGTGTATGCGCTGCAACAAGGTGGTGGCGGAGACCTGCGCAAGACTGTCGGAACCTGCCATTAGGCTCTATCCCGGAAATTGCTACATCAGTGTTCAAGATGGTCATCTATTATGTAGAGTCTGTTTGCGACGGCTCACGATCATCCCGTGAAATCCTTAGGACGGACCCCGAGACTCCAATCCACAGAGTAGCGTTCGGGCGTGGAAACCTTAAGCTTACGGCAATCAAGGGGTGTGGAACACCGGAAAATCGTCCCACGGGCCTTGGTTTTCTATCGCCCGGCCCACGTAAGGGTACTACTGAGTACCGGGAAGGCCATGAAGACACATAATATCTGGTATTCATGAGAGACATAGCGCAGCTGATTCTCATTAACGATTCGTATCATGCTATTAGTACATCAAAGCATAGTGGTCGGAAACACCATGCTGTCGTCTCGAGGATGGCTCAACTCCTGCGCACTGGAAGTGAAGAACAAGACTGTCAGGTAAGGGAATCCAGGAGGCAAAAAATTATTAAAGAAGAATAGTGGCCATCCACCGTCCTAGACATGCTTCCGATCGGCTAGAAACCACTCCATGACCGTGCGGAAAGCTCCCTTCGCACCGCTCTCGATCACATCCCCGTGGCAGGGAATCAAGCGATTGAAATCCCACTTGTCAATTCGACGTATAGACTCTGCAAATGCCTGGCGGTCTCCACTAGACAGAACATACCACACAAACCTCTTCTGCCAAGTCGCAGGGGAACTTGCAGTCATCAAAGGAGAGACCATCTTAGTAAAGACCCCAGATGTGGCACTCTCCTTGGTCTTGGAGTACTGCTCCCTCGCAGGCAGGTTGAACATGAGATCAGCCTCAATGAGCGTGCGAGAGGGCCGATGGTAAAAGACCAGCTCGCGCGACGGATGACCATGCACATATTCTGTCTCAAATTCTGCGTCAAATTCCTCCGAGACCTTCTGCTGTCCCTTGGCGTCCTTTCGGAAGACGTGTTCGAATGGTGCGGCATCTTTAGTTTTGGGATTGGACTGGCGCTTTTCCCAAAGTCCTTCGGGAGCGATGATTGCAGCATCAGGGAATGCCTCTTTCCAGGTGGTCAAGTGGATGTGGTGTTCCAGGTCCAAAGCCGCGATGTATTTGACGCTGCCACCCAGTCCAGTGATCGTGTCGCGTACTTCTTGGGTTAGGTTTACGGGCGAAAAGACCGCGAGAGAGCCCGTTTCCATCTTGACTATTTTCGCCAACGAACCACATTAGCATTAGTACGAAACATGTTCTCGAAGACAGCCAGGATTTGAACAGGGAGGCATGAGCTTGTAGTAAAGCAAGAAGAAAAGAACTGCGAACCCAGTGTACCACGCCCACCGAACTTGAGCCGACCGAAACGCGCAAATGGCAAACTCATGGTGACAACATTAGATGTCACATTGCGGATCACCATGACCTCCGAAGGATTCGCAGGAAAAAGCCGGGGTGACATGATGATCGTTGTGCTGCGGTGCAGCAAGTTGGTGCTGCCAAATATTTGCTGCTTGATAAGCTGTAAAGTTGGTAGAAATCTAGGAGTGTGACAGCTTGCACGAGGGAAGACAAGGCACGCAGAGAACGATCGGGGAGCTGCTCCTCGAGACAACCACTGGCTTGATGCCTATGACGTAAGGCACCATGGGCCCATTCAGGTGTCCGCATCCAGCAGGAGCGATTGTGGCTGCGTGCCTGGGAACTATTTCCGGAAGGCGCAACCTCAGGCCATGGAACTCTAGAAGGCCTGCACTAAGGACTCCATAAGCATCTCCACCAGGCTGTCAACCACATGCCGGTTGTCAGGGTCCTGTCAGCAAGTGGGGGATGCGATTTAGGATAGAGTTGGTTGACTGGCTGCTCTGGAGCCAATTACAGCTTGGCCAATGCAACTGGTTGCCCACCACCCCTCTGCACACCAGGAATGGCTACACTTGTGGTAGGCTCTACCATTCTATATATGTGGATCGCGCCTTGTTTATAATTCATCCAAAACACCCATACACCAGTTATATAAGCAGAATGCACACCAACGCCTTCCACAACAAATGGGTATCACGCTATCCACTGGCACAAGAACCAATCACTCCGGCACTAAAAAGACGCATCACTCCTGTTGACCCCATCTGGGCCATCCTTATCAGCCTTGCCAGGATTGGGCCGTATTCTGGGACTCCTCTTGGCGATGAGGAATGATGGGGTCCTTGATATCATATGCTTCAATCAATTCCTGCCACACGTCAAAGTCGAGGGCGCAAATGGCCTGGTTCTTCTGGACCCCCTTTTTCTGGGCTTCGCTGGGCGCATGAGGCTTCGAGGCATCTGTCCGAGAATGATTAGCTAGACGCTCAGATCATGGAGGGTGCTGAACAGGACTTACGCAAAGTGGGTAGCCCACGGCTGTCCACCGAGACCCCAACCATACCGTCTCTGACCAAGAAGCTAACGTAGAATAGGTTCTCAACGCTCTGTCCAAATGACTTCGGGTTAAGGCAGAATTGAAACAGGGGTATGCCTCCATCATCGGCAACATTGTGCTTAGCCATCACCTCCTGCACCAAGTCGTCGGTTGGAGGCTCGGATAATTGCGATAATTGCCTCTCTACAGCATCCTGTCCCTGGTTTTGCGTTCTCACCAAGAGCCGGTTTATCTCGGCACACATGGTAGTCAGATTCGAAGTTTCCTGCCTGTCAAGGTCCTTTTCTTCAAGCGTTTGCGGTGCAACGGCCCGTGTTGGGTCAATGCGTTCTCGTGCTCTTCGTGTAGGTTGCTGCCGGATGCGTTTCTGTACCGACAGGGGTCCCAGAAGGAAGCCAGGTACCGACGGTCGGGAATTACTACAAAAGCAAGCAGCGCGCCCGAGCCAGTCCCAGTTCATTGCGTCCCCTTGATCCTCATCACTGTCGTTGGGGTCCACCTGACTCCTTCCAATACCCGTGCGCCGACGTTGTGTGCTGCTAGGAATTGAGGCTTGAGACTCGGTTGGGGCCCGGCGCATGAAAGAAATGCATTTCGAGACGAATTCATCAACGTCTATTCCTGCGCTAGCATCCCCCAATACCAACTGTGCGGTCTTCTTGTACGACAGATCTGCTGCCTGAACAAGCAACCGAGAATCAATAGTAGCATCGGAGGTTTGCTTGACGTTTTCAAATATCTCGTTCGCTTTCTTTATGGTATCTCGAAGTCCGTGGTTTCCCGCTTGTAAGAATTCACTTCTCGAATCTGCAATATAGCCCAGTCAGACAATGATGAGCAGGGAATCTAGAGATAACCTTACCATTGAGGTCCCGAGTCAGATCTCTGAGACCCTTGCGAATCTGGCGTCTTTCTCCCTCGTCCTGATCTGGATCGTAAAATTGACTGGCATTGTTCCGGACTGACTGAGACGCTGCTGGACGCTGGCTACTCTGAATGTTAGAGTCTCCGGCTGACAGTCGCGCTCGCTTGGTAGAGCGGGGTGCCATCTTTTGTGTTTGGGTTCTTTTGGCGATAGCTGTCGATCTGGGGCGGTTTTCCTTATCTGATGATGGTCCCTGTGATAAGGACTGGCTTGGAGATATGGAGGAGGGAGAAGATGCCATGTCTTGAGGGGCAGAAATCCTGCGACAACAAACAAATGGTGGAGGGGGGACGGACAAAGAACGCGATCGGTTGCGACCGTCTGATGTCAACTGGTCGGAGGGTACAGACAAAGACAGGGCACAAAGCGAATAGTTGCGCAGATGAGAAGAGGAAGATATAAACGCGATTCAAACCAGCATGGAGTCTGGGTTCAACTTATCCCCAAATAGCCTCCTGCAATGGTCTAAGTTCAACGGCCATCCGGGCATTTCCTTTGGGTAACACGACCCGGCCGAGGCGCGCCCCGAACGCGTAGTGGCACGTGATCTGTGATGACCCCGCGTCATCGAGGCGCCTGGCCCCAGCCAACCGGCCAATCAACAGCCGCGGCTCCGTCGTCTCCGGCCGGAGCTCCCCATCCATGTCACTTCACTTCCCTTCCCCGGCAATCCAGTCCACTCCTTCGCTTCGGTTTGCAATGAAGGGCGTGGGGTCTGACAGCGGTGGATACGAATGGCCCTGAGCTAACGATGGAAGCTTTTACTTTTACCCTTTCCACTCAGGTGGATTTTCCAATCCATGTAAAGATGTACGTGCACCTTGCTTTCGATCGTTCTAATTCCAAGCCATGTTCGCTGACAAGGGATAAAGTGGCTCATTAGAAGGCAAGCAGAGACAGCTGCCTTTCTCCGTGCTTCTGAAGCAACCGGAATTGCGCCATATTGGTTCCGCGCAGAACCCTGTCTCCGACCTTTTCGTGACGGTCCAACTATGGTCAGATTCTAAAGCGCTAGGAGTGCCTCTACAAACCTCATACAAGACCTTTAAGTCTGCTCGATCATGGAATGAATGGCTACAGATGCCGGTCTCGATAAAGGATGCTCCTCTCAAGAGTCAGCTAGCTATCACTGTCTGGGATCTCTCGCCGTTTGGCGGCCAAGGGGCACGGGGGCACTACGTACCCTTTGGGGGAACAACTATACCGTTATATGACGAGGACGGAAAATTAAAGATGGGCAGGCAGAAATGCAAGATATATCGCCACAGAGCTGCGGACGGCTTTTCCTCAACAACCACGCCGTCAACCCCGCCACCCAAACGTCGGAGGACCAACGCACCGGATCCGCTAGGTCCGTCATCGGAAGAGATGGAGCTGGAACGCGTTGAGGTTCTGATCAAAAAGCATGAGATGGGGGACATACCGCGCATTGATTGGATGGACCAGATGGTATTTCGGCAGCTAGAGAAGTTGAAGCTCAGTGCGGAGGAAGCTGCGAGGAAACGCGCCATACATCTGAAGGCCACGAAACAAAAGCGCTTGGAGAATAAAGGCGGGGATGGAGAGGACTCGGATGATGATGATTTTGACGATGAGAATTTTATTCTCTACGTCGATTTTCCGCGCTTCGATCATCCCATCATCTGGTCGGATCATGAATACCCACCGCCTCCCGTTTCGTCCTATCCGCAAAGTGCGCCTGCAAATGCAAATCCAGCCCTGAAGCCTGTTCCGGAAGTTCGCTTTGGTCCGGGAATAGAAGGTGCAGATGGAGGTGGTGTGATCCGAATCTACGACCCTGAAGTCGGCCAGACGGGTAACCCATGCGAGGACAAGCACCGGAGACTGATCCGTAGCCATCGGACTGGCATCATGGATCGTGATTTGAAGCCAAATCCCAAGATCCGGGATGAACTCAACGTGATTCTGTCCTACGAGCCGACACAAGATTTAACCGCCGAAGAGAAGGATCTTGTCTGGCGATTCCGGTATTACTTGACCCGTGAGAAAAGAGCGCTCACCAAGTTCGTCAAGTCAGTCAACTGGAGGGATGCTGGTGAAGCGCATCAAGCTGTTGAAATACTGCCCAAGTGGACCGAAATTGACGTCGACGATGCTCTTGAGCTTCTTGGACCGACTTTCGATAATCCAGCAGTTCGATCTTATGCGGTTGAAAGGCTTCGCAAGGCCGATGACGAAGAACTACTCCTCTATCTTCTACAGCTTGTGCAAGCGCTGAAATATGAGGATACTTCCAATAGTGACGTCGAAGACGCCGCTCACGATTCCTCCTTGGCCAATTTCCTCATTGCACGCGCTGCGAACAACTTCAAACTTGGCAATTATCTGCATTGGTACCTTATGGTTGAATGCGACGATGCCGGACCGGGGACATTATCGGCGCAGCGCAGGCTTTTCGCCCGCGTCGAATTCTACTTCCAAGCCGAGCTGGAGAAAGTCCATCCGGAGCATCGGAAGATCCTCTTGCGGCAAGGTGAACTCGTCACTATACTTACGAAAATTGCCAAAGACGTCCGGTTTTCCCGTGAGAATCGCGTCCTCAAGATTGAGCGGTTGAAGAAGTTCCTAAAAGACCCCAAGCACGACATGCTCCACATCGACCCTCCATTGCCGCTGCCTCTGGACCCTGAGGTAATGGTCACAGGTTGCTACCCCGACGAAGCGAATGTCTTCAAGTCCTCTCTGTCCCCGCTACAGGTCATGTTCAAGACCTCGGACGGCCGAAAATACCCTATCCTCTTCAAGATTGGCGACGACCTCCGCCAAGACCAACTTGTCATCCAAATCATCATCCTGATGGATCGTCTCCTCCAAAAAGAAAACCTAGACCTCAAGCTGACCCCATACCGCATCCTAGCGACCAACGCTACTGCCGGAGCAGTCCAGTTCATCCCATCAGCCTCCCTCTCCGCGATATCCGCAAAATACAAATCCGTCCTCGCGTATCTCAAAGTCAACAATCCCGATGACAGCGAACCCCTCGGTGTCCGCAAAGAAACAATGGACACCTACATTAAATCCTGCGCGGGGTACTGTGTAATCACCTATCTCCTCGGAGTCGGTGACAGACACCTGGAGAACCTCCTTCTCGCCCCTGACGGCCATTTCTTCCATGCCGATTTCGGCTTCATCCTCGGCCGAGACCCCAAGCCATTCGCGCCCATGATGAAGCTATGCAAGGAAATGGTCGAGGGTATGGGTGGAACTACATCGCCACTTTATCTCCAGTTCAAACAATACTGCTTCACGGCATACACCACCCTCCGCAAGTCGGCCAATCTCATCCTCAACCTGTTCAGTCTGATGGTCGATGCCAATATCCCTGACATCCGGGTCGAACCAGACAAGGCCGTCCTCAAGGTCAAGGAGCGATTCCATCTGGAAATGACGGAAGAAGAAGCGATCCGTCACTTCGAACAACTGATCAGTGACAGCGTGAATGCTATTTTCGGTGTCGTCATTGATCGTTTACATGAGTTCGTGCAGGGGTGGAGAGCATAGTTGTTGGATAATCATCTTATCGGATCATGAACAAAGTACAGACAGGAGTTTCGTGGCGCAGAATCGAGTGTATGATTGATACCCTGCTTTCAAGCGGATACTCGTCTATGTGAATAATAACGGATAGATATAACTATAGACTTGTTTCGTTCTTCATGATGCATACGGCCGTCGTAACGTCAATGTCGTAACCTATCTGCCCCTCCCTGAATTTATTTCCGCAGTAGCGGTTACTTGCCCGTGTCATGCAACCGACCTCCCGACTCCTCATCAACACGTCCCCAATCTCCCAGCTCGACCCACTCATTCCCCGTTACATCAGTGCCATTCCTATCCGCGAGACCTAAATCGGTCCCTTCGTTGGTCCTCATGTCCTCCGTCACGGCAGTATCAGAACCAGAGTTGTCCTGCGACGTCATAACCCCTCCTCCTCCTACTTGCTCGCTACGCATCTTCGCCTCAGCGTCTTCATCATCCTCCGGTGTTCCCTCCCTACATGCCCACGCGTCTACGAACCGCAACACCTCGCGCGGCCACCAGCGCTTCATGAGCAAGAGGCGGAAGGGGACTAGCGCGACGATGAGGACGGGGAATGCGGGTGCACCGCGAGTGAGAGTCAGGATGAAGATGGCTACTGTGATGATTATTTGGAGGATGGTGTAGAGGTGGATTGGGGTGTAGGAAGGGGCTGTTGGGGCTTCCTCTTCGGAGGTGGGTGGTTGTTTCGCAAGAGATGGTGGGAGAGGAGGGAGTTCGGAGGGTGGGGTGAGGAGGTAGAAGGTTCGGTAGAGGATTGGGCTGGGGATGTTAGTTAGCTTTGGCTTTGATGTATGAGGAAGAGGGCGGTAGTGGCTTACTTGACGGATAGACTCTGCTCGCCCATGAACATGAATAAACCTGCTAGGACGCTTGTTGGGGTTAATCCAAGGACTTTCATGAACGGCGGACTGATGAAGAGGAGGATGACGGCTGAGTGCAGAAACGAGGACCAGCGCTGTTCGTATACGCGTTTCACCTCGTATGTTTCAGTCTTTTCTTCTCCGTCGACTGTGATTGTGCGCTGTTCTCTTTCGGTGTGCATGAGGGACTCTGAGTGAAGGGGAGCTTGAGGGAGGAGCCCATTGGCAGGTGGTATTCCGAGAATGCCGCATAGGGCTGTTGTAGTTCCTAAGAGGACAATGTCCCAAGCGAAACCGCCCGGCTTTCTGGTTCCGTAGCGATCGATGGTGCATATGATTGAGCTGACTTCGTGATCGAAAAAGAAAAGGATAGTGATGATGATTCCCGGGACGATGGCGGCGAAGACCCAGCCGACAGGTAGGTGCCAGAATTCGACGAGAAATCTGTCACGAGTGGGAGAGGTAGGTTTGAAAGAGGTGCTGACGGGGAGAGTCATCTTATCTAGATGGGCTAGTTCCCCGACGTGGGGAAGGCCGATGAAGATTATGATGGAAATAGCGGCGGCATATTCTGTTAGACCCATTCGAATGTATCGATGGAATAACGGGCGCCAGCTTTCTGCTGTGGATAGGAATATCGCGAGGAGCATCGTTCCCACGGCGCCTATGACGGCGTAAAGAAATGCTGCAAAAGAGAGGCTTTCGTGGGCTCTTTCAAGCTCTTGGATGGCTTTGTGAAAGTAGATAATGCTATTGAGGAGAGAAAAGATCTCCGTTGCAAATGTGGTGACGTAGCGCATCGTCCAATCGTGGGCGTTGATTATAGCGAGGACATAGTGGAGCCATGCAGCATGGATCAGGGACCAGGCCATGAACGGTAGAAACGGTACCTGTAGGGTTTCGTAAGCTATTGCTGTTATTTTGTTCTCGTCATCTTACCAGGAAGACTTCCTCGCACAATGCATAGATATTCTCAGCCAGCACCGAGAAGGGTCCAGTAACCCCGAGGATCGTCAGCGGCTGTATGGAGAGCCTGATATTGTTGTGAGTCTCATATCGTGTTAGGCTAAATGATGCTGCAGACATGAAGCCTTACAGTGAAAAGATAACTCCGCATAGGCCTGTGCTAAATACGACTTCAATAGTCCCCCAGTTCTGACCAGTGAGAACGTAGAGATCACTAGCAAAAGTGATCCCCGGCAGAAGGTTCGTGAAGAAAACATAGACGGCGCTGGCAAAGACCAACTGATTGAATACTGTCCAGTCGGAGATATATCGGCGTCGCAAGTTCAAGATATCCTGCTTTATCAGACGAAATGGCCGTAAGGAACCACCTGACGATACGGAGCCCCGTAGCACTCGAATCGCCTTGGGTGTATGCTTAGAAGGGGTAATGATGGAGTGCGCATCGCCATCTTCATCGCCATTGTCTTGATTATGATCAATTTCGCTATCGTTCTGGATATTGCGCTTCGGAGACCTCCGTTGCCTCTGGGGTCTATGCCGGAGAGACAATGTCCGCGTGGAACGAGGGCGAAAGGCAGATATCAACGACATTGTTCATGATAGAGAGCAGCTTGATGGTGATCTGGAGGGGTCAAAAACGGTCTGGCGGATAACCAGCGATGCCCGCCTTGGCCCTCATGACGTATCATATCCCCGATAAGCCACTCGCTTCATCATCCCCGAACCGGACGGATAAAGCCGTCCAAAGCAGGTCAATTGACTTTTACCAGAAAATCATTAGTTCATCGCGATCGCACCAGGTTCCATGTGCCAAGTCACAGTATGAACTGAGTAGATCAGTGAGTGTATGTGAAGTACTCTCCGTCTTGGGTGGCTGCTGCCTCACGGCCGGGACTTCTGGGATGGATCGCTCTGTAGATGATCACATGAGAGAAACATAACTGAAATTTACACTAGAATAAGCTCAGGTAGCTCAACAGGCTGCACCTGCACTGTTGTCATTCAAAGGCGCACCAGAGCATGAGCGCAGTCCATAGTCCAGATGGCACCGCCATCTCGAGCGCCAACCGCCTTCCTGACCGCCTTCAACGGCCGACAAAATCTCTCCCGCGGAGGGATTTCCTCGGGGTCTCCAATTCCAGAAACGATGTCCTCCAGACAGCAATCACTCGGCACGGTTCCTGGATGATGCCAGCTGGGTAGGATTACTGTGGTCGCCAGAGACAAATCACTCCGCCACAGGGTTCTCGAACGAACACAATGGCAGCCAAGTTCATTCCGCGCCAGGCTTTCCCCAATCATGGGGCCATTCCGAGGTCCTATTTCCTGGGCCACCATGCGGCGGGTCTGAAGAAGATGCAGAACATGCTGTCTTCGATCGATTATGTAGTCGAGTGTCGTGATTACAGAGTTCCCGTTACCTCTATTAATCCCATGTTTGAAGAAGCACTCGGGAAGACACGACGATTAACCGTTTATACTAAGAGAGACTTGGGTGCGGAATCCGGGTCAAAAGCGCAGAAACTGGTGAGAATGCTCCAGGGATCGACATGATGAATTTGAGATCGCTAATCTCCTTCTTTATTCACAGGCGGAGAAAACCATTCGCACCTTCAATAAAAACGGCGCTTCATTCTTCGTGAGCTCCTCGTCCCGTTCAGATATGGGCACCATCATTAAACACTTGCGAGACGATGCAGAAGGACCAGACAAGCTGGTTGGGTGTCGGGTGATGATTGTCGGTATGCCCAACGTGGGCAAGTCGACGCTGATCAACCACCTGCGTAATCAGGGCGTGGGAAGGGGAAAGGCTGTGCGGACCGGAGGCCAGCCTGGTATCACAAGGAAGATCGGGTCACCTGTGAAGGTCATCGAGAGAGAAAATGGCTCTCATGTCTACGTGTTAGACACGCCGGGTGTATTCATGCCATATGTGCCCGACGCGGAGAACATGCTAAAGCTAGCACTCTGTGGCTGTGTCAAAGATTCGGTCATCTCCCCGGTCACATTGGCCGATTACTTATTATATCACATCAACTTGAATAACGCCGAGGTATATAAACGATGGTCAGAGCCAACGAACGAGATCGTACCTCTGTTGAACAGCTTCGCCCGAATCACCGGTCTCTTGAGCAAGGGCGGCATCCCAAACACTGACCTTGCAGCACTGCACTTTATCCAGAAATGGCGTGCCGGTGACTTGGGCAGATTCATGCTGGACGACTTGAAGGAGGAGGAACGTCGCCGACAAGACGGCGAAGAGCGAGAGATACCCCTCAGTCTCACCCAGGCCTTGAAGGCCGAGAAACTGGCCAGAAAGCAACCCAAACAGTGAATAAACAACCATATAGAATAGATAATCCTCTCATCCATTGTACAAAAGAACGAATCATGTTGGTATCATCAATGAGCTTTTGCCTCCCCTCAGATGCATAGTAGACTTGTAGAACCGCAGAACGATGTCGGAGAGACAAGATGAGACGAAATCACACCGAATAAAGAACCATAACGCCCATGACAGAGAAAAGAGACCCCTTAGAAAACACAGGACGACGGAAGAGACAGACGCCCAACGCAGTACCCCCAAGCCCGCACAACCTCACGAGATCTTATCCAACAATCTCCTCCTCCGTCGATCGACCAACTCCTCCTGAACCTCATCCAGGCTCGGCAACCTCCACTCCACACCATCGCCAGCATCCCCAGGCAACGGCTCCCAACCATCCTCAACATCATCCTCCTTCCTGCGCAATCTCTCCACAGCCTCCTTCTCCTTCTGCTTCTCATACGCCAACAACGTCCCATCCTCCTCATCCAACCCATAACCAAAATAATTCGCATCGACCTTCTTCGTCGCAATCTCGCCCCCCCGTCCCTTCAATCCCTCCCCATCCTCCTCGTCCTCCTCCGCCGGCCTCCCCCGTCTCGCCGCGGCCTCAAACATCTCCTTCACCCCCGGCAACTCCCTCGCCCGTCCAAAATAGCGATACCCCTTCCCCCCGCCCGGAATCTCCCTCCCATCATCATCAAACACCCGTCCCGAGCCACGCATATAATTCGGCCCCCCAAGATTCCGAATCTGCATTTCCCACGTCCACTTCTCCTTCATCAACTTATTAATCTCATCATTCAGATCCCGGATCTGATAATCGCTTAAACTGAGCTCCTGGATCCGAGACACTTTGCGCGAAATTTCTTTCAGCACCTGGCCGCGCCATTTCTCGCACATCGGGATCGAGTCCACCGAGGTGATGGCTTTCGGACGGCGCGTGCGCCCGATGTCGATGATTCCGAGGTCCGCGGCTTGTTGGGCCCGGAAGCGGAAGAGCATCGATTGGGCTTTTTCGCTGTTACGCGCCTGGTCATGGGGAAGAGCGTTGGTTAGCCTGGTGGTGTGGAGGGAGGGAGGGGGAGGGAGAGGGAGGGAAGAGTTTTGGGTGTCGAGTGGGTGGTATTCGTGAGGGTGATTGCGTGGATTGGAGGGTGAATGGTTCAGGAATCGGAGATTCAGGAAGTGCTTACCATTTTGAAGAGCGGCGCGGGGAATCCCCGTTGCAGATGGAGCTTGTGGTACAGAGGATGAGGTGAAGAATGAGAGAGGCTCGTCTTGACCCAAGCTCGGGTGGGTTCATCCGCCCGTTGACAAGCGAGCGCTAATCCCTTCAGCCGCGCGGCTGTGCATCCCGTGGTTCTTGGCTGCCAACCCCGACTTGACAGCCCCCTTGCTGGCAATTCGGTGCCTGTGGGTTTAAGTTGTGTGGCTTACATGGAAGAGTTTAATTTACCGATTAGATTTAGGCACGGTGGATACAAGAAATGTCATGTCCAAACATAGTCGGCATTGGTAGTGCTCATTGGACTATATCTTTGTGCAGCTTCGAATATTATCATGAATTCATCAAATGAAGGTATAATATGTGAAGAATAACATGAGCAAAACCGGAGACTCGAATTAAAGCCATCCGTCGCAGATCATCAAGATGCATCATGAAGCGTCAAAGCAAATCATATAACATACACGTCAAAATCATTCAAAAGCATAATCCAAGCGCCGCCTTCCTTCAACACTCCGTAGCCATGCAGGGCTGCCATCATGTCATAGTCGTCATTGGTCGCTCAGGCCCTGGATGAATGTTTAGCGCCTGGGTTTAAACAGAGCCATGTGCTCAGCAGGATCAACCTGCTAGGTCGTCATAATTCTTACAAGAAGCCTTTGGTGTTGCTAGGCATCCGCTGTGGTACCTCGCCTGAACCATACACGCTGCTCCCCCTTCTGCTTCCAGCATCACTGAAAGCACCAACGTGGCCTCGTCCGAGGACGCTGCCCCTTTCAACGCGGAGCGCCCGCCATCCGTCCAGTTCACGCTCCATCCTGAGCGACTTCTCCCTTTCTTCCCGGAGATCACGCTCAAGTCGACGGACTTGCAGCTGCGTTTCCGAGTCGCTATGCTGGAGTTCCTCAATGTTCCGGAGAAGACGCTCAATCTTTTCGCGAGCTTTGTTGACGTCGTCATTGAGCTGAGTGTTCATCTTATCGCGCCGATCAATCTGGGACTGCATGTCTTTGACTGTGCGGTCGACGTTGCGCAACGAGCGCTGCTCAGAACTGTGCTTGGCTTCTTGCTCCTCAAGATGGGTTTCCAGCTATTATCGAAACCGTTAGTATCCTTTAGACTGGGGGCTGAATAAGTCCAAAGAGACAACTTACTTCCTTGACTCTCTTGTGCAAGAACCGGACATCCTGGCTGCCTGATGAGTAGCTCTTGGTCTCGAGATCAACGCACCGCAGTTGAGATTCCTTCAGCTGCTTTTCGAGTGCGGCCTTGTCCTTGAAAAGTTGAGCGTTTGTTTCTCTTTCGGCAGTGACTTCTTTCTGCATCTCCATTGCCAGTGCTTCTGCCCGCCTCATCTTACCCACTGCAGCCGCGGAAACATCTTCTTGCTGAGCAAGTTTGGACTTCAGTTCTAAAAGCGCGCGGTCCATACTTGCAGCGTTGCGCATCGAAGGGCTCTCTCCCTTCGCGAGGTCCTCGAGTCTCTCGCCTGCTTCGGCCAACCGCGCTTCCAGCATCTTCTTCTCCTTGAGCAACATGTCTCGCTCCGAGGTCATGTCGTCAACGGAGGTGCGAAGGGTTCTGACTTGTGACAGAAGGGAGACAACCCGGCTCTGAGCTTCATTGTGTGCATTGACGGCCTCATCACGAGATGTTGTTACATCTTGAAGCATGATGTCCATTCGGGCCTTCTCTTTCGCCCAAGTAGAGCTGTTCAAAACTTCGTCATCCCACTTGCTCCGCAAGGCTTCCAGCTCTTCACGGAGACGTGAGCTTTCGGCACGGACATTCAAGACCTTTTCACGTTCCATCTCCAGTTCGTTGTTGAGTGTCGTGAATTCGCGCTGATACTTTTGCCTGGTCTGCTCCATCGATGTTTCTTTGTCTTCAATGTCGATGGCTCGCTGATTTCTATAGTCTTCGAGCTCGTTCTGAAGACGCTGCTTGGCCTGGAGCGCACCTTGTAGCTCGGCGGCTTGGTCTTCCATCCTAGCTTCGAGGGATTGGGTCTGCCGTTGCAAGTCCTCAACAAGAGCATCCATCTGTTTGCGCTCAGACATGATCTGGGCACATGTGTCCTCGGCCTCCTGGGCTTGAGACTTGGCGAATTGCTCCGCTCTGGTAGCCTTCAAGACCGCGATCTCAGCTTGTTCAAGTTTGCTGAAATACTCATCCGCACGGGTCTTGTACAGGCTCATGCTCGAGGCGAGGTCGGCCGATTTGGATGTCTCTGCATCAAGACGAATTTGTAGGTCGGAAAATTCTTGAAGCAATTGGTTCCGGCTGACCGCATCCTGATCCCTGGCAACTTGCAGCTCCTGGAATTCGGATCGCGAGTCACGAAGTTCAACTTCCAGGGTAGCCTTGGCTCGCTTCAGTTTCTCAAACTGGGCTTTGGCATCGCTGAACTCTGCAATAGCTTCGTTGTGTACCTTGAGCAAAGACCGCCTGGACTGCTCCTGAGAGTTAATCAAGTCGTACAGTTCCTCGTGGGATTTGGCTTGGACGTCCCGTAGAGAAAGGTCTCCTGAGCGGATGCTCTTCTCCAGAGCCGAAACCTTTTTAGACGAGTCGTCAAGTTGGTCATGTAAGCGTCCGTTTTCGCGTTCTAGAAGCTGCATCCGTCGGAGAGAGGGGCTTTCTTCCTGCCACATATCACGACCAGGGTTTGCCTGAACAAGCTGATTTTGAAGATGCTTGTTCTGCATCTCGCTCATCTGGAGCTTGTTCTGAAGCTCCTCGATCTCGGTAGCCATGTCCATGCGCTTCTGGTAGCCCACAGTATCCACCGTTCTATCAGACCGGCCAGAGTCATTCGCCATTTCGTTGAAGTTGAGTCTTCGGTTTGGTGTTGTGGGAGTGCCAAACTTCTTCGCCATGACATTGTCGGAGTTCTTTCTGAGATGCGTAGGGGTGCGAGGGCTAGACACCTGGTTGTGATCGATCTCCTCCAGCAAGGCGCGTTTAGATGAAGCGTAACGCGCATCGAGCTCCTTCATCTCGTCCCCATGCCGACGGCGCATTTCTGCCAGCTGAGCCTCCGCTCGACTATACTTCTCTTCTGTCACTTGCAACTTGCTCTGGGTGGTCTCCAGCATCTGCGCCAAGTCAACTTTCTTTGCGAGATTAGGCTGGATCTTCTCCCAGGTTTCAGAAGAAGGATCAGACTCGGGCTCCACGATTTTGTGCAGTAGCATCAACTGGCGGTGCAGATCTTCGATCTCCTTGTTCGCTGTGTCCAGCGAGCCTTGCAGTTTCCGCGTATTCGCTTGCGCCTGGGTCCGGAGCTGTCTCTCGGTCTCGAGAGTCCTGTTTGCCTCTGCTAATTGAATATTAGCAGTGGATGCAGCCTTCTCGGCATTGCGGCTAGCTTTGTGTTCTCTGTTGATTTCGTGATTCAGATCCTCCAGACTCAACGACAGCTTCTCCTTCTGTTTCTCTAGAGACGTGATGGTGACTTGAAGATCCCCAAGCTGACGGGCTAATTTCTTGTTGTCTTCTTCAAGCTTAGTCTTTTCCTTTTGAAGCGTGGTGACGCGAAGGCGTTGGTTATCACTGGCCCTAGAGGTTGACCTGGCAATGTCCAGATTCTTTTGTTGAATCTTGGTCAGAAGAGCACGGTTGTCATTCTCCGATGCCGTGAGTCTGCCCTTGAGCGTTACCAGTTCCCTCTCCAGACGCTCCTTGTGTTGGTCATGGCGAATGCGGAAATTGTCGGATTCAGCGATGGCGTGGTTCAATTCTTGTATTCTGACCGACAAGCGTGATCTTTCAGCTTCCACCTCTTCCAACTGACGTGACTTATCTTCTAGGTCTTTCCGCACGCTCTCGAGGCGCTCGTTAGCCTGCTTCATAATGTTGCGTTCAATGTTGGCTTCCGCATTCAATCGCGCATCCTCAACTCTGGTGAAGCGATCTCGAAGTTGAATCAATTCATTTTGGAGTTCCTTGCGTGACTGCTCCGCAGCAACGCGGGCTTCTGTGGCGCGTCGAAGGGTGTCCTGCTGAAGATACATCTCCTTTTCGATGATGATTTTTGATTCGTTCAAGTCGGTGTACTTGTTCTTGAGGTCTGCCAAAGTATGCTCGGCAAGCATTTGCACATCATCCCGCGATTGGCGCTCACGGCTTAGGTCTGCCTGCGCTTTGAACAGTTGGGCCTTCAATTCCTGGATTTGCTGCTCAAGAAGCTTTCGACTTTCACCAGCTTCTGCGTCCTCAGAAATCTTTGCCTCCAGCAGGTTCTTGACATCGGCCGCCTCTCGCTCGAGCTGAACTTTCTCTGACTTCATGGCATCCACCTCAGCTTGAAGTTCTCGAAGGCGTTTCTGCATGTCGTCATGGCGCGTGGCAAGGGAGACCTTTTCTGACTCGATGTGCCTCTTCTCTTCCTCAAACTTCTTAGCGTCGTTTCGTAAAACAGCCATCTCGCTTTCCTTCCGCCTGAGCATTTCTTCATAGCCAGTGGATGTTGCCGAGAGGTCGGAGATCTGCTGTCTTATTGTCCGATTTTCTTCAATCAGCTCTTTGATGTGTTTCTTTGACTGATCTAGATCTCTTGAAGTCTGGGCGAGTCTGACTTCGAGATCTTGATCTGTCTTCAAAAGCTTTGCTTCCAGGTCTTGCAGTTTGCGCTCCTTCAAGCTGAGGTGGCTCTGCAGCATCTTGATCTCTTGGCCAAGGTCCTTGATCTTGTTATCCTTCTCCGAAGAGGAGCTTTCTGTTTCAGCCAGCTTCTTTTCAAGTTCTTCCAGGCGAGCTTGCATTTCGTGTTTTTCATTCTCAAAGCGTTGGATGATCTCTCCTGCTTGTTCTAGTTGGGTGATACGAAGCTCGAGCTCATCATCCGTTCTTTTCTTGGCCGCAATCAGATCGTCGAGCTGGTCTTCGAGGCTCTCCTGATCCGCGATCGCCCCAGCTAGTTTTTCGCTAAGTTCAACCTCTCGCACTTGTAATCTCTTAAAGATCTCCTCTTTGTCTAGGGCCAACGCCCGTTCGCTCTCCAAGGTTTGTTGAATCTTCTGTATCTCGATTTCGGTACGGCGTCTTTCCTCCTCCAACTTCTGCCGATCAGACAAATCCTGGTTCATCTTGGCTTCCAGCTGCTTGATCTTCTCGTCTCGTCTCTTGACTTCATTGGCAGTGCGTGTCTCGCCCAACAGAGGCTTCATTCTCGAGAACAACCTCCACCATGGGTTAGCCTTCAATTGGAGATAGGTCCTGAAATTATCCTGGATGATCCGGGTTGCCTCTGCCCGATACAAGCGCTTGTTCGAGATTCGCCGCTGGACAAAACCGCGGGCAAGGGACTGGAAGCGGGTCATTATGGTACGAATAAGCTGGTCCCGTTTCTCTTCCAACTCAGCCAGGACACCTGCTCTGAAAAACACCTTTGTACGGCCGACGCGATACCATGCAGGGTCCAGCCCAAGCTTTTGCAGCATCACATGAGCAGCGTTTCGGCCATCCAGATATCCCTTTGGCATAGCAGGGCACAGAACTTCATAACGCTGACGAAACTCAGCGAAAGACAGTCGGTTCGGGAAGCCAGTACGCGCAATTCGAATGCCTTCGAGTACACCATTGCAGCGTAATTGGTCTAGGACGAGGGGTGCGTTGAGCATCTTCGGGCGCTTCTTATGGTTGGGTATAATGCAGCGAACAAAATGAGGATGTGTTGAGTGTAGCTGGTTCATGAGGCTGGATAATTGTTCCTTGTGTCTTTGCGCAACCGTGCGGAACAGACCTTTCTTGACACGACTCTTAGGGTAGTCGCTGTCATCGTCACCGTCCCTGCAGTCGGAGAACAAATTGGCCACATGCTTTTCGCCCGACCTCGCCAGAAGTCGGGTTATATTGTCGTTCAATGGATCCTTGTTCTTCTCGAGCCAGCCATCAGTGCCATACTCGACCTCAGCAGCATAGTGTGTAAGCACAAATCCTTGACTCAGACGAGCAGCACGATACTTTGGTGATTTGCGATCCCAGAGCGAGTGCAACTTCTCTGTAAAAGACTTGTCTGTGGCTTTCGGCATGACACAGTCCTCATCCAGGCATGAAAAGATACCAATCGGGTTGGTCAACTCAATGAGGTCAATTGTTGGCTGCAGATCCTTTCCGAAGTCAATGAACTGCCACTCAATTTGCTCTCGTGCATATTCCTCCTGCTCCAGGACGAACATGTGATGATTGAAGAACTGCTGAAGCTTCTCGTTGGTGTAGTTGATGCACAGCTGCTCGAAGCTATTGTTTTTAAAGATTTCAAAACCAGCGATATCGAGAACACCGATAAAAAAGCTGTCGTCACCAGCAACTGTGCTCCGGTCGAGCTGGTTGTTGATCCGATCAACAAGGTTCCCAAATCCACGTTCATATATACCTTTGGCGAGAGCGTCGAGTGCTAGTCGAACTTGTTCCGGTGTCTGGACCTTTTCCACCCACTCGCGGCCTGCTTTGACCTTGGGATGTAACAGTCCTTTCACAAAGAGCTCTGGTGCTATACCAAGTAGCTGGCAAGCCCTTTCAACGCTATTGAGAGAGTCGGGACCTAGTGCAGCCTGATCAGCCCGCAGGCTTTCCTTGACGATGGTGACATTTCCGAGATGAAGAACAGCCGCGATAGTGCGCAGAATGCACATCTGATCTTCGTCTGAAAAGTTCATGACATGGAAGGCCTCGATTAGCATGTTCCATTCATCCTCATCGGATACCCCAGTAATAGTGTCATTGCCATCTCGAGTATAAGCGAAATCCTCGATCTGCAAGTCTGACAAGAGCAGAGCCTCCCTCAACTTCTGGTCTGCACCCCGCAATAATTGGTAAAATATATGGTAGTTTCTCTCATGGGCGTTGGGCTTCACAACGCGGGACTTTTCTAACAGGTACCAATCGATCGAAGCACCCGATATCTGGCCAGCGCGGGTAAACTCAATCCGGATGAATTTTCCAAAACGGGAAGAGTTGTTGTTCCTCACGGTCTGGGCGTTTCCGAATGCCTCCAGGATGGGGTTCGCCCTTAGGATCTGCTGTGAAAGGGCGGACAGTTGCTTAGTGCCAGACCGAGCATAAGGCGTATCGGTTGTCGCGACGGCTGCCAGGTACTGTATGACCTTCTTGGTGTTCTCTGTTTTGCCTGCACCAGACTCTCCTCTTCACGGCCAAGTTAGCATTATGGGTCATGAGAACTATATTAGTAGACTTACGTCACGAGAATGCTCTGGTTCTCTCCTTCCTCGACCAAGTTACGAAACGCCTCATCTGCCATAGCGAAGATATGGGGGCGATTCTCGTCTCGGTTGCGACCTTTGTACATCTTCACATACTCGTTGGAGTAAATGGGCAATGGGCAGTATGGATTAACCGTAACAAGGAACAACCCAGAGTACGTCTATTTCCGGAGTTGTCAGTCTTGAGCTTTGTAGACCGGAAAAAGGACCGGGAAACTGACGTAAATAAGATCTGCTTGATATCGAGTGTGCAGGTTGTGAACTACCGAGGCCTCATTCAGGTGTGTGAGCTCAGCCATATCATCGGCTTTATCGAACTTCGCCGGGTTGACTTTGTCGACCTGGTCCGTTTCAACCTCCCTCTGCTGTTTTTTCCGTAAGTACTTCTAGTTTGGCCTTCTGGGGATGTTGAGCAGTTGTACCTCTCCATCATCGGTCTGGACAAGTAGTCGAACCCCATCTTGCTCTTCCAATACCAGTCCACGCACGAACGCCTTCTCGGGGTCGCGTAGCCAGACATATTTGTTCCCGGAGAAATCATTGTCTCCCTCTTGGCCACGGATCTGATCCGCGCCGCGGCGGAGCTCCTCTGACTTGATGAAGTCTGGCGCAAAGGTCCCTGACGCAACATCATTCCTTATCGAACTCGATCTTTGGCGATTCGTTGTCCGCACTACTACTGAAGACGGTGACTGTGAAATAGAGTTTCGAAATTGGCCCCGGGCCTCTTCGAATTTCTGGGATGACGTGACGACGGCCGACTTGGGGCGCACACCTCTCGTCTGAGGGCCTGGTGACGGCGACGGGGATAGGGATGCACGGCTGAATGGATTGGCCCGTTTTGGGGAGCCATTTAACTGTGAGGGAAGCATATCTTCGTTAAGCTCAATGTAACATCATTCAGTGAGAGGGTCGTGATCGTAACAATTATGTATGAAAGTAATGAAGACTCAAACAATGAGTCGTCGGGTTGTATCGCAAAGAAGCATTCAGGCCAATGGAAGGGCCACAGCAAGAGAAGAACGCCAAAAGACGGAAACAAAGAAGATGAGTGAGAGGTGGGTAGGTGTATATTGAATGAAGCTGCAGCATACCTAGCAGCGGGAGGTGCAGGTTGACAGTCGCCCACTGACCACCTGCTCGCTCTGGGGCCCCTTCGGGTGAGCTGTTTGTTTACATCCGCCGTTCCTCAGGCTGCGGCCGCCGATCATGCGCTAGGCTCGATCGGTCGTGCACCCATCACGTGGGGACCCGCGGCACGAAACTCGATCTTTTCCGGGTTGGTCGCTCGTCCCGTTGCTCGTCGCTTCACGTTCTGTGCTTCCGCGGTCCCTTCGCTCTCCATCTGCTCCGACTAGATATCCATCCTCTCGTCGCGTCCTTGTTTTCTTCTCTCCTTGCTTCCTCCACGGCAGGGGCAGAGCTCACCCACCAGGATTGCCACACGCGACCTCATGTATAGCCGAGTGTGGTCGTTACCGATTCAACCTTTTTCTCCGTCCTAGTCCCTTCCTAGGCTCGATCCGATCGCTACTACTGATTCTGGCTTGAACGATGTGGGATGCCTGAGCACTCGCTATAGCTGTGACGAGCTAGTTCTTTTTATGCTTACCGGACGCAGACATCACTCACGTTGAAAGCGCGCTCGCGGTCGCTCCTCCAAAACATGTCTCATTATCCCCCGACACCGTCATTTGTGGGCCCGAATTATACACCTCAGTGGCCTCCCTCAAATCCGTCCCCGACGACAGCCATGCCATCCTTGTTCCCCCCAAGCCTTGGCTTTAGCCAACACCCTTCGCCCGTTCCCCAACATCCGCAAGATGGTTCCGGTCGCCCGTTTGAGTATAACACCGACAGTTATAATGGAAATACTCATCTACCGGGATTAGGGGGTCCGGGCGCAGCTGGTCCATTGCCGCCGCCCCCATTCGCCTTCATGGGTCCTTTCGCTTCTACTCAGTTCCCCCCTCCTCCGTTTCATCCCCTCCAGATGCCACCACTGAGATACCCATCGATTCCAGTACCTTCTGCCCCTATTTATGAACCTACTCGCCATGCAGCGGGCGATTACCAGATGGACCACTCGATCCCGCCGGTTCCTCAGCTGGCAGCTGCTGCAAACTCAGAATGCGATCCTGACCGAGAGGAAGGTGAACTGACTGACCGAGAAGCGCCTTCGGCATTACAGCCAAGGCAACATGGCCCGAACTCGGGACAGCGACCAGGACACGGCCCCGGCACTCAAGTGCATCGAGCTCTGAACGGTGACAGTGGCTTGGTAGGGGGTAGTCAGGCGATAAAGTCGGATGGTTCAGCTTCATATGGTTCAAATGACTCTCATCTGTCGGCGATGGCCATCTCCGAAGGCTCGGGACAAGGAAGCTCGGATATGGAGAAAGGTGGGGCTTCACCGGAATCTCACCTATCATCCAGAAGCAGCGGATCTCGTATTATACCCTCTCTCCCGCAAATGGTCTACAATACTCATATACCTTGCAGCATACAACCCCGCACCTCCCACTATCGACGCAATCGGACCGAAAGTCGCAGCATCCTCAAAGCCGCAACGCGAAGGCGTGCCCGAAAACGAAACGAACAGCACAGCTTCGTGCGAGTCGTCGTCTTTGCCCGGCGGTGGAAAGTCACCTGCACAGCTTCGCGTCCAGGCACAAGGGGCCCTTTTAAGCTTAGCGCCTCACAACATTCGGTATGGCGAATTCGTTGGGGAAGGAATCAACCCAGTCATTCTTCGCCAACTCTACGAGGAGGTTGGAATCAAGATCACCACTCCACAACCGGAGCTTTCAGTAGCCTCCCCGCCTAGTGACTCGCCCTTGGAATCTGAGCGTTCAACAACTAGCCAGTCTGGAGAACCCGAGTCAGGAACTCGGCCACTCGATGATCTAAGTAATGCGGATGGGACCTCAGCACAGCAGGCCACCCCTGCAGAGACCGTCACAGCTGTTCCGTCTTCATTACCATCGGAGACAGCGAAGCCTATGGAGCGAAAGGAGGTTATTGCTCGTATGCTTGCTGCAAAGGCTGCAAAGAGCTCCGGCGCGAGCGCCCAGGTTCAGGGGGGTGTTATCAAAGTATCTGAGCGTCCAGACCTGCCAGATGCTGACAAGATGGCGATAATTACCCCCGAGGCTGGTCAAACAAAGGAAAAGGAAGTCCGTGTTAAGGAAAAGAACAAAGCACAGACGGAACTTGCTAGGCAGCGGATTGAGTTGCTCAAGAAGCAAGGCTTGGTGAGGAACGGACAGAAGCCTCAGTCGGAGTCTGTGCCTCCCGAGAAAGGTCAACCACCCAATAACTCTGGTCAGGATTTGCCTTCGACTTCCACTCCGATACCGATCCAACATCCATTACCTGAGCGACCCCCGGATCCGGAGTCTAATGCTCCGGCCCGCATACCTGGGCTTTTCATGACGGAGGAACCTATCGCTGATGATAGTCCTTCTGTTTCAGCCACTCCAAGCCTTGCTGATACAACACCACAAGCTCGTATCAACCAGCGCAAACGGCCCCGAGCATCCGATTTCGATGAGCCCGTACCCATTCCCAAGAAGTCCTTCAATAACGGGGTGAATCATGGCATTCCAGACAATCAAAGACTCATCATTGATATCAGCGATGATGAGTTTTATGGGGATGATGAAAATGATATCATGGAGGTAGACACTCCAGCAGGAAAGGAATTGGCAGACACAGAGGGCTTGCTTGGGACGTATACAAGCTCTGTGGATGTGATGCCTCTACGTCCGGCAACCGCTTCGAGTCAGGGGTTCTCTACCTCGGCTACTCCACAGAGCTTGAGGAACAATGACCAGGAGCACCAGGAACATCTTCGAAGAAAGAATTTGGAGATCAAAGCCATGCACAAGCGAATTGCCGAACTTGAAGAGCGCAAAAAAGCCAAGCTGGCAGCGAGCCGCACCCAGTCACCTCGAGCCTCAGATGTGCCGGCCCCTTCCCCTTCTACAAATAATGGGCTTGCCGACGATGTCAGTAATATGTCTAGGCCATCCACCGAAGCCGAAGATGGAAATAGCTTTACTGGACCTGGCGATGGTATACTGTCAACTAATGTGGACATTGCTCATATGGAGCGGATGAGGGACAAACTGTTGCGCAAACAGGAGATTGAGGCTGGCATACCTGCGCTCGAGGCCGAGATCCACAAGTCCGAAACCAAACTAGCCGAAATCAAGCACGAAGAAGGCCAGCTGTTAGCCGAGATCACCAAAGGGAAAGAAGGCCGACAGCAGCTCATGGATGAACTAATCAATATCAATATAGAACTGAATGGGCTGACCTTCGATGATGTGGAGGCTGCAATGCGCCGCTCACAGACTGAGGAGCAACCGAGCGAGAACGAAGGTAAGTGCTACTTCCCATCCTTATCTGCTAAGCTTGAGTATGTGTAATTGATACGACTTGTTTATGCGTAAAGACGCGGCTCTTCAGCAGGTTCTCGAAAATGGGGAGATGACGCCTGAGATCCCCCAAGCCGAATTGCCTGTTCAAGAAGAGAAAGAAGCACAAGAATCCGCTCGTGAAACAGTCCAAGGAGATCAAATTGCACCACCCGTGCCCACCAGTGGGTCGAGTATTGTATCCAATGACAAGTTGATGCATGATGTCAGCGACTCTTCGGGAGATGTATCGAGTTCTGATTCCACAGGCTCAGCAATGGATGAGTCAAGCGATAGTTCCAGCGATGAATCTGTCGACGAGGACGAGCACCAAGCTCAGACTCCCGTTTCGGAGACGAACGGCCTCGAGGTGACAGATGAGCCTGCAGAACATGACCAGCACAACTCAGTGGAGGCAGTAGCAGACCTCCACCATACTCTACCGGAGCGCCCGCTGCCTATGGATGTGGAGCCTCAGGCCGAGCCGGTCGCCGATGAACAAGCTATTGAGAATGAGGGCCAGGCTTCCCGAGAATCGTCGGTCTCAGATGGCTATGAGCCTCCTGAGCCGGAAGTGACCGCAAGCCCCGCTGATTCCACATATTCTCCCCCTTTCAGTCCTGCATCTCTCGGTCCCGTCGAATCCATGGACCTCTCCACGACGGACGGGATGAAACAGGCTGATGAGCCGCTAACTGGAAATATCCAGGCTTTGGATATTCAGCAACCAAGTGCTGCTACTCAGGTTGGCGTTCTGGATGTGCGGCGCACCTTGACTCCGCCTGGGATGTGATGCTGACCCAAATTTTAGAATCCGCGGGAACCAGAGGAGCCTGAGCATAAATTCTCCCCTTACGTTAGTCCGCTGAAGTATTTCAAGGCATATCGCTACCACCCAAACTTCACTGAAAATGTGTCGGACGGCTATCGTTCTCTAACATATAGCCACAACATTGACCCTATGAAGTGCCTCTGCCCGTTTGAGGCTTCAGGGGGGGTCTGCAACGACCGGTCGTGTGAATTTCAGCATTTTCGTGATATGACTCTCAGCGGTGCGTCGACGGATCTGAACCATTACTTGCAACATCTACCCACATGACTCTTGGCCACTGACCTTTCTGGGGCCTTTTCTCATCTGCCCCACCCTTTCCTCTTTTTGACCCCAACTGTTTTGCTTCCTCCCTAGCTTTCCTTGGTCTTGTTCGTGGTTATTTGTGTCGTGCGGGTGCTGACACACAGGCTCGTTAACTGCGACAGATGACAAAATTCTCGTCCAGATGGGATCTCTCCGAGAAGGCAAGACGCCTGAAGAAAAGGACGAATACATCGCGGGACTGAAGCAGATCATCAACGACATGCGACGCGACAAGGTGAAGGATTTTAACACCGTGGCCACGGAAATAGCCGCATACCGTAGACGCTTTCTCCAAGACCCTTCGCGGGTTCTGCCGTTGTAACAACATGAAGGCTCAAGTCATCAGCTCTCTTCCTTGAAGAGAGACCCTTTTTACATTACACAAGGTGAGCTGCCGACGTCGCGCACTTGCCAGTGCCGACGCCTAATCCACTAGGAGCGGCTGCCTCTGGTTTTATCCCAGCAATGGCAGCGACACCTTCCAGATGGCGCCAGCTCTCCCTCCCACACCTTTCTTGCATTCCTTAGCACGCCCCACACTCTCCCTTTCTGGCCCATGAGATCTGGCATCTCGTTTTGAACGACACAAGTGGGCATTCCCCCGTTATCTTGTTTATCTATTGCTACTTGGCGTACAAAAGCAAGCCTGGAGTTGGAGGATTCATTCTTTCTTTCCCTAGGAAGTGGGCGTAAGCGCTTCACCCACACCGCGACCCCAGGCCCGGTCCGCCGCAGGGCGACAATAGGGCATGTGCCAGTTTCGGTTTACCTTTTTCTTTGCCTCGGTCTTCAAGGTATGGGATGAAAAAATAGTGACCCCGATGGACCGTTGGAGGGGATGGAGTGTACAGCAGGGCGTTGGGGCATAGGAAGTCCGTCCATAGCGATAGCGAAATACTGAATTATTGATTGCAAGCCTCGTCTGCGTGATTTTTGTGAGTAAATTAAACTAAATCTCTCAGTCCGAAAATGCCTCTCCCCCCGGCCGTCGGGACTAGAACCGACCAAGGCACTAGAGGCTCTTAGTATAGTAGCAACCGGGCGTCTAGCGCCTAAACCGGGGCACCATCCCAAGGCGCAGACCTGGACTGTGCTGGGCTGGATTACTGTGTTAGCGGCATCTCCACCACAGCTCCTGAACTAATCAGGAGAACAGCTATTGCCCGCCCAGTTGCTCCAGGATATCTTCTCCTTACTATAACCCATTGTATGATTGTACTAGTGAGTAGCAATACTCCGTAGTGCGCAGTGCCTTGCTTCTACTCCACAGATCAATATCTAGCATCTACTCCATACTCTCTAGAATCCGAACCCCCCTGATCCTAACTATCCCATTATCCCCTAACAAGTAACACCCACCCACCTAGGCCTCGGGACCTACCCATCCCCTCAACTAACCAAAAACCACTCGATTAGTAAATCAATTACCAATAACAGTTCATCGATCGATTAACGATAATGACTCAAGTCAACCTTACTTTCTTCCATAGAAGTGGCAGTGTTCGATGACGACTATCTAAACCGGTTTAGTTACGATTATATTGGTCTGGTTTGGTTTGGTTCCTGCCTTGAAGCCTGAGTCAAATCGCCGGAAGAGGTTTAGCGTAGGTGAGGGTTTTATGCAAGGTATGCTTTCTTTTGGGGTTGGGGGGATTCATAGATGGGTCACGGGGTTGAGGTTGGTCACGGGGGGTGATTTGGTCGGGCGGTTTTCGGGATGACTCAGGTTATAGCATCCATTCTGTTCAGTAATTAGCCTGATTACTGATTGTGTGCCGGTGTTGGCTGGGTGAGGTGTGTTGAGTAGGTGAGATGAGAGACGGTAGTATGTATAGAGAGAGAGAGAGAGAGAGAGAGAGAGAGAGAGAGAGAGAG